AGCCCTGTTCAACGTCTACCTGAACGCCGAGGAGAACATCCCTGCCGAGGGTCCCGGCCCCCACCACTACACCCACCACCAGCAGGAGGTGGAGGAATCTCCTGCCTCCAGCCACCACCACCACGAGGAGGAGGGCGAGGAGTGACCTGTGCAGACTGTCCTGGCAGGGGGGTGTGAGAGGGAGAGGGTTTGGGGAGGGGGGTGGGTGGAGTCTTTCCTGTCTAATTGCTGCCCTCACGCTTTGCTCCCCGACACCCCGGCGCTGGAGGAATGTTCTGAGGCACGGGCAGGGCTGGAGCTGCTGAGTGGGACACAAGGGCTCGGTGTTTTCTGATGCAAAACTACTTGCACATCATAGTAATAATATATTGAGAGGAGCGGGAGCGTGGATGGGGGTTTGGGCTGAGAGCAGGAGCTGAGCAGGGCTCCCAGGGCTGTCTGCAGGTTCCAAAACTGTGTGGAGCCCTTCTGGGGTTTTCTCTTCTAATGGCTCCTGCCTAGGGTGGAGGAAGAAGGGATGCAGCCTCTCCACAGTCCCATGGGAGAGGCACATCTCTCCTGGGAGGGGTGGGACCAGCAGCATCCCTTCTTCCTCCGCTCTCCCTCTCTGCCACGTGTGCTCAGCATGGACACGCTGTTCCTCCTGGCACCTGCTGGGTCTGGACTAATCTAACCCTAACACTTTGTATCAGGCAGCTCTTGGGGAGTGTTTTGCCCCAGGATGTGCCTCTGGGGCTGCATGTGGGAGGTGACTGGGTACTGTGGTGGTGACAGCCCTTACCTTGCTGTCCCCAGGGCCACCACGTGGCTCCTTGGGGACGAGGGACCTGGATCATGCCGTGAGTGCTGGGGCTTCACATTTCATGGCTGCAGGGGAAAGCCAAGAGCTGAGGGGGGGGTTGGGTAGGAGCCAGCCCTGTACCCCCTCTCCCTGCTGCACTTTAATGGTGATGGAGGGAGAAGGGGGCCTGAGGGCCAGGATGTCCCTGTGCAGGGAGTGCTGGCAGGGCTGGGGAGGCTCGAGGTGGGCTCTGTGCCCTCCTGCTGCCCCTCTCTGTTGTATAATGCTGATTCTTTGGCGCTGTCCTGACAAGAGCTTCCAGAGCTTGTAATTGATGCCTCCCCCTCCTTTTGATGAGTTTTGTTTTGGTTTTGTTTTGGTTTTTTTTTCTTAAATAAATTAGTTCTGACTTCCATTGCTCAGTGCTCTGATGCCTGTCTGGTTTTTGGCAGTGCTGACACCAGGACACCATCCAGGACAGACAGGAGGGGCCAGGGCAGGGCAGGGCTGTGGCTCCTGCAGCTTTCTGCTGCATTCCATTTGGGAGGAGGAGGCAGAGCTGCTGAAAGGAGAACTGACCCCAGATCTTCAGCATGTGTCGTGCATGTGGGCACGGAGAGCAGCTGTGGCCCAGGCGCAGTGTCGCTGCAGCTGGAGCTTTACAGGGTCCCACTCGTGTGGGAAGTGCGTGGGAGCTGTGGAATCACACGACCTTCACCAGCTCTGTGGCCACTAGGTGACAGTCTTGATCCAGCGTGTTCCATCCAGATGCTCAGGGCCTGTGGGAGCCCTTGGGGAACAAGGAAGGAGAACTGGGCCATGGGCTGGACATCCCTCTGTGGGTGAGGAGGGGCTGGGTGCCTTGGCTGAACCCAGCAGGCTCTTTCCCAAGGGGATTTGGATCAAGCATCCCCTGGGCACCCTTGCAAACCTCTGGTCCCACTGATGCCAGGCCAGTGTGGATGTGCTCTCAGAAACAATCAGTGATGCTCCCTGCTCTGAGTCTGACCTTGGGGAAGGTCTCATCAGCTCCCGGAGGGAGCAGCCAGCTCTTATTGCCTCTCTTTGAGTGCAGCTCTTATTTTCTCCCTCCTTGAGTCCAGCTCTTATTGCCCCCCTTGTTGAGGCTCTGGGGGCTCTGCACAGGTTTGGAAAGCAGCTCTCTGAACTTTGGAAAGTGGGTTTGCATTAAGGCAACAATTGGTACAGTGATGGGCTGAACAGGAAGGGCCTGGCAGGGCTGGAGGTGTCCTGTGTGTTAACATAAAGTTTTCATGCTGTGAAGTCTCTTCCCAAGGAAGGGAGCTTTCCCTGAGAGTCAGGAAGAGGTGGCAACACCAGTGGTGGTCACTGAGCACCATCATGTGGCCTTTTACTGGTGTACAGTGGAAACAGGCTGGATTTAGCAGGAGGCTGTTCCTGTAAACTCCAGGAGCTTCAGTCCAAGGTGTTTGAAGCAGGATGTCTCCGTCTCCTTTCAACACAAGCTGAGCGTCAGCACAGGTAGGCAGTGAAGGACTGCTATGCAGATGAAAACACAAATCTTTTCAAGGTAGTTAGCCAGGCTCTGCCCAAAATCAAATCTAGGGACCATCCCAGTTAAAGGATGGAATGAGGCTGCTGCATTAAGCCCTGCACTGCCTGAAGTCTCTCAGCATCCCTATTTGACTCTCTCTGTCTCACCAGCCCTTTGTTTTGTGCCATGTTGACACTTGGGTGTCTCGTTTTGCTTTCCATGCCAGTGGTGCTGGATAGCAGAGCTGGTGGAAGCAACAATTCCTGCAGATGTGTCCAGAAATGTAGCACAGGGAGAGGACACAGACAGGCCAGGAGAGCTGCTGGTGTGGAGAAGCTTTTGTAGGGATAATGGCAAGATTTGGACCTCATTTCAAGGCAGGTTTTTTAAAACACATTTTGCTTCAATGAGTTCAGATTCACTTCCCCAGCAAACACATCCAAACCAGGAGTAGATAATCTCCCACCTGAGGAGGACACATTCCTGAAAGGTTGGGCACAGAGTGCCCAGAGAAGCTGTGGTTGCCCCATCCCTGGGAGTGTCCAAGGCCAGGTTGGAGGGGACTTGGAACAACCTGGTATAGGAAAAGGTGTCCCTGCCCATGGAATGGGATGGGCTTTGAAGTCCCTTCCAACCCAAACCATTCTTTGATTCCACGATTCCGATCCAATCCCCTTCTCAGAAGCAAAAGGTCTGCAGGCAAACTGAGGTGCTCCTAAAGTTGGGGTGCAGCCGGACTGAGAGGGAAGCCTGGCCTTGCCGTCTGGCATCACTTCCTCGCTGAGCACCAGCATGGATCCAGCTGCGATAAATCTGTCCTGCTGCCTTCACTTATCCTGTCTGGGGATGCTGCTGCAGGGTGGGCTCAGGGTGGGGTTTCTCTCTTCTCCCAGCAGCAGATGGGCTGAGGAAGTGAGGGTTTCCTGGTGCAAATGCTTTTCCAAAGAAACCTCCTGCTGCGATCAGAGTGTTGCGTGTGCTGCTCTGCCCTGGGATCCCTGCCAGGACACAGGGATGCAGAGGTGGCTGGGGAGGTTTGGCTGGGAGCATTCAAGGAGAGGGGCTTGGGCAAAGCAGAAGGAGGGCAGAGCTTGGTACCAGTGACAACAGCTGTTTCTCAGAGAGCACCTTGGCACAGGGAGTAACAGGGTGTGTATGAGCTCTGTCCCCCATTCTTTGCTCAGAGGTGGTTTCCAGGCCTGAAATGCTTGTTCAGCCACTGGGAAAAACATGACAAAGTTGCTGAAAAGGTGATTAGAAAAGTAGGACTTGCTAAAGAGATCGATTTCTGTCCTTGAGTGGGTGACAGGGCAGCACAGGCAGCAGTAGGGCGCGGTGGGATGGGGTGATGGGGTGTGTGTGATGCACAGCTGGCACTCCCCACACATCTACAGCACAGCTTCCCAAGGGAAGCACGTTAAGGAAAGCTCTGGTGGTGGCTTGGGGATGGAAGGGGCAGCAACTGGCAGTGCCTGGCTCTGTGAGCCACAGAGGTGGGTACCAGGGGCCCAGCAGAGACACATACATGGCTTTGGTTTGTGCTGGAGCCAGTGCCCTCAGCTCTGGTCAACCCCCAACAGAAATCACATTCAACCCATCTTTGGGCAACTGCATAATTAAAAACCCCAATCAATCCCTGCCCAGCACCCCAAGGTGTTGGCTCTGATGTGTGGAGGTGGCAGCACAGGACACTAATGGCACTTGGGAGACTTGGGTGTTTCCTGACCTGGAACCACCAGCAGGACCCGCTGGGTCCTCTCACATGTTGGCTCCTACTTGCCAAGGGCAAGTTGCCATGGTTGCATGCAGGATTGTCCCTCAGACAAGGATCTGGGCTACCCAAGGCCAGCCCAGAAAGCCCTGAAGCAGAGTGGCCAGCCCTCTGGCTGCCCCACCATCAGTGCAGCCTTTCCCCTCGGTTCTGCCTCTCCATCCCTGGCTGCAGACTGTGGGAATGTCAGCCAGTGTTGTGATGCCTCTGCTTGCTCCCTGAGGGCTCATGTGCAGGTTTTGTTGATTTTTTTTTTATTTGGTTTTGCAAACTTTTGCTTTTTATCACGTGGTGTGGAGGATGGAGCCTGGCACTGGGAGCTGCTGACCAGGCAGAGAATGGAGCCTGGCACTTGGGCTTGGCCACTGCCCTGCTGGCCTAGCTGCCAGGTGAGCACGGGGGCTCCAGTGCTGGCACAGATGACAGGGATAGCAGGAATGGCAGGGATGGCAGGGAAGGCAGAGCACGGGGCTGTTTCTTTAAGGCAAAAAAGAGAACTCTCAGGCTGGCACTTTGTGGAGTTTAGCCCAGATCCCTGTTTTAATTAGCGTTTCGTTTCATCTCCCTCTCTCCCCCCTCAGCCCCACCTCCTTGGAGTCAGCATTTCTGCATCCTTTCCCGTGCATTGCAGAGCAGCAGGTGAAGGTCTGGCTGGCACCTGCACACACTCACACACACTCACACACACACCCTGCAGGCTGGACGCACCTCTGCCGCGAGTGAACCCTTCCCACACTCCGGATCTTCCTCCTCCCGAGCGAGCTGGGCTGGGAGCATCCCGGTCCTCACCTCAGGCTGCTCTGCCTCCCCTCGCCGGCTCCGGCTGCAGCAGCAGCAGCAGCACCGGGCACGGAGGAGCTCGGAGGGGGCCCCGAGCTCTGCAGGGAGCCAAGACCAGCTGGGGGGGTAAAAGCTGAGCCTTGGGGGGTTGGAGCATCCCCAGCATCTGGGACATCCTGGAGTCCAGAGCATCCCCAGCATCCGGGGTATCCTGGGTACAAAGCATCCCTGGCATCTGGAGTATCCTGGGATACAGAGCATTCCCGGCATCTGAAGTCTCCTGAGTGCAGAGCATCTGGAGTATCCAGAGCATCCTGGGGGCTTATTTATTCCCTGGTCCAGCGCATCCAGAGCATCAGAGAATCCATAACATCCTGTCATCCCTGGCATCTCGAGTATCCTGCCATCCAGTACATCCCCAGGATCCAGCAGCAGCAGCCAGGGACATCCCAGAGCAGGGACATTCGCAGGGATGAGGCACTGCCTGGCTGTGAGTAACGGGGAGGGAACCTTGCTCCTGCTGATCAGTTCCTGGGAACGTCACTCTGCCCTGAGTGCCAGTGAAGAGAGACAGTAGGGGAAGAGAGGGAGAGGAGGAGGAGGAGGAGGAGAGAAGAAGAGAGAGGAGGAGGACAAACACAGAGCAGAGAGGTGGTCATTCTTCCCCTGGCTCCGGCTCTGGCGATGGTCACGTAGCACAGGTCACGCCAGAGAAGGTTCCCCCAACCCCAAAGCTCCCATGGAGGGTAACCTGGGGGCCCCCAATTCCAGTGTGCTGGGGGAGCACTCCCTCCTCGTGGGGAGCAGCTGGGTGGCCGCTTTCCTGTGCTTCATCATTCTGCTGACCACGGCGGGGAACTTCCTCCTCATCCTCCTCATCATCACTCAGCGCTCCCTCCGCAACACCTCCAACTACTTCCTGGTGTCCCTGTTCATGTCGGATCTGATGGTGGGGTTGGTGGTGATGCCCCCAGCCATGCTCAACCAGCTCTACGGGCGCTGGGTGCTGCGGGGGGACTTCTGCTCCCTCTGGGCCTCCTTTGACGTCATGTGCTGCAGCGCCTCTATCCTCAACCTCTGCATCATCAGCCTGGATCGGTACCTGCTCATCATCTCCCCGCTCAAGTACAAGCTGCGCATGACCTCCTGCAGGGCCCTCTGGCTCATCCTGGCCACCTGGACTGTGGCTGCACTGGCCTCCTTCCTGCCCATCAAGATGGGGTGGCACAAACTGGAGTTCGAGGAGCTCTCCCTGAACGTCACCTCGCTGGGGGACGAAGATCAGTGCCGGCTGGTGGTCAGTTTGCCGTATGCCCTGGTGGCCTCCTGCCTCACCTTCTTCCTCCCCTCTGCTGCCATCTCCTTCACCTACTGCCGCATTCTCCTGGCTGCCCGCAAGCAGGCGGTGCAGGTGGCTTCCCTTGCCTCCAACGTGGCCTCCACCAGCACTACAGATGACACCATTGCACAGGTAAGGTGTCCACAGGGACCTTGTTTCTTGCAGACCCCACAATTTGGGTGCCTGGGGTGTTTCTGCCTTCTGAGCAGCCTTAGAGCCAGAGCTGCCTTTGACAATCAGACCACACTGAGGGAGATTTTGGGCAACATCCACCTTGCTGACGCCCTCTGAGGTGCCCTGTGTCTGTCCCACCAATGGAGAGCTTAGAAGCTGCTCTGGAGCACACAAACAGCACGAGCAAAAACAGAGAAATTATAAGATTTAGGTAAAAATGCTCAGCAATACAAAATAAAGGCAGTTTCGCCCCTCTCTTGGCTGGCGTCATCCCTGAGGGCTTTAATCTTATATCTGATTTTCCACTCATAAATGTTGGCCATGGTGGGTGTGAGACATATGGGGGAGAAGGATTTCAACTAATAGCAAATGCCAAATTCTGGAGAGCATCTTATTTTGAACAGAAGCTTCTATTTTTGTTACCTGGTTAAGAGGAACTGCCAAACCCCTCCTCATGCGATTGCTGGTTTCGTGTGTGGGTTTTATAACCAAAACGTGGCTGCACTTGTTTGTATTTCTTCAGGAGAAGGTAATTGCCACTAAATCTAACAGCTCTAATTCCCTGTAATAGGCTTTATTGACCACATATCCTACAGGGAAAAGGCAAACTTAATTGCCTTTAAATACCTTGGTTTAGTTTGTTCACTCTAAGAGCAGAGCCAGGACTCTGGCCAGCTCTCCCACATGTGATAAGATGCACTAGACAGTCAAAAGGAAAAGGACAATCAAAGAATAAACAGATAATATAATAAAGTGTTTATTTTCTCCACGGATGCCAGGGTTTTGGACTCCACAAACACACTCACAGGATCAGGGGATGCTCAGGGTCTTTGTCATGTTGCGATGGTGGAAAAAACAGCATCCACCACCTGTCTTTCAGCCAAGGCAAGTGGCCCAAAAAGTTCCTTGGAGCCCCAAACTGGCTGAAAGCAAGGTGTCAGCCAGGGAACCCTCAATTTTCATCTTTTAACCAGATTTTTGTTCTCTTTTTGGGCATGAAGCTGAGTGGCAAAGGAGCATTGTTTAATTCCAGTGGAGGGCTGAGATAATCAGTTCATTTTAGATGGGGGGGAGATGGAGGGCTGAGTTATGGCATTTGTAGGCTGCAATGTTTCACATCCTGCTTTTATAAACATAGTTTGTTGTTGTAATAAGCAGCTGGAGCTGCCTCTTTAGGGCTTTGTCCTCACCTAAACATGGACTGAGCTTGGTTTTTCTATAAAGAACAGCCTAGTGAGAACCCCCTATTTTACAGTAAAAAAGAGAAGGTAATCCTCTCAATATTGAGGGTTTCTATTGTTCCCTCTTCCTAATTTGCAGTGCAGGCCCCGCTCCTGTCCCTTGGAGAAAGGAATTAATGGCAGGGTTTTTTCAGGATTTGGAGCACCGAATCTCACTTTTCTTGGGCAGAGGCTGGCACTGGTGCTGGCAGCTCGAGTCTGGGGAGGCTCATCACCATTCTCCTGCTACAGATTCCCTGTGTCCCGAGCCAGCCCATGGCTGGCAGCGAGAGCAGGAGGTTCACCAACAAACACAGCAAGAAGGCACTGAAGGCCAGTCTGACCCTGGGCATCCTCCTGGGCATGTTCTTCGTGGCCTGGCTCCCCTTCTTCATTACCAATGTGACACAGGTAAGAAGCTGTGGGGGTTTTGTGTTGGGTTTTCAAAAGCTTTTCACTCGGGATCCAGCTGGGTTCAATCTGAAGGTCTTGCTGGAACACCTCTGGGAGCAAAGATGCAACTTCCCCAAGGAGCTACAGCAAGGAAAAACCCTTCAAAAGGGATTTGAAGGTTTCCTTTGAAAGGGGAATGTTGGTTTGCCTGGGAAACTGCTCTGGATTGGGGCTGAGGTGGGAGATGCTGCTAATTCCTGCTGTGCCCCCCCAGGCTATCTGTGGCTGTGTCCCGGCCGGATTCTTCGACGTGCTCACCTGGCTGGGATACTGCAACAGCACCATGAACCCCATCATCTACCCACTCTTCATGAGGGACTTCAAGAGAGCCATGGGCAAATTCCTGCCCTGCTGCCGGCGCTCGGGGGAGTCCCGGCCCAGCGCCATCTCCCTCTCCATGAGGAACTCCAACAGTGGAGCCCGAGCTGCCACATCCCTCAAGAACGTCCTCACCTTGCAGGCTGAGACAGACTCCGTTGACTCTGGGGCGCTGGGGAATGATCCCCACCTGCTGCCAGCCCTGCTGGCCCCCCGAGCCCACTCAGTCAGCCTGTGGGACACAGAGCCCCTGGAGCCGGAGCCGCAGCGTGGGCAGCTCAGCACCCCCGTGGCCTGAGCGGGGTCACAGAGCTCGATGTGCTGGGAAGGGTCCCTCATCCCTACACAAACAACCCACGTGCTGCTGCTCCAATGCCCTCGTCCAGCCCATTGTGCAGCTTGCAGAGGGCAGTGCCATGGGTAGGTTAGCCATGTGTCACTACTGAATTGATCTGCCTTGTTTCTCTCTCTTCCATCCCTCCTTTGCTCACTGGCACCAGTCCCTCACCCTCCTTGTGGCCTTTGAACAACACTTTCAGGCACATGGTGGGATTCTTGGGGTATTCTAAGGGGACCAGGACTCAATGATCCTTGTGGGTCCCTTCCAACTCAGCATATTCCGTGATTCTGTGACTCTAAGATTCTTTCCATCTCCGGTTAGTCTGAACCTTGGATTCCAGATCCTCTGTCCCCCTAAACTTAAACCAAGGCTTGGTTTTCAGCTTTCACACATGGATCACCTCCATCTCGTGTACTGCACTGAGAGGAGTGATGGAAACACATCCCATGACTCATGGATAAGAGGTTTGGAGCTGCTTCAGCCTGAGGAACATCATGTCTTCTTGGAACTGCGTTTCCTGACTCGGAGCGTGTCTGTCTCAGTTCCCTGTGAAGCAGTGAGTTACAGCCCACTGAAACCATCGTGGTAAATCATGGAGGGCTATACTATGGGGGTTCAGCTGGGTGCAGAAGGTCCAACACTGATTTTTGGATGTTCTGTGGGGGTGTGGGGGAGTGTGACTCGTCATGGCTCTGTGGGTTGTGTGACAGTAGTAATGGGATCAGTGCCTCTTACAGCTCCATCCTACAGCTTCCCATCCTTGGCACAGGACCACCACACTTCTGACAATCCGTTAATTTTTAGATGACATAATTAGAAAATACAGTCTCCCCCCTTTCAAATAGGAATCTAAAGAAATATTGTCATTTAAATGACAATTCCAGGACGCCTCCACCCAGCCCACCCCCACCATAGCCACAAGCAGAGGGAACAGTGAGTAATGTGGCAAGTGGGCTCTTAAAAAAATCAATAAACCAAATTATTTTAGTAAATTCTTCCTCAAGTGCCTTTGGGCTGCAGAGCTGGGCTGGCAGTTGGCTGCTGTGCCCTCCCTGGACCCCTTCTTCCAGGCCTTCTGCCTAATTCCAAGCTCCCATTAATGGGTTTGACTGTGCTTCTGGAACTCACCAGTATCCAGACAGACACAGACCATCCCCTGGATATGGGATGCTGGAAGAAACAGTCACACTCCAAGCAAATCTCACTAGTTTTCTTTCCACGTTGCCCATGGATGTTCCAGAACTCAACAAGAGTTTTTATGACCAACTTGACATTTACTTGGTACTCTGTACCCCCTGGGAACTGGGCCAGCAGTCAGGGATGAGGACACACTGAGGGCTCAGCAGGTTCAAACCTCAAACTGTTCATACATTTTCCCCTGGATGTGTGGACAGAGAGCCTGGGGCTGGGTGTCAAGCATAGAGATCAATATGTGCATCTTACCACAGAATGGCTTTATATAAAGCCATACTTTGACTACAACTCCAGTTAAAAAAAAGCAGGAAAATGCACGATGGAGTCTGGAAATCCGTTAGGTACTAAATCAGCCGTGGGAGATGGACAGAGAGAGACAGAGAGACCTCATCAAGCCAAATGTTCAAAAGCAATAATTCATTACGGTCTCATCAAGACAGTCTTTTGTAATTAGGTGTTTGCTTGTGGACAAAGCCTCGAATGAGTGGAGAAATCCCATCCTTTCCCTGCAGCCAACAGTGTCAACACTGGCTGGCCAAACAGCCTCAGCACTGTGGGATCCTGTGGTCTGTCTCAAGAGATGTCTCCCATCACTGCTCCAGAATGGAGCTGAGAAGGTCTGAGCCCCTTTAGATGTTGGATTTGGGGAGAGGAAACACCAGGCACTGAACCAAAACCACTGTGCTTTGCTGTGTTACAGCATCATCCCCAAAACCAGCTACATCTTCGACTCTGTGAGAAATAATCTGCAGGTAAGGTGTGCAGGGAGCCTGGGGAAGGAAAGAGGGGGGTGCTGGATCAGGGAGGCAGGAGGAGGAGGAGGAGGAGGAGGAGGAGGAGGAGGAGGAGGGGGAGGAGGAGGACCCTCTGTGAACCGAAATTGGAAGGTTCAATCGCACTATTTCCCTTCCTGAGTCAATGAGACCTCCCAGATCAGGAGTGGGAGGTGTTTGTGGCAAAGCAGAAAACCCCAGGCGTGTTCTCAGAGCAGGGGTATCCATTTGTCACGCTCCTGCCAGATGCATTTCTCTGGGTTTAGCAGAAAAACGGGACAGAAAAGGAGCTTTTATGGAAGATGTGGATCAGTCCCACACAGTTTGGGAGCTCTGCTAGCAGGGGATGTAAAGCCCTGAGACTGGGGAGAAGAGAGTGGAACCAATTCACTTTTATGGAAGGAGGTAGAAATGAAACAGATTCATGTTTATCCTGTGCCAAGTATGTGTTTTATTCTAAGCCAATCAAAAATATGTCTAAAGGAGGCTTTTAAGGCTGGAGATGTGTGTGGGACTCGAAAGTGTCAGTGCATTGCTGGGCTTGGAGAGCCTGGAAGTTTCATAAGCCATCTGAAGTGCACTCGCTTCTCCTGCTGCTGTCACCCAGGGTCCCAAGCATGTTTCTAACAGGAACAGGCCCTCCAACACTCACTGACATCAACCTGGAGACAGGAAAACAGTCTTGGAGATTGGAAAGTGCCCTGGCAGCCTGAGCCTTTCTCCTCCCCAGCCAGCACAGCTGAAGTGTGGACACTGATGCGCCTGAAGCGGGGCCGGCAGAGCCCTCAACACACCTGAAATCCACAAACCAAACCAATCTCCAGTGCAAAAATGCTTTTAATTTCCTAATGATGAGCCCTCTCTCTGTGATATGATTCAAATCCCCTCAGAGCCACTTGTTTTTCAGTTATAGCAGGGACACAGTGCTGAGGGGGAACAGCTGCTTCCTGCAAGGATTTGGATGGGATCTGTCCTGGATTCCTGAGGAGCAGTGCAGATTCAGGCAGGAACCAGCCCTCTTTCGTCTGTGGGAGGTGCTGTTGGCAGATGCTCCGAATGCTTTGATCCAGTGCCAAACCAGTGCCACCCTCCAGGCTCACTTGAGGGGCTGGAAGCTGCAGCTCCAGCTGCACCGGCTCTAGCCCCGGGAAATCCTGGGGCCGTGGTTGCTGCTGTGGCAGCGCTTTTAGTGCTGGCTGAGCCGCTCTGCTCTATTTTGCTCCTTCTCCTGCTGCCTGGTCCTTGCTGTCCCTGCTGTGGGAGCAGTCTGGGCAGGGTAGGCAGGGCTTTCCCAGGAGAGAGTTGGAGGAATCCCGTTGGTGAGTGCAGCCGGCTGGGAGAGCCTCACCCTCATCCTCCTCTTTCCCGGTGTTTTACTCTCCCTGAGCCTCACTGCCTGCTTCCCGCAGAGATTTCTTGGCTAGAGAGGGGAAAAGACTGCTACTGCCTTTCTCTGCCGGCTGGCGTTCCTTGGTTTTAATGCCGACAGCTTTCAGGATCGTGTCCATCTGCTTCATGTAGTCCAGGTGGCCATTTACCTGCAGGGAAAAAGAGTCCTGTGAGTGGGGAACCTGTGGGGACCCAGCTCAGACAAGTCCTTCATCCCAACAAGCCACCACTGCCATGAGACTTGGGTTTGGCTCTGAGGAGGAAAGAATGAGGCTGGAAAATCATAGAATTATGGAATCGCTAAGGTTGGAAAAGATATTTATGATCATCAAGTCCAGCACTGCCAAGGCCACCACTAAACCACATCCCCAAGTGCCACATCCACACAGTTTTTTAACACTTCCAGGGGTGGTGATTCCACCACTGGATGAATGCAGTTGTGCATGAACAGCCTGAACTGGCAGCAGCCTTTGGGGCACACGCTGCTGCTGGATTATTTTTCTTCTGAGACGTTTAAAAGCCTGGACCTGGCTGAGTTACAACCCCCAAATCGTGGGTGCCATGAGGGTAAGAGGAGCAGCTCTACCACAGAGAGAGACACCCAGGTAGGAGATGATTTCTCTTAGTTCAGCTCCCTGTTCTGTGCTAAATGAATTCCTCCAGGTGCCTCAGCTCCCTTGTAAAGGCCAAGATTATCTTATTTAAATTAGGATAGAGTCATTAAACCTCACACAGCTACCAAGTGTGTTAAGGTTCTTGGCTGGAGGCTGCACTGATCCATCCCACATAATATAAAACCAGGAGCCCAAGAGTTATGGGTCCATAAACCAAATAAAAGTCAACAGTACGTGCAAAAACCCAGATGTTTTAATTGGAAGATGAACTCCACGATAAGATAAAGCCTTCTGAGATGAATGTTGGAATGTATCCTTCCAGTCAGGGCACAGGAGGACAGAAAACCTCCTCTGAAGGTGATTGTTGTTTATACTAAAGGCCACATGGTTGGAGAGGCAGAAATTCCTTCCCCATTCCAGGTGTCCTGCACAAACCGAGCACTTGATGCACCGACAGCATCCTGAGATACTTCAGTATCTTTGGTAAATTCAATTTCCAGCAGTTTAAATCCTTCCTGACCCAGCCAGAGAGCTCGCTCAGCTCTTATTTTCCCAAACCTTGCTAGTAATTAGGGAATTTCCACATCAGGGAATACCAACACCCCAGTCCCAGGTTTCCTGGTTCCCAGTCAGGTAGATGAGTGCCCCAGAAAGGGATGATGATGGTAGCAGCTCTTCACAGAGCTCTGCAAAGACACCAGCCATGGACCCTCTGCTCAACTCCTGCCTGGTTCCAGAGCAATCTTTCATCTGCCCCATCCCTGGAAGTGTCCAAGGCCAGGTTGGGTGGGGCTTGGAGTAACCTGGGCTAGTGGAAGGCGTTCCTGCCCATGGCAAGTGGTTTGAACTGGTGCCTTCCAACACAAACTGTTCTGGGATTCTGGGATTCATCACTGTGCCAGCACCAGGATTCCCAGCACAGCTCTCCCAAAACTAAAGCCAACCTTTCCTCCCAAAAATCCGAACCTCCAAGAAGTTTGCATGAAGTGGCTTTGGAAGGGGAAACATTTGACTGCACTTAGGGCTTGGAGCAAACTGAAGGATTTAATCAGCGCATCAGGAATACAATATGTGACTTCAATCCTTCCAGATGGCTCAACATGCTCTGGGTGTTTGGAACTGATTAGTTAACTAAAATAATCACAGAAGGACTGAGGGACTGGTTGTGAGTTGTGGACACTGCAAAAGTACAAATCTTTTGCTGCTCAGTCAGGGTGGTTGGTGCTGAAGGAGCAAGGTGGGGATAGACAGGAAAGGAGCTGGACTTGCTGGGAGTGGGGGCTGAAGGTTCTTGGTTTGTTGCATTCAGAACCTCTCCAGTCACCACCATCTGCCTGCCCTTGTCAGTGCTTGGGGATTTCTCATCCTAGCGTTACCAAGTCATTAGTCAGAGGGAACAAATTTCCTCTGCCACCTTAAGGACTAGCTTTTCATATCTCCTCAGTAGCCAGCAGCTTCCACTAAAACAACAGGAAATTCCTCTCCCATGATCACCAAGGGATGCAGGCTATGAGCCATCCTGCAGCTAAAGGAAAGCTGAGACCTCCTGGAAGTCTGACCCTTTAGCTCTACTAAACCTCTAATTTCTAAATCTCTTCCAAGGAAACTCACTCCTATCTCCAGGACAGCCCAGGAGAGGATTCCCTAAAGCTGGACCAGCACAAGCCCTGAGAAGTGTAAGAGGAGTGTAAGTGTGCTCTGCTGCATTGTGACATGGAGCACTGAACCATCGGCAAAGGGACAGCAAACAAACTGCCTTGCCACTTGGTGCCATCCTGGCTGGAAAATCCAGCAATTCCAGATCTCCAAAGCCTGTTTCCATCTGCTACCAAAGCTGAATTCCTCCACTGGTTAGGCTGTGCAGGAGATGGGAGGGGAACATCTAGAACATAGTCAATAAAAACTTTAAAGGGAAATAAAGAGGTTGTTTGAATATTTATCAGAACAAAGTGCAGGAGGAATTTCAGGATGAATGGAAGAGTGTGTTCAGCACCAGAGCATATAGATCTCTGCTTGTTATAAGGAAATGAAAGCATTTTGGGGAGGGTTTATTGGTGTGTTTAGGTGACTTCTCACTACTCTACCTGACTTCATGGTTGCTTTGACTCACTGGAAAACATGAGCCAGCTGCCTCTGGCACTGCTGCTACTGGGAGATCTCCAGAAGACAACAACCGATGGCTTTGCTCAGGGAGATCCACCAGCCAGCAGAAAGGAGCCATCAGCTCAGTATGTTTGGAAAGGTTTTCAAGTTCAAATCCACCCACAATCAGCTGTGACTGTTAAATTCACAGAGAAGTGGGTTTGTTGTGGACAAAGGAGGAATCCCAGTTTCTCTCTGGTCTGAGCTATAGGAACACAATGTGTGCTGGAGCCTGGCAAGGGGAGGGCAGAGAAAGGGCCAGGAGAAAGGAGCCATTTTGTATGATCCTGGCTCTGCCATGGGCTCACGTGGGCACAGGCATGGCTCTTGCTCTCTCACAACACTGACTATCACAGTGACATCACTCCATATGGCAAAGACTCCATTGCTCCCTCCACAGCCAAGTATCCTCAGGTCCTGCCCAGAGTCCTTCAGTAAAAGCTCTACCATCCATCCTGAGCAGCAACACAAGGAGTGCATTTGGCCCCAAATCCCTGTTTGCTCTGCAGGGCTGTGTGAACTGCCCAAGCTGAGCTCAGTGTCCCTTATCCTCTCTGCTCCCTGTGGGCAGGCACAGGACAGGGCAGCTGTGTCCTCCTCCTGCTGCCCTTCACCAACACCCTATGGATTCCCAGGGAATCACTGAGGAGGCAGGCAGTGTGGTGGAGGAGGTACAGGTCACTCATACCTTTGAGAATTCCATCCCCTGGATTTGTTTCGAGCCCATCATGTACAAAGAGTAACTTTATCATGTGGGAAAAGATTCTCTCATGTTCAAACATCTCTGCAGAGTTTTGTTATTTCAGCAGGAGCAGTAATGAGGGCATGGTTCAGGGATTCCCTGTTAGCAAACACTGCCTGTTTTCACAGCAAATGGTATTTTGGGGGCAGTAAAAGAGTTCCTGGAGTGAGCTGCAGGTTCTGGAGCTCAACTGATAATCACAGCTCACCTTTCAGCAGCCCTTTCCTCCTCTGGGTGTCAGACACTGTGTGTACACACAGAATGGAATTAAACTGCAGAGCCAGCTCAGCAACTTGGGTCATTGTTTACTCTCCCTTTCCCAAAACTACAGTGAATTTGTTGTCCAAAGAAGAAGAGCACTGGAGTTCAACCCTGCCTCTGAACTGAACTGGGGAGTTATGGGTACAGAAGGGAAGAAGCTCAAATGCCACTGGTGCTTTCCAAAAACTCCTCAGTTCCGGATGCTGCCTCCAAACCCATGCAGAGCCTGGTTCAGATGGTGGCACAAGCTGATGGATTGCAGGGCTCCCAAGCTGTGTCACATTATCACTCAAAATCCAGCCACCTCTGCCAAGCTGGCAGGCTCCTCCTGCCACAGATAATCCCACATGTCAGCCTAAGCCTTAGTTCAGAAGCTGGGCACATCCTGCATGACGTCAGGCATTTATAGAATCCCAAAATCCTACAATAGTTTGGCTTGGGAGGGACAAGATTGTTCAACCCCTGCCATGGGCAGAGACCTTCCACTATTCCAAATTGCTTCAAGCCCTGTCCAACCTGGCTTTGGACACTTCCAGGGATGGGGCAGCCACAGCTTCTCTGCCAATCTGTGCCAGGGCCTGACCACCCTCACAGGGAAGAATTTCTCCACAATCTCCCATCCAACCCTGCCCTCTGGCAGTGGGAAGCCATTCCCCCTTGTCCTGTCACTCCAGGCCCTTGTCGAAAGTCCCTCTCCAGCTCTCTTGGAGCTCCTTTAGGCACTGGAAGGGGCTCTAAGGTCACCTTGGAGCCTTCTCTTCTCCAGGCTGAACAATCCCAATTCTCAGCCTGGCAGAAAATGTCCTGGCTGTTTTCCACAGTTTTCCCACAGCTTATGGCAAAACTCTAATGTTGCCTGTGCAGGTGAATGTGTCTGGATCTGGCAAAAGCCAAAGGCAGAGCAGATTCCCTCAGCAGGAACCAGAGAACATTCAGTGAACCTTGACACAGGCTGTGGCTGAGTGGAAGCCTTTGGGGTTTGTCAGGCACAAAGCAAAACCAAATTGCAAGTTATTAATGGCTTTGATTGCACTTTTTTTGGAAAGGCTTTTTCAGTTTCTTCCTCTTTTCTAACACAGTGACAATGCCAGAGCCCTCTACTTGGTTCCCAAAGGGACAAATGTATTAAATATGTATTTAATCTGGGATTCTCGGAGCTCCCAAATCAAGAAGAACAGAAAATGAAGCCACTGATGACTCCAGGGTTGTAGAAACCATCCCTGTGACCCCACAGACCAACAGACAAATAGACTAATTTCCATAAAGCCCTGGATGTCCCCCCAGTGTGAGACAGGCTCTCCCAGCTCCCCCAAGTTGCTGCCTGAAGCAGAGTTCTGCTCCAAGCTCCTGCTCCTCTGAAGCTGTCTTTGCCTGTCACCATGGGAGGTGGCACTGCTCATTTGGAACAGGTGAGAAAAAGAGAAGGAATGAGACCGTGGCAACCCTTTGCCTTTTGAACTCCCCAGGGTTCTCAATTAATCTGTATTTTGCAACCACAACTAATTCTTTGCTGCAAGTCTTGGGAATACAGGGGGAAAACACACAGTTTAACATGTTTGGGGGAAAAGTCTGACTCACAGAAGTGCCAAAGCAGTTGCATGCCACAAAATTCAGCCTTGCCATCTGCTCATGGTATTGATGTACCTGCCTGGCTGACAACCAGAGTGCCTTGAGTCTGTTTGCTCTCCCTCAGAATGGGAACACTGCTCCCTCTCCAGGGAACTGACCGGAGGGTGGAGCCAGGTGAGGGTAACAAGTGACAGGACAAGAGGAAATAGCCTCAAGGTGTGCCAGGGGAGGCTTAGGGTGGATATCAGGAAACATTTCTGCATGGAAAGGGTGGTCAGGCAATAGAATGGGTTGCCCAGGGTGGTGAAGTCCCCATCCCTGCAGGGAGTTAAAAGCTGTGTGGATGTGGCACTCGGGGATGTGGCTTAGTGGTGGCTTTGGCAGTGCTGGCAGACTCTGTGATCCATCCCTGCTCTCCACTGCACTTCCAAATATGCATTCCCACTGTCCCTGTGTTTGCAACTTAATCCCTGTTTTCTGATGCTGTGAAACTGCCCAGAGAAACTACAACACCAGCTCCTGACCCATAAACCTGCCTGAAAATGCTCCCTGTGCTCTGCCTCAGAGCAGCTCTGCAATATTCAAACGTTAATTCAGCCTGTGCTGTACAAACTCCCCTGGGAACAAACAGCAATCAGGATAATCTGCTGCAGCTCCACCACTTCCTTGGTCTCTAACAGGTGCTGTCAAATAAACCCACTGAATAAATCAGCCCCATTGTAACAGTGAGGAAGGATTTTATAACTCCATTTGCTGAGTGGGAGGATGTTTTTCTCTCTGTTTTTTAACTGACAGCCAGATAAAAAACACATTAATCAAGAGACAGGAGATAGAGGCCTCAGAGCTGAATTCCTGGTTATACTGAGGGCTCTTAGTCCTCTACTCATTTGAGGATTCTCGTGCTACCACAGCAAAGAGAACCAAGTCCAGTTTTCATCATGGATGGACTGGGAGATACCAAAATACTGAGGCTGCCTGTTAATACTTCCATGCTGAACATCTTTGCATCAGTTACACTTTTTTCCTCTATCACACCTAGTTCTTCTGGCAGAAGACTCACAGGGACCTCCAGTGAGGGCATCTGCAGGGATGGAGCTGGTTCCCAGAAAGAAAACTTCTCTCTGTATCTCTAAATATCAGTATGTATTTTTCTGTTATGCTACTGCACTGTATTTGCAGAAAAATCCATCTTCGCTTTTTTAACATTCAAAAAAATTATTGCCTCTGCGTATTTCCTTCCCATTCTTGCTCCTTTTACTTCTAAATTGCTTCCTAGAATGCATTATATTTCTTCCCATAAAGCTCCATGGTCTGGAAAACAGATCAAGAGAATGACACCTATTTAATATACATTTTCCCCCCAAAGCTTTGCAGTGAGATGAACGAAGTGGAAGTGTCAGCTCCTTCTGAAGGAGAGCAGCACTGGGATTGTCTGCTGGCACCAGGCAGATTAACAGCACTAGGAGATGAGCAGACAGCAGCTCTGTAAATATTATTCATTCAGTTGAAATGTAAATCCTGCTCCTCAGAGGGAAATGGAGAGGCTGCTACAGGATAAAGTGTGCAGGACCCCGGGGGCTTCACAGTTCAGGAAGCAGAAGGTCAACAGAAGGAGGGTCTTTGAAGAGAACTCAGAAAGAGGAGAGTAACATAGACTGACTGACAGGAAATGTCACCCCAGTGCTACCACTTGGCATCTCTGGCCATTTTCAAGCCAGCAACAGATGTCAGATAGAAAGTGACTAATGGCAGCTCTGGGGATGGTGAGAAACTGGATGTGGGAGTGTGTGGAAATGCTGACAACCCAGTGAAATGCAAAGATACAAATGCTGGACCACGTTTAAAAGCCTGTACTATACTCCTTCCTCCTGGGAAGCCCATATTTTGTTCTGCAAAGTGTCTGTTTTCTCTGTTCAGCACCAAGCCCTCTGTTTGCTGGCAAGGGCTGTGCAGAGCTCAGTTAGAATGAATGAAATGAGCTGGGAGCAGTTGGATATTTATAGGCTCAGGAGGATGGTACTCCAAAAAATCTGATAGCTCTTCAAAGAGCCTTTGGCTCCAGAGCAACACTGACAATCCCTGTCAGCTTGTGGGGACATTTGGGAAAAGTCATGGCAGGAACAACCACCATGGAAGTATCCTGACCTTTGTGCCGAGCATCTCCCAGTTTCCAGAGAGTGGAAAATGAATTAAAACAATGAAGATAAGGAAAGACATGATGACATGCCCAAGATTTCTGTCGATACGGATGTACAAGCTGAGTTCCGCATGGTTCTCCATGGAAGAGCTCACTCATGAGACAACAATGTGATGATGAATTTGCTTAAGGTAAATGAGTTGAATATTGCTGGATATATTGCCAGATGTTACAACAGTGGCTTATCACTAATGACACCAGATAGCTCTGAGGAAGCTGAATGCTTGCCAGATATACCCATGAGTCTCTTCCTGCTTCCTGGAGATCCACACTCCAAACAGGCTGCAGGACCTGGCAAACCAACCATTGCCATTATGGAGCTTCTGTAATTCCAGACCGGATCCAATTGTGGTTGGTGTGGCCCTGGGACCAAGGTACAAGGCCCATGGACCTGGCCCTGAATGAACCTGAACGGTGCTGGAGGCTCCACCAAGATAAGATTGTGGGCTGCACCTGCTCCACAGTCATGTGTTTGAGTTCCACGTTTTCCAGCTGCTGATCCCATTTCCTCCTGATCCAGCCTCACAGGGATTGGAATAAGATGATCTTTAAGGTCCCTTCCAACCCAAACCATTTTATGGTCCTAGGACAGAAAGGTCCTTCTTGGAGAATAATGGCATTTTCTGTATGCAGTATGAGATATGTCAGAACCAAAAAACCCCAAATATATCCAAATGGAGAGGCAAATTTTCATTTTTTTGCTCAATGCTAAACACTGGTTGGGCAAAAAAATCCAGAGTGAAGTCTGAGATGAGTTTCCCCAAAGACAGGGAAGAGGGACAATTTACCTGGAGGGGCTCTTTTAAGTGCCCAGCTTCCTCTCAGCATCAGTGTGGGGTTGCAGCGCTGCAAGTAAAGGATGACGGAGAAAAAATCAGAATATAGGAACTACTTACTACAGAGGAAAGGTCCATGTTTACCATCCTCCTGTCATCCAGGTCAACTGGCTGGAGTCCTGCAACGTTGAGCTGGACAGAGGAGGTTCTGTACACAAAGCTCAGCAGCCAATCCCCCCTAGGAGCAGAGAAGAGAGGGAATAAATCCTGTTGTCCAATCAATGCAATGCAGAGTCACAGAACCCTAGAACAGTTTGTATTGGAAGGGACCTTAAAGCTCATCTCGCTCCACCCCCTGCCATGGGCAGGGACCCCTTCCACTAGACCAGGTTGCTCCAAACCTTGTCCAGCTTAGCCTAGAACACTTTCAATGTGTTACTACTCAGACCACAAGGAGAGAAGGGTTGGAAGCACAGTGATGTCTGAACCAAGACCTACTGCAGCTCCATGTGATGCAGGAATCTCATCAGCAATCACCTGCCAGATTCAGGGCAGGTTCCTGGGACACAGGAGCGTAAATAAGTCTGAATTTGACCCTGACTCCTGGGTGAAGTCTCATTTCCTGCAACAGGTTTAATAATCTGACCTTTCTATCTATTTCTGTATTGGCTTAGAGATTGCAGTATACTGAAATATTTCATCCTTTTAATGTACTAATAGGCAGAAGTTCTCCAGCCTGTAGACAGCTGTAAAGGTGATGAGATCTACAATACTGATGTTGTGACATAAATACTGACTGTGAGGCTTCTGGGAGTGCTCCTGATTTACAGGTACTGTGGAAACACATGGTTTCAGTGACAGGACCAGGCAGGGTTTGTTCCCACTCTAAAGCAGTGCCATAAGTCACTGTGACAGTGTCAGGGTAGACTGTGGCACAAGGAGACAAGGCAAAGCATCCTTTGGAATCACATCACTATGCTGAGCAAGATCATAAAATCTGGGCACCTCAATGCCACTATAGGGTAGATTCAAGTGAGATATGAGTGGGATTTGTCCTCTTTGATGGCAGCAGGTGAAATGCTCCTGCACACATGCCCATGTCTGCTTGTTCACTCCCAAACTCTACACCAGGAGTTGTAAGTCTATGCAGAGCTATGCAAAACTTTTACAACACCTCCATGCTGCTCAGCCCTGGGTTCTTCCAAAAACTGAGTGAGTCCAACTACTTTGGGTGAGGTTTCCCACTAGGAATTTGTAGCCCCACTGTGAAATAAGAGGGGACAGCTCTGACAGCTGGTTTTCACTTGCCCCGTCCCTTCAGACTTCAAAGCCCAAGGAGACAAGTTATACTGGACTGAAACTCGACCAACTGGGCTCAAATCTGATCTTGCAGGAGTTGTATTCAGTGTAATTCATCTAAACAGAGTTACTCCTGAAGTGACAGAATGAGGCCACCCTTTGTATAAGGGAGAGACCAGAGAAATCAGAATCAGCGGAGGTATTACCAAGAACTATTTGTATAATACTTATTTCATATCTCAATCCTCACAGAAATACCCCATATCTCTCAGTTCCCTCCTCTAGCTCTCCCTCATGCTTCCTGGATAACCCCCAAATTCAGTATCTGAGGGAAAGGTAGAGAACCTGCATAGTGGAATATTTCCTGACAGTCTCCTTACCTGCTTCTTCCCAGGTGTGAGCAACCAGCTACAATTTCTACGTCACTTTTCACTCAACACCCAAGATCTGGACGTGCCAAATTACCACACACAGGGCTAGACACACACATACTATTTTATTCCTTTTTTTGTGTGTTATAGGAAATGAATACACTGAGCTTTTTGCAGTGAAATTGATTTTTGTAGGATGCAGGGAAGAACAATATTTGCTGGGTAAGCTTATATGCAAGTTATATGCAACAATTTCTATCATTTATGGCTTCTTGGAGGAACTCAGAACACTCCCAGGGAGGCAGCAATTGCTTTTTTGTGATGCATGTGAAGAAATACCGTAAGTGCTGTGCACATCCAGCATCCCTAAAACCTGCTAAGATGCAAAAAGGACAAAAGCAATAATTTTCACCCTGACACACAGGATAGATAATTTGTTGTTTTGATCTTGAATACTTTTAATTAATTTATTTAATTCTTCTCTGTGAGTTAATGTACTCTGTTAGAGGCACAGTAACATAATAGTTCCTCACCTCACAGGTATGTGTGTAGGTATCCATATGGATGTGTGCATGGAAATACCAACAGCATTTTCACCTCTCCTTGACCCGAGGGCTCATGGCTTTATAAATGGTCCTGACTTGCAGGTATTATGTTCTTTGCTAATCTTCTTGCCTGGTTCTTTCTCAGTTTATTTCCCCATGCTCTTAAGTCTTCCCTGCTTTAATTTCCTCTGTTTTAATTTCCCCTTATCTGGTTGTGCTGGGAAGCAGCGCCCCTGTCACAATTTTCTTCCAATACACAATCATTAGGTTACTAGTCATTAGTCATCAAGCTGTCACTTCAATTTTTAATAGCTTTTCTGAGATTGCTTTAGCTGTCTGGGGCCTCTGAACCTCCCTCTTCCTACCCAGCAGCTCCCACAACTCTGCACAGTAGTTAGCTAGCTGCCTGTGTGGTTTTAAAAGGCTGATATTTGTTTTCATTGATCACCACCATCAGTCTACCCTGGCCCCCAATCAGGAGGCCTGGACACACACCATCTATAGCATTGTTTCCTTTGAGAACACTCGCAGGGTCACTCTCGAGGAGAAAACACAACGCAGAAAGAATCGCGTCTTGTCAATCTCACCAAGGGGTCTTTCTGCTGTGCCTTCTGCAACCGGACTTGTCTGTCCCGCATTGGCCTTTTCAGCCATCAGCACGCTTGTAGCAAGCGTGGGTAGAGCTCTTCTCAAATCTTTGTTCACAAAGCCCAGCCATGATGACGAGTTGTTTTCAAGGTAATTTTTGTATTGACATCCTAACTAAATTTTGTACAACTACTCCCGCTATTCTTCTTTTGTAGGTAAAACACCTTATTCATGTGGACTACCTTCACCAGAAACCTCCTGTAGACATAAAAACCTTCAATCGACTTGAGCTCCTTCCCTTCCATTGTGATTTTCACATCTTGTTCCCCAGAAACAGCCCTAAGTGAATTGTATCTTAAAGCTTTTATAGATTTTAATTCCCATTCTTTAAGCCAGTGAATTTAATGTCCTCATTTATAGTCCTTTACCTAAAGCTGAGATTTAAAGGGGTTTTAGAATACATCAGATGATGCACACAAACACACTGACCCAGCTTTAGGCTGTCAGTGACAAAACACTGTCCCTGTAGGAACAGGACCTACATATGGAGCACCTCGGGCTTCCAGTGTCACAATCAGTCCTCAAGTGCCTCCTGAAGCCTCTTACCTGCAATTGATCTGAGGGAGAGACCTCCAGAGGGACAAAGGTCTGCAGCTCCTGAATCAACACCTTCACCAGCTCAACAATTATTCAAAGTGTTTAAAAGGGATAAATACATTAAAACCATTTCAAGGATAATGAAGGGGGGACTGAGCACAGACAGACCTGCAGTAACCATTTATGATCCTGCCTGACACCACTTTGGTGAGAGCTTTCCAGTGCTTGGCTTCTCCTTCCACTGGAGCTCCCAGTAAAATGACATCTTCAATGATCCCCTGGGATTCTGTTAAGGGAAAGCAGAACAGCTCAGATTTAGAAAGTGGAATAGAAATATTTTTATATGAAGGAAGGGTGTCTTCAGATGTGAAGTCCATAAAAATAATCCTTTCTGTAGTTTCAATTTGAAGGACAGAAACAAGGGAAAGGAGGATCATAAATATAACTTCACATAAGTGTCTGAAGTTCAGCAGGAGACAGTAAATGTGAGAAATAGAGATCCTGAGGCAGTGAAAAGGACCGGACTGATGGCAGGAGGGAGAAGAGGACTGGCCTCTGTCCAGAAAGATGCTGTTCAAGCAGCAAACATCTGGAAAGTTTGGAAACCTCGGGAAAGTTTTTTTTGCAGACCCACTGATCTGGGTTTGTACAGAGCTTTGAAACAGGTGAAAGGGGCTGACATCCCATAGAGTGATCGTGTTGTCATGCATGAAGGATGATAAACCCTTCCCACAACCAGTCCTTAGAGCTGAGTCCATGGAAAACATGACATGCACATGTAAGAGAAAATCCCAAATTCTTAATATTGATTAGGAAGTAGCAACAATGGAGGCATTTGCCAATACAAGTGATGATTTACTAAACTGTTTCAATTTCCTTGTGCTGTAACCTGAATGCCCAAGGCAGGATTTACTGAACAGCAGTGTTGAGTTTTAAGCATAATAAATCTTCCTCACTTATCTGAGAGCAGCAGCAAGGCAATTCTAGGAGAAATAATGATGGAATGAGAAACATTGGGCAGCTCTGCTACTTTCCTGAACTCCTGGACAATATATTTGTCCTGGACAATATATTACGAAAGACAATGTCTTTCCTAAATCTTTGTGAAGAGAGATGAAGCTCCTGATGCCACAGCAGTTAAATGGGAGACTCATGGGCATAACATTCCAAAGCCATACTCTGCACCTCAGGGAGGCCGGGCCCTAGAAGACCTGAGGTAAACCAAATGTTTGAGGGAGAGGCAGTGCCTGGCTGGACTTTTAAAATGAAAATCACTTGGTTTCCTTCCCCTGAGAGAGTAAAAAACCGGAGCTCCCTGCAGCGTCTGCTCTTTCTGTGCAGTGTAAATACCGGTGCCTGACAGCAAAATCCAAATGAGCTCTCCTGGAATTAGTCCTTATTGCAAAGGAAATCTTGCACCAATGGAGAAGAGCAAAGAGCAATTCAATTTTGTTAGTGTAATCTGTGTGAGCAGTAAAGTCCTGTTCCCGTAATCACGGGCAATTAAAAGGAAACCCATAGTCTTCCTAACGGGAAACTCGTTCCAAGAAGGTATGAAATTCCACGGCCACAGAGTGAGCCAACTGAATCAACAAACATCAGGATCCTGAATATTTGGGCAAGGTATTGGAAGCTTTTGTTTCTCCTGTCCTTTGCACAGCTTAATTCTTGCTCAGAACAAAAAATGTTTAGGTTTTGCTGAAAAATACTAATTTTATTTGAATGTTGACAGAAGGGGATAGAAACCTGGGAACAGATCACTGGCCTGCAAAGCTGCTGAGGCTCGAGATAAATTAAATGTATTTCACAACTTGCAAATCTTTTAGATTATGAAGAACAATAAAGTCTGCACAAGCAGAGGAAAACCCCTAATTCATTAACCATTTAGCATTACAGAGAGTCGCTATTAAATATGAAGCTTTATATAGAAAAATGTGCAATAAAGTCCAAAAAGGTGAGAGCAGAGTGAGAAAAAAACCTGATTAAGGTGATTTTTCCAGAAAAAGTGTGGAAGAAAGAAGCTAAACCAGAGCCCTGGGACACCTGACTACGGCAGGGATCACAGCCCAGTGGGATAGTGGTCACAGGAGCTGTGATCAGTACCAGATAAGTCCCCAGTGTGTGACACCTCACTCCTGTCACACACAGTTGGGTTTCAAGTTTCAGGGTCTGGTGGTAACAGCCATTATCAGTTTGCATTAGTTTGCTAATTGCTAATTATTGAAATACATGGGAATCATGACAAAGAAATCAGAGCAATGATCTTCCCACGCAGTAAGATGTCTCTGATGGCTCATTTACTCCATCTTCTGCTACAATGTTATTTTCTGGAAACCTGCTGAGCTCTGGCTCCCAAAGTCATCCGTGATGAAGTATCCCAAAGGTTATTCCACTACTTTGCAGAGAAGCATTTGAACAGAATTTGAGTTCCTGCCATGGTGTTTCACTGGCTAATCCATCATTAGTTATTTGTCCTCAGAAATGCCACTGCCATCTGGATGCAAAGCCCGGCGTGATGAGCCCGTGTTTGTGTGAGACATCCAAGGCCAAACTCAAATCAGTCTCAGCTGCCCCAGGTCCCAGGTCCATTCTTTCTGTGGCTTCTCTGGAATGTGCCTGTGAGGAAGGCCTTGGCAATCTGTGCCTAACATGCTGCTTTTCATCTCACAAACAGCTCAGCTTCCAGAATTCCATTACAAAACTGAAAAATCAGAGTAGGGTGGGAGCTGCTCTGATACATCCCTGTGATGCTCTGATTTCTTTGGAGTGGCAACCAACCTTCCAACCCCTAAGGGTTCCTCCCATAGATTACTTAGCAACAGGCTATTATATTCTAGACTTAAATAACAAACTGAAAATATCCCAGCCCATGGCATTCTCAGGACACAAAAAGTGTAGATCTAGGACCAGATTAGGATCTGGTGTAACTCCATTAGGATCATTCTGGATTTGATTAGATTTATTTTGAGAATAGAATTCCTGTATTTGAGGATTTGCATTCTAAACCAGAAGTCAAGTTCTGGTACAAAGCTGTCAGTGCTGACCTTTCTGTCCTCACCTGACTCTGTTCCCACTTTTTAGACTACCCTGGACATTTTCCTTTATTAAGCTCCTTATTTACTAGTAATTATCTGTGAGGATAAATGGTTAATGAGTTAAATCGCTATGTGGGGGGAAGGCAGGCACACGCTCACTGCTGACTCAATTCCAAGATACAATTTCCATCAACTGATCATAATGATTTTATTCTCTTTTTCTCTAAATTAAAAATAGAATCTATTAATAAACAGAACCACAATGGGTAATAAATTGACAGATGGTTTTATACTTGACTTTGTGGAAAAATTACCATGAAAATAGCAGATGACAGAGGCATTTCAGTGACTTAAATGGAAGGGAGGACTAAGGGAATCAGATAAAGAGCTGCAGAGAGCTCCCAAGAAAGGCAAAGCATCCTCTGCCGGGATTACAGCAGCATGTGGGCAGCTCCAGGCTGATCCAAATGTCCAGTTGTTGTTTACAGACCAGACTGACCCATTGGAGTACCTCAGGTGAAGGCAGAGGATTTAATCTGCTGAACTGGGGGAAATGACAACAGAGTTTGGCTCCAAAGGCATTTCAAAACCATTTTTTAAAGATTTTTGTCCTATCCTAAAAGAGTCAAGTTCTCTTCCAGAAAAACTCTTCCTCTTGGAAGAAAAACTTCTGTATCAGCAGTAATAAGGGAGGAAAAGGTTATAAGGTGAATTTTACCTTTCTCTTGAGCCATTTCCTGCAGACAGAAGTAAATGACTCTTGCACCCAGACTGAAGCCAATCAGTGTGACAGGTCTCTTCCCCTGAGAAAGAAGGAGAGAAATCCATCAAATTCTGCTCTAGACCTGGAAAGCGAGACTGTTCTGGGGGTCCCTGAGAGCCTGAGACACAGAGCACCTATTTGTGCATCATCTTTGAAATGCCTGAGCAATTTGGTTGGTTTCAAAGGGACTATGCCCAGTTCAACATGGAGGATTCTGCATATCTGAGTATTTTGTATGTTTTGATCTTCAATTGAAAGAATCTAATGATTAGAACTTACAACAAAGCAGCTCTTTCAAGCAGAACCAAACCAGATGTTGTCATTGGTTTGAAATTTCCAAATGAAAACCTAATTCAGGGAGCAAAATTTTCCTAAAAATGTTTCAATAAACAGAAGAAGCAGCTGTAATACAAAAAATATTGACCACTTCCAGATTTCAGACTGAGTAACAGCAGCACCATGTGATGCTTATAAAAAATGATGTGGGTTTTAAGCTTTAAGCTTTTATTTTGAATAGCCTAATAAGATTTTCTGTAAGATCAAAGGGAGTCTAATCTCAACATCAGTGAGAAATGGTCTTCATACTATCCAGGGAGCAGGTATGCGATGGACACCCTAAACTAGTTTTAGACACTCCAGCTCGTTGGAGTGTGTGTTTTCAAACAGCAGATGCTTAATAGGCAGCAACAAATGCCCTGCAGCAAGGCAAAGGGCAAAATAAAATTTATTGGCTTTCCTGGGATGGGATTTCTATGAGGAATCAAGTTTGTTTCTACTCTGCTGTTCCACATTGTCGTGACACAGCTCTGGGGCCACGGCTCCCTTCTGGCTCCTCGACATCAGCATGAACCAGTGTGAGATGGACACATGGCCAGCAAAAACCAGTGCTAGCCCAGAAAATGATGGCAGGTTTTCTGGGAGCAGAAATGTCTTTTTTCCAAGCCTTTTCAGGGGGATTTAATAGCTTTTGTCACTTCTTTCAGGTACCACCCCATTCCATGTCTCTGAAGCAAAGCTTACAGGGCATTGGCTGCCACACACTTTTGTCTCAGGTTGTTCTGCTGCTGCTTCTTAATGATCAATGAATATTTTTAACACCCTATGTTCTCTTTTCACCTGTCCCTACTTCCTACTCTCTAGTTTCCACTGGGGGAGTGGGCATGGTGGTGTTGTGACACGCTCAAGCCACTGGTCATTTACAGCTTGGATCTCTTCTTCCTCATTTGGAAAAGCTTTAGGTTAAATGGAACAAATCTCAGCAGGATTTCTCTGATCCACTTGGGACTTCCTCTTTTTCCCCGATACCAGATACCTGTTGGTCAGCTTTCTGCAGCACTCTTTAAGTTTTTATTTTATTAATTTTTGTCTCCCTGGAACAATACCACTTGACAGTTACCTAGTGTGACTATGAAACTTCACCTCCATGGGCCAAACCCCTTCCAACCTTTATTCCTGGATAAGTTCTGGCCAATTACCTGCTGTCGACTGAGCAGGATATGTGCAAGGTGTTTGCCTACTTCAGCAGACCGGTGCAGACACACTCCCCAGGGGTTGTCAATGACGCTGGCAACAGTCAGGAGTGAAGTTGGCCACGTCAAGGCCGTCACAATCCCTGCAACACACAGAGGTTTCTTAGAAAACATCAAAAGCAAGACAGTTCACTGTGAACAGATCACTGGCCTGCAAAGTTAAAAGCTGAGCCTAGGAGCTTTTGTCATTTCCAGTTCTTCTTTCTCAAGAGCTGAGAAATGCTTTGCTGGACTGAAGATAAGGAAGAATCTGATGTTCTGATACAGATGTTGTGGGTGAGTGTAACTTGTGTGTTGGAGAGGTTTATGTACAGCAGTAAAGTGATGTAATAACGTAGAGAAGTGAACAGTCACATGTGAAGGAAGGTGTTTCCAGACGTAATTTCAACAAAATGAGTCACTGATGCGGTGGCTCAGCAATCCAGGAAAGCACAGCTAAATTACAGGTGTGGTAGAGGAGGTTCTCAGGTCACTCCTGCAGGGTGGTGCCAACACTGCCTCCTCCAAAATATTCCTTCTTTAGGAAAGCTCCTCTAACAGGGAAACTGCACAAGAGCCACTCAAGCAGATCTGGTATGATTTAGGTTCTTACCTGACAAGACAGTGAATTTTAGGGCTTCTTGAGCCATCATGTTCACAAAACCATTCAGCAGGGAATCCAAGGCATTGCCAAGCTCCATCAAGTACTTGGATTCCCAGGCCAGGCAGTACTGCTCACTTGACTGCAACATGCTGCTCCATGGTGCTGTGAAGCTCCCTGGGAAAGGTTGCAAAGATGGAATTCATGTTCAGATAGAACACAACAACAGCTGACTCCTGGCAGGAGGAGTCCAGCAGAGAATCAGAACAAAACCTGCAGGACATTGGAATATTCTGGCAATGTTATTAACAGCAGATCAACACTGAAGGGCAGAGCAGAACTGTAATCTTACTTAACTAAAACCCTTCTTACACTGTTGCTTCCCCAAATGATGCAGGGCAGGTTGAGGCAGCTGCTGATCAAAGTGGAACAAGAGCCCCACAATGGACTGTGAGATTTGGGAACACACAGGTGGGCAGCTACTTGCAGTTCCAAAATCACAAGGTGGAAAATTCCATAAAATTCCTGTCCTCGATACCTCTGTTTAAAGGAGTGTGTTCATAGACAGACACTGTTGTAAAGAGGGAAAAGGATGACAGTTTAGTTTTGCTCTTTAAAACATTCTAGCAGATTGCTAGTTATGGAAGAAGAATGTGTGTCATCTGTAACTCCCTTTTAAGGGCAAACAGACATGAAAAGGTTCCTAGAGGGACACAGTTGCCTCTCTAACAGTGCCTGGGAGCTCTCCAGCCCTGAGGATTTGGACCCCTGGCAAGCAGACAATGAGAGAAGCCAAAACACAGCACTGCTAGTGAAAATAACCTCCCTGTGACAGCAAAGCTGCACCCTGACAAGTTACAGGGCAGAGACATCCTGCTGCATTAATGACATCCAGTTTAATTATGATGCTCCTCAATAAATTGGCAGCTGTTCTGTCAGGTTGCTGAACACATTGGCAGACAGGTGACATATTTTTTATGACAAGCTACACCGGAAAATAAAACACTACAGACCTTTCAAGGTCACTGCCTGGAAGTCACCTTTGAGGGCTGAGCTTAACAGGATTTACTTGGCAGAACTTTCTTGCCAATAAACCTCATTAATTGCCTGATACAGAGAGAGAAACCCCACTATTTTCTGTTAATTGCTGAAGGATAAACATAGGGTCTCAGAGACGCTTGGTCCTAGTGCTGGAAATCATCTCCCAAACAGACCTTTCCTAGCAAACCATGCAACAGTTACTAACAGAAACAATCCTATCGCTACCAGTTCCATGCCCTCTCTCTTTCCTCTGTTTCCCTGGGATTGCAGATTGGGTTACAAAGTCTTACGGTGAGAACTGATGGGGTTTAGTTACCAGGTCACAGAAATGTGGGGTAGGTCATGGGGCTCTGCGGGCACAAACACAGCCTGGACTGGAACACAGTCCCATCTTTCCAGGTTCCTCTCAGTTTCCTCACCATGTTCTTACCATATTTGCCAGCACACAGCCATCCAGTAATTGCTATGGTGATATGAAGCTGCTTCCCTTCAGTAAGTGGGAGGAATTCAAACTCTTCAATGGCTCCCACACGTTTCTTCATCTTGTATCCTACACACAGCCAGGTAGAAACATGTGGCTCAGAAATGGCACAGCTAGGACACACTCTGCTAACAGCGCCGGTTCCTAAGAAATTAACTGGGCAATTTCAATAGGCCTTTTTCTTTCCCAAAACTCCCAACCACTCAGTGCAGTACTTCGAGCTTGGTAAGGAGCCAACATGATCCTTCTGAGCTTGTGTGATCTGAGGGAATCCAGTAGGAGGGTTTTTCTGCTGTAACAACTGCTGGTGTCCATGGCAGCATCTTTCTAACCCAAAGCAATAACTCTAATTTCTTTCATTAACCACACACCAAATATTCTTTCCCTATTTGGTCACCAGGGGCCACACAGTACCTTAATCAGCACTGAAATAAAAATTTCCCAGTTGACACCTCAAATCACCTCCCTTGCTCTGTAGAGCTCAGTGAAGTCATTAACTGTGCATTATCAGATATGATCCTGTGCCTTAGTGGCTGAGAACTATGTGGTCACTCTTTTACCAGTAAGACCAGCTCCTGCTGCTCCAAAAAGGGATGCCATGACAGCAATCCCAGCAGTTGATCCCAAAGCAGCTGCTCCAGCACTCCCGATGATCGTGGCAGCTCCTGCAGCAACCAGAGGGGCAGCCAGACCCCCTGTCAAACCTGAGGATGAAACAAGGGATGTCACCAAACTATTATCCCTTACAAAACCCAGGCAGGCAATTCCCTGTGCTGGATGGATGCTGCTAATGCTACTGGGAGAGCACAAATAGAGGGCTTTTTACATCCCCAATAAAAGGGCTTTCTGAGACTCTCCCCAGGCCCTGAATCTGCCCAAATTCTTTGACTTAAGTAAAAATGAAGAACAATTTCAAAGTCAAAAGAAGACTGTGTAGTACACTGGGGTGAGCTGTGTTTTTTCTCAGGAAACACTGATCTAATCCCTTTTGATTTAAGAGTTGAAGATCTGATCCTCTTATAACAGGAGAGCAAAAGAGGAGAAAACATTTTTAAGGGTGACCACTCCAGTTTAATATTTCCCCCAGCCAGTGAAGCTACACTGGAATAATTTTCCCAACTAATTCTTTCAGTTCTATTTTCAAGCAGCTGAAAATACTTTTCTTGGATCCAGACCTGCCCTGTCCCTTGTGCTGTGTTCCCAAAACACCAAGGCCAGCCTCACCTATCACTGTTCCACCACCAACGGTTGCCAGACCGATCAGCAGGTACCTCTTCAGCTTTTCCCTTCTTTCCTTCTTTTTTCTTGAGACTTCTGCGGTTCTGTGGAGAGATTAGAAGCACAAAAACTGAGGGAAAAGCCTGATGGATAGTTCTGCACCAGAATCTGCCCTTATTCTCCTCGGTGTAATCTCCCCCCCCCCCCGGGAACAGTAAAAAGGAACATGCAGGTATGGACTGTGACAACACACTGAGATTTACAAGCACAGATTTAGAGATTTAAATTGAATGGATTAAATGGACCACAGGTTTAAATTGAAACGATTTAATTGCTGACAAAAGCCAACAGATGTTACTTACTTGGAAAACCCTTCCTAATAGGGCTGAAGCTTGTAAAAAGAAAAGAAACAAAAAGTCAAAAGCATTTCATTAACTAAACGCTGCCTATGTGTCCTAAAAAACTGCAGAAAAGCTGAGGAGAAACAGGGAAGTGTTTGAAACAAAAGAGAATAGAGGTAATTTGTGCTAACAAACAGAGATGCAGTGAAACTATTTTCCAACAACAGTGTTTATATTGAGCCGCTTTCTGATTGCACATGGCAATATAATTATATAATAGGAATTAAACACATTAGTTCATTTGTCTGTGTGCATTTAAGCTATATTTTAACAAGCTTATTAAGAAGGAGGTAAATAAACCCAAAAGGAACAAATATCACTAGTTTCGACTTCTCTCCACTGTCTTTGCTTTCCCTCTTACAAGAAATGCTTCAACTTCAGAGGAAAGCAGGAGAAACAGAGGATACTGGAATAAGTTGTTTGCAGAGGAAGGTTCCTTCTGGTGGTTAATCCAGGCCTTGAAACGTGAGAATTTATCTTGCTTCCAAAATTGGATATTTTCCCTGTTAATTCCAGCCTAATTGTGGATTTTCATTATCCATATAATTGCCTAATCCTTCCTGGAACCCTCTATGCACACTATTATTTTGATAAAGGCAATTTTACATGAGTCCCAAACAATATGTGGCTTTGTGAAACACAGCAGGAGGGGAATGGAGCTCAGTGGGTGAAATCCCTGAGTCACTGGAGTCACTGGCAGAGCTCCTACAGACTTGCATAGCACAGAGACTTTGTCTCCACGGAGATCCTCCAAAAAAACACTGTGTGTTACCTTCCACAGCTGCAAATGTGCTGTCTGCAGAGCACAATCTCTCCAGCAATTTCTGTATGACCATGGTGGACAAAACGTTGTTTGGCCTTCAGAGAATCATGGAATCATTCAGTTTGGAAAAGTCCTCCCTGTCCATGGAGTCCACCCTGTGCTCCATCCCCACCTTGTCCCCAGCCCAGAGCACTGAGAGCCACGTCCAGTCCTTCCCTGGACACCTCCAGGGCTGGGGACTCCAAACCTCCCTGGGCAGCCCCTGCCAAGGCCTGACCACGCTTTCCAGGAAGTAATTCCTCCTGATGTCCAACCTGAACCTCCCCTGGCACAGCCTGAGGCCACTTCCTATCAAATGCCCTACTTTGAGCCTCAGTCACCAATCTGAATGCCTGGCTTTGGATAAAACTGCTCCTGGAGTTGTTTACATGAGTGCTGCAGTTGGACTGTCCATACCTAAGCTGGCAATACCCAGCAATTTCTATTCTACATGTGGTTCATCAGCTTTTACAGTCACTCTGCTGTGTCTCAGGCTGAAAATAATGATCACCAGAGAGCTGGAATATGTCTAAACTGAATTCAGTTATAATAATGAGCAGTTTGAGTTATGTGGGAAGAGACACAGCGGAAGCTAAATCCTGCCTGGTGATGCAGTAAATAAAACTACTGTCAGGAGAAGTTCTACCTGTCACTGCTTCTCTTCTGGAGCTGCCAGAAATGTGTCTCACAACTGCTTCCTACTGGCTTCTCCATCAGCATTATCACAGGATTACAGACTGCTTTTATCCACTGCGGTAATTAACTGCTGCTTCTGGTACTTCTCTACCCTCAATGAGCTCAGATGTGCAGCTTCTTGCCTGAACCACAAATTATGTTCTGAGAGATTGTTTAATGGTCATTTTGCAGTAAGGAAAGGTGGCAGGAGCACATGTTAACAAGCAACTGGCGTGACGTTTTCCAGTTTCGTACAGAACTGGGTACAAAAGAAAGGTTCACACCTGCAGGTCAGAACACGTTTGGTGCAAGTAACACGGATTTAAGTGGTTGGAGCATTGTTCTGTAGAGGGTTGTATATTTAATCTTGCAGGTTCCAGGTCTCAATCCAACACATCCACAGCAGCAAAGGCAGGAGCAAACCCTCCTATTAAGAAATACCAGTAAAAACACCTATGTAGGCGCTGCCATACTATCGTGGTCGAGGTGGGATGGTGACACGTTTCAGGATACCAGCTTGCTTTATTGCAACAGTGTATCTACCTTTATACAGTTCTGGGTGACACATGCATACACAGCATTGGTTTACCACTAACATAACAACTCATGATTGGACACAGCTACACATGTCCTAACACAACAGGTTAACATTCCTAATAGGAAACCCACTCTGTGTTACTGTCCTGCTGTCCGTGGTTAACCCTCTGCCGGGTGTAAGAAGTTCCATCTTTGGTATCTCAGTTTACAGAGAGCCCAGAAACAGCTGGGCTCTCCCATACCATACCTCTATTTGGTTGTTTCTGTTCCAGTGGATGGTCAAAACTGGAAGCATCCCAAGCACAGATTGGTATTCCCAGCCCCAAAAATCTGTGAGGTCAAGGTGGTGACAGGTTTATATTCTGCTTCCTTTCCCCATTGACTCCTGACTTTAAAAGAAACAAAGGGTCATCTATTCCCCACAAATCTCAGCCCTGGTTTAGCACTGCAGTAATGAATGTGTTCACACCACAGTCTTGGACTCCTCTTACTGTAAAGATTTTTCTTTTTCCTCTCATCTAATAGATATTTACTTCCATGGCTGTGATTTGGGCAAAGAATAAGATTGAAATCCATGGCTTTCTCCACAGCAGACACACAGGAACCCCACTGGGCTGGTGGCAGGGTTGGAAAGCCACACTGTTCATATGCAACATAATTCTCTCCCCATTATCAGACACAGTCTAAAGGCCCAGGACTGAGTCTGTTTTCACAAGCCACAGCAAAACAGCCCCCATTAATACACCAACCCTTGCTCCTGCATGTCAAGTGTTTAGCAGTCCGTGATCTTTGAGATTATTTTGACTTTCCCTTTTTACAGTGTGCTATAAAGTCAAGCTTTATTTAAATACAGCTATAAATAAAAGATACCCATCACAATCTGGACCCTATGGTAACATCTGAGGTGGACCATGTCACGGGTGTCAATTAAAGCCTTCATTAGCACTCAGGTTAACCTCATAACCCTTTTGCTGAGTTGACAGATAAAAATTATTTCCCTGGAAAGTCCACTACGGACATGTTTACTGCCTTAGATAGTGCTAAACTGCCACACAATTCCTGCCTGATAAGCAGAATATAAAGATGCTACATTTCTTACAGATATCAACTTTTTGGCTGTTTCACATCTAGGAAGTGGTGATTAAGAGAATTAATCTTATATTAATAACACAGAATTAGGATTTGGGTCTGTACGTATCTGAAGATACAGATTGTTTTCCTCAGAAATCTCCCTTCAATAGGAGTTATCCCCTTGTCTCCTAAACAGGCACAGATGGATAGATCCACAGAAAATGAGCAGCTGAGGATCTAATCCTGATATTTCTAGGAACTTCATTCTGCAAGGACAGTCCTCTCTGAAGGCAAGAGATAAGAGACATAAGATATTTATGATGGATTTAAGCAAAATCTACCATGTCTGAAAGGCAACTGGAACAAGGAAAGGAGTCAGTTCAGCATGGAGCAGCTTTCACCACCTTGCAAGGCTGGGTCTCAGCTCTGATTTTGAGAATGCTGAGCTTTCCTGCTTCTCAGTGCTGTGAGGGGGTTGTAACCCTAATCAAGCCATAAATGATTACAGTAAGAACCATGGGGGGAATAATCAGAGACTGGACTTAGGCACAAGTAATTACTGCTAAGCTTTCAAGCACTGGCAGCATTTTTTGATCCCACAGTCAACCCAAATGTTCTTACTCTGACTCTTTGTCTTTTTGGTCCTTCAGGCTCTCAAGCAGAGATTCCTCCAGGACTTCCAGCTCCTCCAAGGAGATTTTCAGCAGCAGGCTGATGTGGCAGATCAATACCCTGGCTCGAGCATCGTAGTACCCTTGAACAGAGGGAGGCCCAGGAAATCAGTCTGATCACACCAGATTAAAAAGGGAGTAGAGCACTCAGCTGGGCTGGGGGAACATGTCACAGACAAGCCTGGCTTCTTCTCCCAGTTCTTTTCTTTTTCCATGTATTGGTACATGAGAAGAGAGCGATAAACGGAAAATTCTTTTTCCTTGAGAATAAAGACATCACATCAGGTAATGCCTCTATGGTAGCAAAAGGATCTCAAATCCTTCCATCTCCATCCTCTGTGACGGAGGCCTTTCGGCTCTGGAAAAGGTGCATCTTCTCAACAGAGAAATGCTGCAGCACAACCAGTGCTAACTGGAAATATCAAACGTATCCCTGTGGGTAACTGGACACAGCACACCCCGACTGCACCAATGCAGGAGGCAGCATTTTGTAAAAATGCATCTCCATGGAAAAGCTTTATATTCAATTCATCTTGTTGGCAACTTAGTCTGGAATGTAAAACTACACACCAGCTCCCCCAGGAGCACTACTGACAATTGCTTGCTTTTTTACTCCTTCTTGCAGATGGAGGAGTGGACAGTGAACTCAGACAACATCAGAGAGCAGAACTGATTACTCCTGGGCTTGTAAGCAGGTGTTCTTCAAGAAAAGACATGTTACATGTAATAGATTTTAAATTATTTGTGCCAACTCTTGCTTTTTTAATGTGCTTTTCTCAGCAGCACCTGCTGCCTCCTGATGTTTGGCTTTTGTAAAGGGTTCTTGGTGCACTCTGGGATGAAAAACACAATTGTTTGTCTCAGGGTGGGTGAAGATCCCAGCAAGACCCAACTACAAAGGATGTTTGTGATCCCCGCTGCACGTAGATCAAATATGGCATTGGGCAATCTATTAGGTTTGTTTATTTATTACCACCATTACCAAGATACCACACTCAATCAGTGGCCTTTAATGACACCACTCATCAGATTTGTGCTTAGTTGAGAAACAAGGACTGGATTTATCTTCATTCCTTCACGATATTTGCCACGTTCTGCAAGTCCAAGCAGGTGTTTTAACAAGTTTTCTTGTTTCCTGGCTGCTAAAACACTGCTGAGCTCCTTCCAAGGCATTAAGTCACTGATGCTTGGAAATATATTCCTTTTAAATTCCAGCTTAGCAAAATAAGCAGTTTTGCAATAACCGATTTGTCAATTTTCCATTAAAAATAAAGCAAGAACAAAACCTGTTTTGTTTTATTTCACTGTTCTTCAGTGCAACAGGCTGATCAGTCTTCTCTTGTAAGAACATGTTAAAACACAGAGATTTAAAAAATGCAAGCAGTGATAGAAACCAGGCTTCTTTTAGAAATGAACATTTTGTTCAGTAGGCAGTCTTTATTTCATTAATTTTATCAGACTAATCCATGTTATGGATTGCAAACCAGAAAATTGTTTTATGTGTAATATAATATATGAGTAAAATCCCATTTATTTATAATGGGCTTCACAGGACACTCTGGAATTTATGTCCTAGTGGTTTTTTTTTTTCTTTCTTATTTTAGGTAACAAACAGAATATTTGTTAGGCTGAGATTTTTGTAACAGCTTTACTGCCTTCCTAAAGGAAGAGGTCACCTGCTTCCCTGGAACCACTGGAGAAAAACCACCCCACTCCACCATCACTTTACATCTGTCTGCATGTGAAGGTAAGGAGGTGAATAGCTGTTCACTTTTCAGAGGGCATTATTAACCCATCCTAATAGTTGTTTTTCCTGAGGGGGACGCAGGGAAGGAGTGTGCTGCTTTTGCCAGAGAGGAAGCTGAGATGAAATAACGTGGCACCATGAGCTTTTTGAGCTTTTAAAGTGTCAGATATAAACTCATCTATATTATCTTTACAAAGAACAAATGCTAAATTAAACTTACCATCTCGAAGAGAGAAGGATAGAAGGTCCTAAAAATAAAATAAAAAAAAAAGAACATTCAAGTTAAAACTGATGATGAAGGCCTGGAGGGATCAAAACAGAGGCATGAAAAGCCATCAGACTGATTTAACTACTGAAGCATCTCAGTTCATAAATCTGGGAAGCCAGAAAGCTACAATTCAGTGAGGCAGCACAGAGCAAAACCAGTATAAAATTCTCCAAAGGCCAGTATAAAGGGCTGGGCAAAAGTAGACAATGCTTTGTATATGCTGAAACATCCCAAACTTTTTATTATTAATTATCCTGATCTGACACCAGACTTCCAAGTTTGGAGAAACAGGGCCCTAATCCTCCCTCTCCAATGCCTTCTGCTCCCCATGCACTCACATATACTCACATTTTCAACATGAGTAACAGGTTTGAGTGTTCCTCTAATGGACCAGTGGCCCCTATTTTCTATGGCATTCTGGGAATTCATATCTCTAGGCAGTAAGGCTGAACCAGCATAAAGTTCTTTTGGATTAAGTGCTTACATAAAAAACTCAAAATTTATGGTCCTCTGTCAAGATGGAGAGATTTGACTTCTGTGTTGGCTCTTCAGCATAAAAATACAGAGAAACAAATCAATTCAATACATGGTTTCTATGGATAAATCCATGAAAAAGAGGGAAGTGTTTTTACTGCTGTGTTCTCTTCTTTTATTGCCACTGGACAAATTTTAAGCTCTTTATGTGACTACACTAAACACTGGCTCAGTGTAGCTGCTTCCCTCTCCTACACACAAATACAGCACAGCTGAATTGTACAGGGAATCCTTCAGCCCTCTGGGAATGCAAAAAAATTCAGCCAAAAATGCAGGAGGCTGCCAAAGAGTTTATGATTATTAGTCCCCTAAGCTCCTAAGTACAATTTACATCATAAAAACATCTCTAATCTGAAAGTTCTACACATGTGAGTTCTACACACCAGGCTGGTGGGATCTGTAGGCAATAAACTCTCCCTGCCCAGTATCATCTGTGGCACTTCATATCAATCCAACTCAGATAAATCTGGCCTAAGCATGCACACACGTGCATTTCAAAAGTTCAGGAGTGCACCCAGGTAATCAGGTGACAAACTGGAACTACTGTTTTCATGACATCTGTGCCAATTGGCTTTCTCAAATTCTCCACTTTAGGTTTTGCACGTACTGCACATGCAGGCAGCTGGAATCCAACCAAAATTGATTAGATTAGTTCACAAGTGGTTTGTTTTCCTCCTCTAAGCAGCAGTTATTATAATTCAGTCTTATTTTGAAGTTGGTGTTTTGAATCTCCCTGCAAATTCCATGCAAAAGGCAACCCCCCATACAACTGAGAAGCCTCTCAAAGTTAGGGAAGCACCCTTTATTCAGTCTTGTCAGCGTCTTCTGAGTTGCTGTGAATTCAAAACCCATTCCCTCAACAACAGAGAGCACTGGATCCACATCACAGTGGATGTGTGTGGAAAACCATAGAAAATGGGCATTCTAAGTATGTTCAGAGCAAAAAAACCCATTCATAATAAGAATGTTCAATGTTTTATCACCTATCAACACTTCTTCACCTCCTTTATTGCACTGTCTTCCCATACCACACCCACAGCCTGTTATATCTACTGTCCTTTAAAGATTGTTACCAACATCTGCCTTTGTTAGCCATCTGCAATGAACACAAAAATAACAGTCCATAATCCTCAGATGTTCACTGAATCAAGGGTGAGCTCATCTCTGACTTCAGGATCATCCCTTCAGCTCCTTAGAGATGAAGGGCCTTCAAAAATGCAGCATTAGTGCCAACAGGGTCAAGCCACCGATCATGCCAAGCAATTAAAGCAGATACTTAATAAATAAACAGTAAATATTGCGTCAGCAGCAGCTGAATACAAAGAAACACAAACACCATAAAGGAACAGATCAATAATTCATGAAGCTTTGTCCCATGGCTTGTTTATTTTCAGGTCAGAAGGAAAAAGCTGATCTCAGCCTTTTACCAATGTTTCTCACACACAAGTGTGTTTTTTCAAAGACACACCTCTGCTGCCTTGCTCTACTAAGTCTTTAAGTCAGTTTTTCCTCAGACAAAAGTCAATGCTCTTGCCCATGTAGATTACTGTGTAAGGTATTAATGCTGGGGCATTAGACTGGTAATTGTTCCTCATCTTTTCTTTCAGTTGATCAAAGAACTTATCTATGATTACTGTGTTTCACTTGAATCCAGGTGATGTCCCCAGTTTTTGCTGCTGCTGATCCAGAGCCACTTTTGTAAAAGCCCATGGAGCCCTTATGCAACATAAGCTGGAAGCCAGCAAAAGCTAAATTTCACCCTTAACAAACTCAGCATCCATGAAGGAAAACTTGTCTAAATCTAGGGAATCCATCCTGAAGCAGAGAGGATGAGGGAAACAGACAAAGGCAGCAAGAACAACTGCAGGTGCATTGGTTTTGAGCAAACAACATCAAAGCAGCTGCTGTCATTTCAGATCTGTCTTAAGTTATTAACTAAGCTTCGGATCTGTCGCTGTACTCATAGGACCTCGAGCACTGGAGCATTTGGATGTTTGGAGCAGATCCTCTTGTCACTGAAAGCATTGGGATAAATCAAACTCTTTTTTCTTTTGTATTAGAAAGTAGGCATTACTTTATTTCAGGGTGCATAGGGGATAGCTCCACCTACATGTACACAGCTTCAAAAACTTTTCACTTATTTATACATTTTTAGCAAAGAAATTAATGTTAATTGGTTCTCAAGTACATAATTTTCCTCATTAATTAATATTCAGTGTTCTACTGATCATTGATTTCTCACTTCTCATGCTAATTAGTCCACACTTTCAGTCTTTTTATTATCTTTTCCTAGATGGGGAGTTTCCAGCACGTGATAAATCATTTTTCTTAGTCTCTTCTTTATCTTCTGGTTACTTGGAGGGTCATAAATTTTGGATTCCAGGTGTCCAGTTTTCAGTTCCCCTGGGCTTTGTTCACTGAAGCTTAGTAGGTTTAGTTTAGCATAACTTTAAAAGTTTTGGTGATTTTTCCAATCTCACTCTAACAACACCAGCCTGTGAAAAAAAACCCTAAGCTATGTGCTGGCTGAAGTTGGAAATTACACTGCTTATGAGTAATTCAATCAGTTAATTAAGAAGTTAATTAAAACCATTAATTAGGAAAATTAATTAGAAAAGTTATACAATTTCCAACACTCTGAGGCATTTCATGGACTGACCCTAGTCAGGGTCAGATGCCGAGGTAGTGGTAGCTGGTTGTGGTGACCAAGAAAGTTCCCTGCAATCGTATCTTCCCTCACACAGCCCTCTCCTCATATCTGTGGTTCTGTGAGGCCGTTGCTCAGGGTGAGTGTGTGATAACCATTATCCAGTCAATACCAGAGCACAGCACACAGGGTGCGTGGCACAGGGTGACACAGCACAGGGTGCCAGGTGACAGTGCCCATGTCCTGTGTGGCAGCAGCAGCAGCCTTGTGCCTTTGTCACCCCACGCAGCACGATGAGAGGCTGGATCGGGAGAAACCTTCCTCAGCAAAAGTGAACACTGCCCAAATGCTTCACCTCTTTTATCTTTACATCAGCTTTTACAGCAGGACATTATGGAGCAGTCCCAGTCTCACTCTCTCAGTGAGAAAAAATAAAGTCACAATAATTCCTTCTGATTAAAGCTTACTCTGGAAATTGTGCTCCTTGGAGAATGGTTTTTGCATTACAGATATGGTGAAGGGGCTTTTAAACAAGTAAAAATCAGGTTTGTCACATTCAGTGTGCCACTAAAACCTGTATAAAGCACATATGAATCCAAACCACTGCAATAATAGTCAAAATAAAAATTCTCTGCTCTACAGAGCAGAGAACTGCTCTAGACACAAAACATTAACGAGCAGAGAGTGACCTTGCCTTATGTTCAATACTTCCATGAGCTCTTTATGGATAGAGAGACTGTCAGTCCCCCCCTGCAGCCACTCAGAAACAGACGCCTATCAGAAACACTGATTTTACACCCGACTGCACAAACAGCACTTCAGCTGCAAACAGACAGTTCTGACAAATCTCTTTTGCAAAGCAAACAAGAGCAAGGGGAACATGGAAACATACCTGGATAATGATGGCAGGATTTTCTTCCAGGACGGGATCCTTCAGCAAAATCTCTGTGAAAGTTTCTGTGCCCTCACCTCCTAAGCCACCAGCAAAGGCTGTCATGGCAGGCAGGACAGTGACGGGCAGGTCCAGCCATTTCACAAAGCCCTCAATAAATTCTGTCCTGAAGGAGCTGTAAAAGCAATAGGAGTAATTAAGCCTTCGCAACTGGATATTTCAAGGCTCTACAACTGGGTATTTTTGGAAGCCTTGAGCAGTCCTTGGTTTCAGACTATGGTCTGTTACTGTTCACACAAAAATCAAAGCATCAGAAGGAGTTGACAGAAGGTGAATTGCTAAACAAACAAGGAAACAATCTGAACAGGGCCAAACCTTCCTTCAGTATTCGCTTTGATGCTAAAGGATTTGTGTTGAGTTATAAAGGTCTTACAGGTGTAAGAGAAAAAAGATCTTCCACTCCCCAAACTTCAGAAGACCCCACACAGAGTTTGATACCAGCTCTGTTTGAGCTGCCACCCAAATTCCACCTCCCCTGCCCACCCCTTGCTCCCACATGCAGTACCTTTGCTCATTTTCAGGGAGCAGCAAGGCAAGAGACACACCACAAAGTGCTGCATAGGCAAATCTTCCCAGCTCTCCCAGTTGCTGACCCAGGACCACACATGGCTCCTTCTCCCCTGACTGCTCAGCCTCCTTATGCTGTTTTGAAATCCAACTTTTCCACTTCTCTTCTGCGGCCATTTTCACCTGCAAGTTCAAAGAGGAAAAAATCCAACAACAAACATTTGGAAACCAGAGGGCAAAGAGACAAATTGGCTTTGTTTTTTTCACTGTCACACTTTCTGTCAGTATTAAATCAAGTTTGTTCAGGCCCAATTTGTATATTCCCTCCCACCTCAACACACTGCTGTGACCAAACAAGATGACACTTTCTGTTCACCAGTTCTCAAAAGTTTTGCACAAAATGAGCTGACAATACTTCATTCAGCAAAAGGAGAAGTCCCCTTCAAGATGGGCTCCATTCAGGCATACAATTCACACATTTAGTGCAAGAAGAACATGAAAATAAAAGCTCTGCACCTGGTGCAGGGATCAGTACAGCTGCCTGGGAAATAATTTGCCTCCCTCATCTCAGCCCAAATTACTCCTTTGCTTGTTTTGCTGACAGCATTAGAAAAGTTGAGTTCAGCTGCAGCCCCTGAGAAGGACTTCAATGTGTCCCATGGACATTGCTGTGCTTTGCTTGTCACATTCTTTCCTCTATTCAACCTGCCATGGCCTTTTCCCTAAAAATGAGGTCCCTGCACTACATGGACCTTGAGCTGGGCCAAAATGTTATTGGTTTATAATGTAGATGTGCATATTTCCAACTGAAGGGCTTCCAGTGCTCCCCTAATAGTACCAGCAGCTGAGATGACTGACCTCAGGAAAAGGTGACAACAGCTCATTTCACAATTCAACATGGGTAACAACCTGCTCCAAAGATCACTTCCATCACCTGAAATGTTCTGATTTCAATTGGTTTCTAAGGGGACATATAATCTATTTTATTATATACTTCATATTTAAATGTTTCCTTTCTTCCACACCCTGACTAAATAGGAACAAGGAGCCCATGATACTACAGCCTACTCTCAGAGGATGCAGACACCATTTATGGATAGAGTTCTAAAAGTAAGAAATGCAACAAGAGCACCTCTTTTTAAAGAGATTTTATTATCTGAGTGCCATCTGTCATGGTCCTCCAGAAAGGTGTCTGTCTTGCCTTCCAGCTCAGAAATTTATTGGAGGTGATTTGTATTTCTCAAGGCTTGCACAGTTTAACTGCTGGTGTGTAAATGCAAGAAAAACTCATTACCAAAGGGCCAATGGTTATTGTGACTCACACACCTCTTTCCTTGGGAGAGCTCAGGCCAACACACGCTCCTGGTGCCACCTCTGGCTCCAGCACACCATGTTATGGCATCTCCACGTGTTCCCAGGAAAACATCACATTCTGGCACAAAACCCACAGGAATAAACTAACTGTTATTTCCAAATCAACCAGATAAAGGAAGGGCCAGGTTATACTTCCCTGAGGAAAGCAGGGGCCTGGGATCAATCCCAACCTGCCAGACCCACTCCAATACCAACCACACCACACACCAGTATGCACACTCACTGAACCCCAGCTGTGAACACACCTCCAGCTTTCCAAGACTTTCTTATCCCAAGATTGTTTTATTACCACAGGAGCTCCAAATGCTCCTCCATTGGACCCCCGAAATCCATCTCTCACTAGGCTCTGATCTTCCTAAAACATCCAAACTTTCAGACCAATTTTCCCAGGAATAATCCAGTGCTAAAATCCCAGTAATTTTACAACTACTTGGCATGTTTGCTCACCTCTAGACACATTATGGGAAACAGCATTGAAAATAAAATCCTCTTCCCTAAGATATTTATTGACTTCTTAACTCAAGCTCATCCAAGAAATGAAGCTGCTAAAAAGGATCCATGAGCAGCACAACTGCTTAACCTAATTTCCCAATAACATAAAACATGGAGCAATAACGGAGCAACACCACAGTGGCTGCTGGCATGCAACAAATAAATCAGTACTGAGCATCTAAAATACCCAGAGAAAGCTTCTGGAAGACATTGCTCTGAAGATGCTCAGATTAGTACCCTCAGTGTGTTTCTCTCAACACGGGTGTCTATTTCCTCATTAATACCTGGGAAAAAATGGGCTTGGATTTTCAGACATGCAGCGTAAAAAAAAGGGCAACATGCAATTTACCAATGAAAATGTGGGCCAAGAAGTTTTTCCACTAGTCCAAGATAAGGCAATTGAGAGGTAGTCACATATCCCAAAAGCTATTTACGGCTCATGGCACTGGAATTCACATCCCTGCCATGAACAATGGAATTTAGCAATCAACAGCGTTGCCATAATCTGAACTGTCACTTTAAAGAGAATTTTGTTATTGCTTCCAGCACTCGCTTTGCACACAAAGCCCTTTGTCTTGAGAAAAGAATGTGTTTTATACAGCAGCTCATACAATCCTGTTTGGAAAGCAGAAAGATAATTGTTTTGGGCATCTAAAGCTGTACAATACACACGTTTTCTACTGCTGGAAGAAGAAACAGAGATGGTGGCATTGTGTTCATCCTAAACTATGACAACAGTGACCAAAGCAATGGCATGTTCACCTCCAACACCCTCAAAAGTTAATGAGACATCTCATTAACTTCAGAGAGGTAGTTGTAGATAATTATTCAGACAGGGCTGTCCAAAAAGTCCCATATGAGGTACACAGGGGGACAGCACAGCCCAACTGGGGTTACACATGGCACACAGTGCTGTGACTGTCGAAACATCTTGGCAGATGAAGTTTTTTGGGGACTAGTGCAGGGCTCTAGAGCTGACACACTGCGAGCACCATGGCCTCTGCTTTTAATCCACAGATATGGGGTATGAACACGGAATACAGTGAATACAGTCCTGCCTCAATGCAATGACATGAATGCAATATGGACGGCCATAAAGATCAGGGGCAGAGGTGATGGGGGACTTGGAAAAGCCAAAAGCTTAAGTAGTTGCAGAACTAAGCGTGTTTAATTTGGTTAATCCAGAGGTTTGCACAGCAGCGACGGTGAAGCAATGTCCTCACACCGAAGTGGGCAAAGCTGGAGAGAGGAAACAGTAGAAAGTGTGAGGGAACCACTTCAGCAGGGAAGGCTGTAAGGGCAGACACATCCACAGCTGCCAGTCCTTGTGTCTGAAACCTCTGCTGAGAGAAGGGGGGCACATTTTTAGAAAGAAAGCAGCACTTCGGACCACGGCTGAGGGGAAAGCAGCGCACAGAGCAGGGCGGCCTGAAGGGAAGATCCCGCCCGCTCGCCCCCCCAGCCCGCGGCGCTGTCCCAGTTGTTCCCAGACCCTCTTCACCTGCCCAGCCCGGCCCCGATCTGCCGCAGGCCCCAAATCCGAGCACCGAGAACCCGCCTCCGCGTTCCGGCCGCTGCCGCCGCCCGCCCCTTCCTGCCCGGCCCGGCCCGGCCCGCCCTTCCCGCCGGCGCTGCCATCGGCGTACCGGGGTGTGGAGTGTGAGGGAACTGCGCTGGGACGAGGGGATGGAGCGGGATGAGGGGATGGAGCGGGATGAGGGGATGGTGAGGGACTGGGGGATGGCGGGGGCTGAGGGGATGCTGCCTGGCTCCATTTCTCATTATGATTCGATCAGGCTAGATTATGTTACCCACTTACTATCGGAAATCTGGAGCCACCTAGGTAAGGTAAGGAGAGCAAGGGAACTTGGAGCCGAACCTTCCCTGACCACTACGACTTAAACCTGAGTACAAGAAAATCCTTTACGTTTTGGAATAGGAGTATAATTCCATTGGCCTTTTCTCCATAAACATTGCGGTTGAACTGCTGAAGAAAGGCTTGGAAGGTGCTGATCCGTAACTGTGTGGATCCGTAGGAATTCTTTCAGAGGGCCAGTCTCTCCCTGGAAATCACAGGGCATCCATGCTGCCTTCCCACTGCTGTACACTGCCTTGAGGGAAGCCCTTTCCTGTTTGACTTTTTTTTTTGGCTCTGTAGAAATTAGTGTAATAAAACTGAACACACCCTTTTGGAAGGGTAGAGTGAAACATAACAAATTGATTTTACTGCTCATGTTCATTCACTGGTTTCATTTCTTTCTGCTGATAAAATATTCATTATGTTTTTTGACTGATGGTGGCAAACTGATCCTGGATGTGATGCTTAACCCTTCTGGAGCTGATGTTGTTTGATATCTTGCTTAGCCTCCTCCCCTTTTAGGCAAAATTCCCCCTTTTTAAAATTATGTTATTTTTAATTGATATTATTTAATAGTTCTAGAGCAGTTTGTCATCTTGAGGACAGTCTGGGCTGAAAGACTCGCCCACGGTTTCTGAAATTATTTTCAGTGCAGCTAAATATCTGATCCAGTCTTTATATTTGGAATAATACTGTATTTGGGTTTAAAACTACCTGCCTTTTCCCAATGGAAAAGTTTTTCTCTGGTTGGTTACTAGCAAATGTCATATGTACTCTGCACTAAGCCTGTTGCTGCCCAAATTGATGAGAAAACCCAAAAGACTTATTTCCCCCAAAGGTTCTTAGGCAGAAAACAGACTTGTGTTTTCCAAGACTTTAGGAGGACAAGAGCTCCTACCCTCTTAGTCTAATCTGTTTTATCTGCTGTGAGACACTGTGTATATTTATATACTGAGCAATTGCAGGACATCAGTTTCCATTCTTATCGAACACAAATATTTACCTGATCCAGGGTCTGCTGAGATCCATGGCACTTTAAAAAATGCAGCTTAACTAGAGAAATCTATTTTTTTCCCAGTTTAATTTTAGTTGGGTTTCAGGGTATTTTCTTAGCAACTAAACATTTTTTTTAAAATAAAGGAACAAACCGACACATTATTGCTTTGCTTTACTCGCTACTTCAGCTGTGCAAACTCCCTAATATGCTTTCTCAGCTGCAATTCCTGTCAATGAGGAAAATGGGAATTGTTTTGACATTAATTGTCAGTGAGGAATTGAAACAGAGAAGTCAATTAGCAATTAATATTATTTAAATTTAATGGAAACAATCCATATAAAAACATCACATGTGGTATGACACACCAATCACTGGATTTCTGTTTATCTCTGTGAGCATCTCGAGGGGCAATGTGGTATTTCATGTAAGAGGGGGCAAGAAAAGAGGTGGTGCAGGGATCCAGATAAAGGAATTCAGGTGAGAGGAACTATTTATGTGGGGAATTGGGAGGATCGCAAGGTTTTTTTGCCCTTCGGAAGCCACAGATCAATATTAGGAGTGTTGGTTTTGCCTCTTCCTCTCATGATTTTGGGTGTAACTTCAGGTGGCACCAACTGACATCCCCCTTTCCCAATCCCTGTCCCATCCCTGCCAGCAACCCTTGGGCAGGGATAGGGATTAAGGTAGTAATCTGGGTTAAAGCTACTCTCTTCCAAACACCCACTCCCTGATTTAGCAGCCTGATTTCCCGACTTTGTCCTGAGAAAAGGTGTACTTGTGTTCAGAGAGCAGGAAAACACAACCACGGGCTGTTCCAGGACATTACCTCCTGAGTGTTCCAGATAACATCCTGCAGGGCTGAACAGGAGAGGACATGGACAAGAACAAAGTGGCAAAAGCAAACCAACGGAATTTTTAGCCTGGGATAAAAATCCTATTGAAAACACATAAATATCAACATATAAATAGTTGACTTTTGTTTCCAGTAATGAGATTTAACAACACTGTGCCTTGGCATTGAGCCAGCCTAGCAAGCTGCTGAATTTATTCTGTGAATAATTGTTTTTAAGTCCATAATTCACTGGCATGCCCAACCTGCAGCTCTGCAGGCAGGGCCAGTCCATTACCTCTGGGACACACTCGTTAATTGATTGTTTCAAGCAACAGTAACGACGTGGCTCTCCTTGTCACAGGAGGCGGGCGAGTCCCTTTTGCACCTCCAGTGGAATTTAGGAGTGCAGCAAAGTACCATAGACATGACCAACCCCAGAGTAAGCAGGAGACAAATTACCCATTTGACCCTCCCCAAGTACATAAAGGGCAGGATGAGGATGGCGAGGATCACCCCGAGCAGCAGCAGCAGCACAAGTCTCTGCACAGCCAGGCTGGTGTCTGCTGGAACATTCTCCTCTGTGTTTAAAATGTCTGGGCTGCTCTGAGTCCAGCTCTTGCAGTCCAGCCCCATGGCAGGGATGTGCACCTCTGGATTTGACTCAAGGTTTTCCAACTGCTCCAGAATGTCTTCTTTATTCTGGAGTGTGCGGATGAGCCCTTCTGACACAAAGGTGGGTTTTCTGCACAGAGGGCAGGTGATGATCCAGGTGTTCTCCACTTTCCTGAGAATAAGCTTGAGGCAGACGGCGCAGAAGGCATGCTGGCAGTCCAGGAGCTTTGGGACTCTGTAGATGTTGTACTTGTTGAAGCAGATCAGGCAATCCCAGTCCACGGATGTGGTTGAACACTGGTGGTTCATTTCCAGTGTGCACGTTTTGGGACAGTCTGTGTTTGTTGGCACAACAAGAGGCTTTGAGTGTGGACAGTCTCCTTCCAAAATTGCTGGTTTGAAGGCAGCGTGACTGTCTTGCTCTGTGCCTAAAGGTCTCTCCATTTCTTTAATACGCTCTTCCGTGAATCCCACTCTCATCCCTTGGTTTGTGTTCTGTGTTAGGAGTCCTGCCCTGCTCATTTCTGCAGCACCTCCTGCCGCAGGTGCGGGACCGTCCTCCTCAGCCTGCAGCACTCGCAGAGCCGGCCGTCCCTCTTCCTTGTTTGGCTTGTCAGTGGATTTCTCCATGGAGATACACCTCCCTGAAGCCTGTCTTCCCTGGCTGAAGGATTTCGCTAGTCTGGCTCCTTTTATGTGTTGCTGTATCCCTGCTGTATGCAGGATTGATTAGTGACAGCCTTAAGTGAGTCGTGCTCTTACCATACGATGTTTTTATGAGATGGGGACCTGAGTTAACGATTAACTTGCCAGCCAAGACAGTTTACAATGACTGATAACATCACTGGGCAATTCCTGTCCGGAAGCAGACTCCATGGCATTAGCTGTGACAGCCAGACACTACTGTTGTTATTAAATTAGAAATTAGAACTTTCTTTGTTGAAAGCATTTTCATTGGTCTCTAAACAGTGCTTTGCTAGACAGTTACAGATTTATGGGAATTATCTACTAGTGACATTGGTGAATGCAGCACTGCTGAATGCAGTGCTTTGACTAGAGCGTAAGCATCACAAATTTTGAGTGCTCTGGATAGGAAATTTGCTCTTGGTTTAGCAATACTGACTACCCTACAGCACCAAGAGAAGAATGAGATTATTAATGTGAGTCATGAATGTCCAGTAATTATCAAGACTTTATAATGTCTTTTATCCTAGGTGATTTCAGTCATCAGAGGGCTTCCAGTGCAAACTGAAGCATGACCGAGGCCCACAGATGATCTCAGAGAGTCCATGAGAAAGCTCTGGAAATTAAAAGCAAGGTTAGTGTCTTGGGGGGACCATCTTCTTTCTTGTGGCGTTCACAGGACACCCTCATGCACTCAGGAGTGCCCTTCCTGAGTGGTTTTGTGAATATTCATCTTGTCTGATGAATTTTTTTCTTGTATGAAAAAAATGCCTGATCAAAATCCCTCTAATTTCTTTCTGCCTTTTTATTTCAGGGGTAATCAAGTGTTTTCTTATTTGAGGGGTATCCAAGTGTTTTCTCGGCAAGAATCCTGTGGAGGAATGGAGCAAAGGAATGAAAGAAGGAAAGGAAGGATCTCTAATCCCAAAAAGATGGACTAGGTCAGTGTTACCAGCAGAAGACACGGAGTACCACTTTAGTAGCCTCAAGTGCACTTGAATGCTCAAACTGTCTGTGCTGCCATGTCCCAGCCCCTCTCTCCCCCAGAGGAGCAACAGAAAGAAATTAAACAACTGCAGTTGAGGAGGGCAAGGAGTTCAGGAAGGCTCTAATCTCCTGAACTTGCTGGTGGGGGGATGAGGTGAGAAGAACTTGTTCTTATTTGCTGAGAAATAGAAGCTTTGTCGTAAGCAAACTTCGTAAAAGTGCCTGAGCACTCCTGCTTGTGTTTCTGCTGACATGGCTTGATGGACTTTTGGGTGACCCCAGATTTTAGGAGCCTGGAGATCTTTCAGCTGCAGAAGGGTGACTCAAAGTGCAGTAACATCTGGAAGTGGGCTGCTGAACTTCAAGGCTGATGTTTGAAAATAGGATAATTTTCTATTGCATTTCACATTCCGTGCTGTTAAAAAGATCTGGGAAAGTGGAAGACAGACCTGCCACTATTACAGTGCTTTAGAAGCTTCAGATTTACTCTGTCAGTTCCCACGTCCAAAGTGGAAAATATCTTAAAATTTCCTGGTTCCTAATTATTAAAACAATATGAAACCATCTTGCAGAGGTTGGAAGCTTGGACAGCCAGAGAAACACCTATGATCCTAACTTAAAAAGTTTAAAACTAGGTGGGATGAATCCATGCTCTGTGTCTGTTTGCTCTGTGCCCCATTAATGGGTGGGGGTGACTTGTCTGTGCCTTTTGTCTGATGTTTCTTGTTGTCCCCCACTGGCCAAGTTTTCAGCCAAGCCCTGATTCTGGCTCTGCTTTGTCACGAGTGATGCTCCCTGCTTGGCATGTGCCTTGTGCTTATCTGAATTGCCCACAACCCTCTAATGCTTCTCAGCTTATTACTGCCTCATTAATCATTTGCAGGCAGTTTATGCTTTCATCCTGTTTTCCCCGCTTTCAGTGTGTTTGCTAAAGAAAATGTGTTCCTCTGAAATGCTTTGGACAGAGTTGTTTATGGCAGGAAATAGATATAAAAGAGCAGTTGTGTCATTGCTGAGTAAAACCCCCGCAGCCGAACATCCTGGAAAGAACTGGTGATAACTGCTGTGAATGTCTCCCTGAGCTGAGCTGGGGGTCAGGTTGTTGTGACTCTGGAGAAAAGGGACTTCAAATAATACTCAACTTAAAAATCATTGTGATGTGAAGCCTCTTCTTGTATCCCCAGGACTGTTTTCTTAGTGTTTATCACAAAGCCCTTTGGATGTGCCTTCTGAGCTTGGAATTAGACAGAAATTCACAGAATCCCAGGATGGTTTGGATTTGAAGGGACCTTAAAGCTCATCCCATTCCACCCCCTGCCACGGGCAGGGACACCTTGCACTAGCCCAGGTTGCTCCAAGCCCTGCCCAACCTGGCCTTGAACACTTCCAGGGGTGGGGCAGACAGCTTCTCTGGGAATTCCATCCCACTCCCTCACCACCCACACCTAAACCTACTCTCTGTCAGTCTAAAGCCATTCCCCTTGTCCTGTCACTCCAGGCCCTTGTAAACAGTCTCTCTCCATCTTTCTTGGCTCCTTCAGGTCCTGGAAGGCCACAGTTAGGTCACCCTGGAGCCTCCTCTTCTCCAGGCTGAACAATCCCATTTCTCCCAGTTTTTCCTCATAAGAGAAGTACTCCCTCCCTCTGAGCACCTTGGTGGGCTCCTCTGGACTTGGGCAATATCAGGCCCCTTCTGCTGCGATACTGGCAGAGGAAGCAGGGCCATGAAGACCAGAGTCAGGGGCAGAGCCTTGAGGGGTGACTTCTTAAACCACCTGCTGTGAGACAAGTGGAAGAGATGTAGTACCAAGGATGGCAGGGAGAGCCCTAAGAGCCCTGCTCTGGACAAGTCATGTTCTTGCTGTGTCCCCTCTCCAGCCCCTCCGAGGAGTTTCCCTCAGCGCCTGAGGAAACAAGATGCGACCGTTCAGTTTATGACCCTCATCACATTTAATTAATGGTTGCAGTCTCAGCTCTCCCGCCCCGCCGCTGCTCTCAGCCGTGTTCTCCTGGTCCCATCTCGTGGGTAATCCATCCCCTCACTCCCCTCAGTTCCCGTCGGAGAGGTGATGTGGGGTTGAACAGACACAGCCCGGAGCGGCTCGTCCTGGCTGATAACTCGTGTGGTCAGGCGGGACGTGTCGGTGAGGGGTGGGAGCTGTGCTAGGCAGCAGGGAGAGGCATTAGCGCAATTAGCAGTAGAAGCTCATTAGCTGGAATCTGGAAGCTCTGGGCACACTGTTAGTGATCTGCAGTGCTGCTTCTCGCAACCCACCCCAGCCTTTCCCCGCGGACGCGCTGCTCCCGAGGCTTGGTTGCACCCTCCTGCCCTTCGTGATTGTCACCCCGTGATCACAGCCCCAGTTTCCCTGCAGGACCCCCCGCCCTGCCCTTCCTGCCCTTCCCGCCCTGCCCCTCCCTGCCCTGCCCTTCCTTCCCTGCCCTGCCCTACCCTGCCCTGCCCCGCCCTGCCCTTCCTGCCCTGCCCCGCCCTGCCCTTCCCCTGTCCTTCCCTGCCCTGTCTCCTGCCCTTCCTGCCCTGCCCTACTTGCCCTGTCCTGCCCTGCCCTTCCCTGCCTGCCCTACCCTGCCCTGCCCTGCCCTGCCCTGCCCTTCCCTGCCCTGCCCTGCCCTGCCCTTCCTTCCCTGCCCTGCCCTGCCCTGCCCTGCCCGGCCCTGCCCTACCCTGCCCTTCCCTGCCCTACTCCTGCCCTTCCCTGCCCTTCCCTTTCCTGCCCTGCCCTGCCCTGCCCGGCCCTGCCCGGCCCTGCCCTTCCCTGCCCTGCCCGGCCCTGCCCTGCCCTTCCCTGTCCTTCCCTGCCCTTCCCTGTCCTTCCCTGCCCCGCCCTGCCCTGCCCTTCCCTGCCCTACCCTGCCCTACCCTGCCCTTCCCTGCCCTGTCCTTCCCTTCCCTGTCCTTCCCTGCCCTGCCCGGCCCTGCCCTGCCCGGCCCTGCCTTTCCTCCTCCTGGGGGGAGCCCCGGCATGGCCGGGCACGTGACCCGCTCCCGGTGCCCCGGTCACGTGACTCCACCAGATGCAGCGATCACGTGACTCCACAGCGATGCCGCCGTCACGTGGCTCTCCCGGTGCCGCGATCACGTGGCTCCCGGTTCCGCCCCCGCCCCGCCGGGCATGTCCCGCACACGGGCGGGCAAGGCCCGGCCCGCCGGGGCCAGGAAGGGCCGGCGGCCCCGCAACCCCTCCGCGGGACCGGCCCCGGGCCCTTCACCAGGCGGCGGCGGCCTCGCCGAGCAGCTCCGGGCCCTCGGCCTTAAGCTGCGGGAGGTGCCGGGCGATGGGTGAGCGCCGCGACGGGTCCGCCCGGCACCCCCGGGGCCGGCGGTTCCCCGCGGCTCCAGCCACGGGGGCAGAGGGCTTCCTCCTCCCCGGTGGTGAGGAGGCTGTGTTCCCCCGGGGGCTGAGGGACAGAGTTGGGGGGGGTCAGTACTCTGCAGGGTTCAGAACTCCCCCACGGAAGTGTACAAGGATCAGAGCGCTCAGCTCTCCTGTGCTCCGTGTTTCTGTAGGGCTTGAGGGCTCTGCCAGTCCCAGCCCTGTTCCCCAGGAGAGCCAAGGGCTGTGCAGAGCACAGGATGGTCCAGAAGTCATTGGGTGAAAGGGGCATTGGATGTTTCTGCTGAGAAATGGCTCAGCAAGTCGTTAGTTTGTCCTTTGTTGCATTATGTCACTTGTCCCAGTGTCAGTTTAAGACAGTTTGGCCCACCAGCCCCCCAGCACTTTACCAGCACTGACTGACTGTGCTGGAGCTGATGACACAATCACTCATCTCATGTTCCTGCCACCCACTGCAGTCTCAGCAGCCATTCAAGCAGAGAGAATAGGTGCTATTTCATAGTCATATTCTTGATAAACAAACTGGGCATAGCTCTTTTCCTTTCCCTTTCAAACCACATTCTTCCTGCGCTGGGTGTTTGTTTAATGCTGTACCTGTTGGTTGTGCCTCAGACACCCCAACTTGTGGTTTCTCTTTTGATAGCAACTGCTTGTTTCGGGCCCTGGGTGACCAGCTCGAGGGGCACTCCAGGAACCACCTGAGGCATCGGCAGGAAACGGTGGAGTACATGGTGAAGCAGAGGGAGGACTTTGAGCCATTTGTGGAGGATGATGTGCCCTTTGAGAAACATGGTATGGGCTCCACAGGGCACTCATGGGAGGGCTTATTGGGTAGTGGGACTGCATTTCCTTGGAGCACCTTCTCTCACTCCCCAGTTCCACATCCCAGAACATGTCAGGACTCCTCTCTGGTTTTTACAAACTCTTTGCATTTCTGTCTCTGTCGATGCTGTAGAAAGATGAGCTGTTAAACTTGCAATAAATTTGTCTTGGAAATTGTTTAAATTTAGGAGAAACTTGGAGAAGGAATGAGAGGCAAAAAAAGGAAGGAGGAGTAAAAAAAATTTGGTGTTTGCAAAAGGAACTTAAGAAAAATTGTCTAGTTTTTCTAGAGTGCTTGTGGGTATTTGGCTATTTAGGTAAGGGACTGATTTCTTTGGGTTTCATTCTCCTTGGCCCCTCATGTTTCATACTGGGAATCCAGGGGAAGATCCAAAGCAGAGGTGAATGCAGCCTTTGTCCCACCAGCTCTGAGGATGTGCCAGGTACCACACAGGTGATACATGGAAGTGGTCTGGTCTCTTAGTATGTGGCACTCTTCCTTCTGAGCTAACAGAGACAGTGGCCTTGCTTAGTTTAAGAGTCTGCTGCTTTTTTAAAAGAGATATCTGTGGTCATTTAAATGCATTAACTTCTGTTGCTGCCAAAATCTTGCCTGAGCACTCACTGTTTCACAGGTGAGATTTCCCTTCCAGAGTTTCCTGTTGTGATGGTTTTGGTCTAGGCCTTCCTGGTGACCAGTTTGTAACCAAGGAAGTGGCCAAGTACCCAGTATTCCATACGATTTTTATGTAAACCAGAGTATAAATAAGTTGGAGATCAGAGACCTCGCTCTCTTCTCTTCCGGTGAGGTTCAGGAGCAGTGAGTCCTTGTGTTGGTCTCGCTTATCTAAGGCTGAGGCCTGCAGCGTCCACTGTCCTGCCACGTGGAGGTTTGGAGAGTGCTGACCGTGTGTGCCAATCCTGCTTTTCTAAGGGAAGTGGTGAGATTTGTTTTACTAGTTATTTTACCTGTTCTCAGGTTTGATTGCGCATATCTATTCGGTGTCCCTTTTTTTTGTTCCCTTTCGTCCCTTCTTTCCCCTTTCTCTATCCCTTCGGGGGGTGGATCCCCTTTTACTGTGTATATAGCATCTTAACTGTATATAACTGTGATTTACGTAAATATATATATATTTATATAAGCAGCTTGACTTTGGGTTCTTTAATTTTTATAGTTTTTTTCCTTTCTTTGCCCTAAAGGAAGAAGGAAGGGAGAACTGCTACTGGAGGTTTGGGCATTTGGCAGGGAGCCAAGGTCCAAACTATCACACCTGTGCTTGTGTTGAAATTTCACTGCTTGTTATCCCTCCAGTGCTTTTGGAAGTGTCAGAAAGTAGGTTTCTAACTCTTCTGAATGTTTTTCTCCTTTAGTTACCAATTTGGCCAAGCCTGGGACCTTTGCTGGCAATGATGCTATTGTGGCCTTTGCAAGGAACAATCAAATCAACGTGGTTATTCATCAGCTCTATGCTCCACTGTGGCAGGTGAGAAAAAACATTTCTACAGTTTGGCCTCATTTTTAGCTGATGACTACAAACAGTGTAAAAACTTCCTGATCTGTCAAAAATGAGCGGTAGCTGTAGTTAGCTGGGCATGATTTAGAGCTGCAGCTTTTACTCACAGTCCAGTGTATTCAAAGAACCACAGAACCACAGAATGCTTTGGGTGCGAAGGGACCTTAAAGCTCCTCCAGTGCCGCCCCCTGCCATGGGCAGGGATACCTCCCATTATCCCAGGTTGCTCCAAGCCCCATCCAGCCTGGCCTTGGACACTTCCAGGGCTGAGGCAGCCACAGCTTCTCTGGGCACCCTGTGCCAGGGCCTGCCCACCCTCACAGGGAGGAATTCTTGGCCAATATCCCAACTAACCCTGCCCTCTCGCAGTTTGAAGCCATTTCCCCTTGTCCTGACACTCCAGGCTTTGTCCAAAGTCTCTCCATCTGACTTGTTGGCTCCTTCAGGCACAGGGAGGCCACAGTTGGGTCACCCTGGAGCCTTTTCTTTTCCAGGCTGAACAATCCCAACTTTATCAGCCTTTCCTTAGGGGAGAGCTGCTCCGTCCTTCTGATTATCTTGGTGGCCTCCTCTGGGCTTGCTCCAGAGTGGAGAGAGGCTTCTCTAGATTGTCTAATTTTCAGAAAAATCTTTTAAGAGCTTTGGGATTTGTTAGATACTTATTCAAGCACTGACAGATGAAAATAAAGTTTACTGAGTTCCAACATGTTCAATAACCTAATAGGATAAAAAGCAGGGGTTAATAGAACGAAGTGTTAAGTTGGAATCTAAAGGTGAATAAGTGTGAAAGAGATGAATGGAGAATTATGTGTTGGAAACCTGAAGTTATTAGTGCAGCACGAAGCACAGACAGGGCTGAAAGGTGACCTGGTGCATGGTGTGGGGGTGGAGATAAGGCCACTCACAGACGTCAAAGGGTTGAGAAACTCCGTAGCCCTAAAGCAAAGCAGTTCTGGTCCTTTGCTGACTGACGTCTGCTCTGGGAGGGCTGTCAGGTCTGTGAACTCGGGCTGACAGGCCAAGCCAAGGAGGTTTGCAAGTGCAGTGGGATTTTCTGCATTCCTGGCAGGAGCTGGAATGCTGGGTAGCTCTTAGCTAACAGTTTGATGATCAGGGTAGGAATCATTCTTCCAGTCAGTAAAGATAATATCAGAGCAGGAGTTTTCTGTGGAAACTGCTGTACTTGGTGCTGACAAAGCAAAGGGACATTTGATTGTTAACAGTGTTCCTGAGTAGAGTTAGTACGTTTTCATGAATGGCTTTCTTTTAAAACCAAAACACAGCCACTTGGAATCCTGTTAAAAAAGCATCTTGTCCCAGCTGTCACCCAACTTGCTCTGGGTGACTGTTTCCACTGTCGCCATCACTTGAATGGACTCTCTCCTCATATTTGAGGGGAAAGTGATATTGTGCATTCCCCAGGAGCATTGCTGAAGTTGGATCTGGGAAGATGGTCGTAAAACTGATAGATGCTGTGGAAAGTTTAGGAAATAGTTCTGAGCTTTCCACAGAAACATTTTCATCCCACGTTTTGTTTGTTATGATGTAATTGACCAGTATTAAGTATCTGGCTTTCAAACCTTCTCCTGGAGGCAGAAGCTCTGTTGTTATTGGAGGCACAGCTGAATTTTTTGATCAGCTCTTCCTGTTTAAAAAGCTTCGGTAGCAATGTACTCTCTTCCTGGCCAAGAAAATTAATACTTGGACAAATCTGACGCTGAGGTTGATTCCAAATCCTCATTTGCAGTTTGTTTCTTTTGTGTAGATCCGGGGCACAGACAAGAGCAATGCGAGGGAGCTGCACATCGCCTATCGTCACGGGGAGCACTACGACAGCGTGAGGAGGATCGACGATGACTCGGAAGCTCCAGCGTATCTTCAGATGGAGGTTGGTAGTGACAGAATTACCTGAGCCAGCTGTAGGTGATAAATAAAGCTGATGAATGTTGGCAGTTGATTTCCAATCTCTTTTGCCTTGGGATTGAGGGAAGAGTGTGGTCCCCGTGTCCTGCTGGGTTAGCAAAGCTCTGAGGTCGTTGTGGCTCCTGCTGCCAGCTCTCCTGAGAAAGGCTGTGAAGGATTCCAACTTCTGGGCTGGAAATCAATCCCAAACCTGATGCTGTGGTGTGGGTTGTCTGGAAGCAACCACATCTAAATTACATAGTCGTGCACCTCAAGTGGGAAAACAAAAAGAAGGGAGAAAAGAGCTGGAAATGTAACAGCTGGATGTGGTTGTCCTCTTCATATGTCACTTCTTGATCTTAAAGAGTAATTGTGCTGTGCTTGAGGGTCTCTGCACACAGCTGTATGATGGTATTGTATTAAAATTAATCCATTTATAGGTTTGTTTATTGGCATTCATGGTGGTGTAGTGCATGAGAGCAGTGCGGGAGACAGGGGAAGCTGCCAGTGATGATGGAAGTTACAGTATTTCCAAAATGCTTTGACATGCGATGTTTCTGAGATAAGTGCTCAATAATAATTACAGTTATTAGATTTTTTTTTTATTACATGCTGTGTTATCTGCTGGGCTTTGCTTTTCTTCAGATGCTTTGCAAAAACAATGCAAATAAGACAGAGGAAGTGAAGCCACAGAAGGGTGACTCTGAGGATGAGACTGAAGTGGAAGATGCTGTACAAAAAGTGTGCGATGCAACAGGGTGTTCAGTAAGTACTGAGGAGCCTTTTTGTGCTTAGTGTTCAAATGTCCTTGATACATGAGAGTAGTCCTGGGAAAAATTCTAAGAAATATTCACCTTGGACAATCTCAGTACCACAGCCCTAAACCAGGATGGATTTTATCCTGGAGTCAACCCTTAAATGCAAATGAAATACCTACTCTGTGTGGATACCTAATAATTCTGGAAAGCTTGTCTTGCAATCTCTCAGAAAATTCACTTGAAAACAAATCTTGTGAGATTTGAAATTGTTTGAGGATGTTGAATATCCCACATAACTGGATAATCTGTGACTCTTGGCTGTTGTTACTGTGCAAATGCTTAGAACAGAAGGGGCCAAGAGTGGAACATGCTGAAAGACCATATTAGTTTCTCTTGATATCTTCAGGAATTTAAGGTTTTCCCCCTCACCTTTTTCAGAAATGAAGCACTAATTGAACAATCATAAAAGCAGCAGCCCCCTCTCTGTGGTGCAGGTGGTTGATAAGTGAATGTGTGTCAGAGATTTGAACTCTTTCAGTGTTCTCCTTCTCTTGTGGCCAGGACATGGATTTAGTAAGCCACGTCCTGGAAGTAGAGGATTACAACATAGAATCTGCAATATTTGCCATCTTACAAGTGAAGGAAGGAGAAGGAACAGGTGAGTGCACAGAGTTTGTCACCCGGGGCTTCAGGTGAACGTGACACCCATGGTCCCTGGGGACAGCAGCAGGACAGTTGGGGTTTGCTGTTGTGTGCTCCTACTTCAGCCTTCTGTGCTCAGGAAGGTGGTTAGTGAGGGAAGCCTCAATCCAGCTTCCAAAAAAACCCACTGCTCCAGAAATTTGGGAAGAAGGAATTGGCTGACAATGCAACAGCTCCTGGGTAGAGTATCTGAGGAAAACTTGTTGTTGGTAGGTACTGAGGAGCAGCAGGAACCCCAGAGCAGGGATCAGAAGTCCTGCAGCAAAACACTGTGGGAGGAGAATGGAAGTGGTTCAAGAATCTTTGGAAATCAGAGCTTGCATCGAAGTGAAACAGGAAACAACAAAGGACAGGCTGGATCCAGTGAAGAGAACCAAGCCACCAGGAACCAAAAGGTGTGTGAGGGGGGTTTGATGTGAGTACCCTTTAACAATTAGGGGATGGCTTACTCAGCAGCTCTCTTCTTCCAATCAAAAAGTTTCTGCTCCCTGCATTTTATCATTGCTGCAGCTGTGACTTCTGTGATAACAAACATTTCCTAATGACTTGTGGCACTCTTCCCAAAACAGCCCGAAATAAAGTCCTGATAAATAGTTAGGAATGTTCTCTGGCTGCTGCCTTGATATCTGGTCGTCTCCTTTCCAGTTTGTTATTTTTCCCCAGCTGAGCAGAAGATGTGTGATTTGAACTTTGTGTTTTCACCCTTCCCTTTCAGGCAGCTAAAAAACAGAAGAAGGAGCAGCAGAGGCTGGAGAAGAAGAAGCGGCAGGAGGAGAGGCACCGGCAGAAGGTCTTGGCCACGAAGAACAACTGTGCAGACGACAGGACAGAGACAGACCCCACCAACCACATCACCTTGGTGAAGACCATGGCAGCCCTAAACATCTGACTCAGTGTGTGCTGAGTACTCTGAGGAGAAAAGCAAATAAAACTGATGAAGACAAAACCCCCTGAGCAAATTTCGAGGCACCACCATTTGTTACCTTAAAATCGGTTTCTGCAGAGGTTTCCAAGGACAAGAGAAATTCCTGTTCCTTTGGTTGTGGGGAAGACAGTTTCTCAGTGATTCTGTGTCAACCTGTGTGTGAGAAGAGTTGTTTGAACTTAAAAAGTAGAGACTTGGGTTTATAATTTTGGAGTTAGATGAAGGTGAGAACCTTTTTTTCACATAGCAGTGTCACATTTGCTTTGACATCTCTTGATGTCCCTGGATTTTTTTTTTACTTGCTTATGCTTGGAGAAGCTTTATTTTACTTTTCTGTCAGGGAAAGCTTAGCAAATCTCAGCTCAGGAACAACTTTGGTGGGGGGTTTTCTATTAAATTTAAATGAAGTGAACAAAGTCTCAGAATCCTTTCCAAAGCAAAGTGTGTCAGCCAGGATTGTCTCAAACATGACATTCCTCTTTTCTTTGCCAGGAAGGAATGCAGTGACAAGTTTTAATCTCACTAGAACTGTTGGCCTTGTACTGGGCTGGTTCAGAAGTGATTAATACATGAAGGGAGAATGGGATTGCTGCATCCATGCTTGCTGAAGTTTGGGACCAGCTCCTTTGCTACCTGAGACCTGTAGAGAGAAATAAACCCACCCAAAATAATAATACCAGTGGACTCATGAGACTGCAGAGCCAACTCATCTGGTGATGGTTGATGAGGCTGTAGAATGTAACAGGAGCAGGCAGGAGATTTCTGGTGAGTGTTGTTACTTGGACATCTGGAATCTCATCCCCTTTGTCATATTTTGGAGCTTTTGGACTGCTCCAGAGCTTTAGTCCAAGTCAGGAACTTGATAGGTGTTAGTCCCCAAATTACATTATTGTAGCTAAAGGAGCAAGGGTCCTGGGAACAAGCTTCCAAGCAGCAGTATTCCCTGGGAAACCTGCCTATTTCACTTCATAAATCAAGCTTTTTCCAGGGTAGGATTTTTCCATCTTAAATTCCATTTTGGTGAGGTCACCAAGTAGGACGTACAGCTTGACTCCAGTGGTGGTTTCCACTGTAGGACTGAGGATTTGGACGAGGTGAAAGGACTCTGGGATTCAGCTCTGGATTTATGGCTCCCAGTGTTTCAGCTTTACTCAGGTTTTTGGATTTGTGACAAGCACTAAGCTTGAAGAAAGCACATGTGCACTTACACAACAGCAGGAGACACCTCGTCAGCCAGGGCAGAGGTGAAAGGGATTTTTTGGAAAAAATCTATGAGTGCTTTGAAGTTTATAAATCAGCATGAAAATAAAAATGCCTTTTTTTACTGAACTGCCAAGATCTGAGCTGGTACTTTGTGTGCTCTGCTGCTGTTAGTTGAAGAATAAAAAGAAGGCTCTCCTGTAAGAATTCCTTTTCTCCAAGACAATAATTTTTACAGTAGTGGAAAGAGAGGCAACTCACAGCTTAGTGGGGAGGATGTGCAAACCACTTCAGTGTGTGATCAGTTGTGACAGCGGGTGTAGCAAGGCAGTTCAGGTATGTGTATCACCTGAGTCCTACCCAGCTGTATTTTGGTTTGAAATGCAGGTGGATTCTGCACGTTTGAAAAAAATAAGAAAGAATTTGTAGTTGTACACTTGGAATAAGAGGTTTCATCTTAATGAATTGCTTTTTTTGTCCTCCTAAGCTAGAGCTGATAAAAGGAGCATTGTTTCTTGGAGCCTGAGAGCTGTGAAGGGAGTTGTCCTGGGGCTTCTGTAGGTGTGGAGGGAACTCAAACCTCACCCCATCGTGTCCAGGACGAAAGGGCAGTTCTGCAAAGGCAGCACAAAAAGCAGAGAGAGAGGCTGGTCAGCAACTCATGGCCACCAATACCTGGAACCAAATCTGGGGCTGAAAATGCTTTAATTTCCAAGTGTAATATGATTAAAATAAACTCTCAGTGTGCTGGGCTCTTAAATCATGATATAGCAGTCAAATTCCCTCTGTTTCTGCCAGGATAGCTTTGTGCCTGCCCAACCATTGTATGTCAAAACACGTTAAAACTTTTTTTTTCTCTTTTTAATTTTCCTGTTGAAGTTTTCACCTTCCCAATCTGTTATTTTTTTTTTCTAGGGAATCTTTAGGCCACATTCCTCATGGAACTCACCTTTATATAGAGAATTTGTTTGTAAACAGGTTGTGGCTTTTCCTTGCAGGAGGAAGGGGAGGCGAGAAATGAGAGCAGAGGCACATCATGATTCATAGCTCATGTTTACTCGTTGGTGGAGCTTCATAATCCATGGTCCAAGGATGGACAGTAAGCACTGGATATTCCCTTGGGATCTGAGGAGGATGACTCTTTTGTTATGAGCTGCTGGCTGACATCTCTGAGGGTGTTTTGTCTGCTGCCGGATCAGCAGTGGGGTCACCATCAACCTCTCAAGGGCGAGTACACAGCAGGATGATGTAGTACAGCCGCTTTCCCTGCATCCTATCTACCTACATCATCTTCTCTGGACTTATTTTTCCCAAATCCTGCCCCTGCAGGCAGGAGTTCAGTTGCACTGGAAGTTTTAACATTTAGCCAGGTTTTGGATGACCTCTGTAAGTGTTTCTACGTATGGAAGGGTTTTCTGCCTGTGCTGCTCTGTGTCTCCCATCCATTTTTCCTTCTTGGGAGCTTCCTTTTAGTTATCTCACAGCTTTGCCATGACATTTGTGGTATCCACATCTGCAGGGCTTCAGGAACGGCAGGACAGGAAGGAAATTGTGCATGAAAAACATTCCATACTCCAGTGTTGGATATAAGAGAGATGATTTGTGCTGGTATTGAGCTGTGGGGTCTTTCCTTGGTGCTGCCTGGTTGCAGGAACCAGATTTAGAGGGCAGCATTGGCTCTGTCCCAGCTCTTCTCTCAAAATCCTTTAGTGGCTATAGAAAATGAGTAGAAATTAGTATTTTGGAGTTATAAAGATACCACATATACTGTGGGAACGTGAGGGTGGGGTGGAGGTATTGCTTGTGGTGACACACTGGAGTCAGGCAGGAGCCCTCTGGTGCTGAGGTGAAACTCAAAGAAATTACCCTTAAAACTCCTTTATTTTAAGCAGAACACGTCTCCAGAGGCAGCCTTAAAGATAGAGGTGCCTCCATCAAGGCTTGGGGCTGTGGGACAGCCGGCCCTGGCTTGTTAGAGGTAATTAGGGCTTATTTGGGATCATGTGCAGTTCTGGTGAGGGATGAGGTAGCTGCAGGGAGTGGCAGCCTGAGGAGACCTGTCTGGACTTGCTGGAGATGGGGTGCAAGAAAAGATCACACTAAACCCCTGAGACCCCACTATTGGACTGCCCCATGCCTGCAGTGATGTTAATTGCTTAAATGCTCGTTAGGAACAGGCTGGGGCTGGATTGAGGCCAAGCTCTCAGAGGGAAGTTGGGGTTGAAGCCTAGTTTGGGGTGCAGCAGCCACTCTTTCTGTGGTCATTTTTTTTTTCTCTGTAGCTTTTAAGACTTACTGTGTGGCTGCTAAAATGTCACTTCTGCTCAATCTTTTAAGAAAAAGATGCTAAACTTTGTGCAGGTGTAAATATTGACTTCAGAAAAACAACTCTGAGGCTCTGTGCTGCTTCCTACCCTTCCACCACTGATTCCCCAAATACAACCCTGGAGATGCTTTACAAATTTCCTTTGAAGATGTATCTTTATTTGCAGGGTTTCCCTCATTTTTATGAGTTATTTAATCCTGGGGAGCAGGTTTTCCCTGTGCACTGGCTCCAGGGAAAGGTGCTGGACACCTTTTTGGTGCTGCAGGGCTCTGCCGTGTCCCACCTGACTGCAGGGAATGCAGAACTCCCACCATTTCCATGGATTCTGGCAGGTTTTGACCCTGGGGTGTTTAGCAGGAGGGTGCTCGGCCCTTGCACTTAAAGTTGGGGTAATTCTTGTAAGAATTGTGGTAGGTCCCAGCTGCCCTCTGGAAACACTCAGCTGCCTTCTTGTCGCGTGCACAGGTCGCTGTTTGGCAGTGGTTCCCGATTCCTGGAAGAAAATGTGGGGGACCATGCAGACAGGCCAAGGGTGGGAGAGTCACAGGGTGTTTTTTGGACCATCCCCACCGCATATGCAGACCCCTGGGTTGAACTTGGGGTGTCTCAGGTACTCTCACCTCTGGTGTGTTGAGCTATCTGGCCCTGGAGTGACCCTTTAATTCACTTTATCCCTGGGGAGTGTGTGGATACTTGCTTGGATCATAGGGATAGGATTTGTTTTGGTCTGTGAAATAATATGTTTGCCTTGGAGAAATCGGGATGGCTGGTCCCTGTCTAGGATGGGAGAGTCACCTCAGACCCTCAGTATTTGGCCTCTAGGGAAGGACAAGGCCCCTCCTTAGGGAGGTCTCCAGGCTCTATACTTCACCATAATCCAGCAAATATTTATTTGCCCTATTCCTGGCACTTTCCCTGTATTTCCACCCCCTTTGCTGCGAGTGTTGCCAGGCCAGGATGGTCTAAAGGATACCTTGGAATACAAGCATGGATGGTATGTGCCTTCTCACTTGGAGCTTTGCCCATGCACCGGCTCTTACCACAGGTTATTTGGCTTCCCCGGAGGAAGTATTTGTAGGTGACTGCTTTGGGACTGCAGTGGGAGGAAGCCAAATCCTTATAGCAGCAGTCGTGGGCGTGGCAGCACCTGAGAGCGTGGGAGGGGTCAAGACAGGATGGGGTACAGGTGGGACATTGATTGAACATCAACAACATGCATCCTTCCCATTGGCTACTGCTGCTAAAACGCTTTTAGGGAGGTTTTAAGGACAAGCAACAATTTTCTCATTGCTCTCCGCTCCCAGAAGCAGGGCAAAATTTCCCTTGTGGTACCCAAGGAGGTGGGGAGGGCTGGGGCACCTGCTCTGCCTTCACCAGATCACAACTTACCTGTCAGTGGCATCCAGGGGTTCTTTGGATCCCCTCCAGCTGCAGTAACAGCCATAACCATTGTAGGACAGTGGAGATTTCCCGGTCTTGTGCTTAATCATCGCTGCAAACTGGAGCACGTTGCAATAGGTGAGGGCCAGTCCTATGACTGGAGAAGTTGTTTAGGAGCACTGGGAAAAGCAACCTCCCATCCTACCCTCCCACAGCAAAAATGAGCATTTTCACCCTTCCCATCTCCATGGATAGAAGCTGTGAGCACCACCAGGCTTTCCTGGAGGGTGGGAGCTGGCAGGGGATTACTCATAGAAGAGGAGCAGTGAGAAGAGCTTTATGTCTGGTAGTGGCAGCCCCAGGGTGTGGTGAACCTGAGGTGCTGCCAGTCACACCTTATATAGTCCCTTATACGTACGCTTGGCAAGGCCCCTCCTTTGGAGGGCAAATATTGACAATCTTCACCATATCGCTCTTGCTACGTGTGCAAGTCCCTTGGCATTGCTGGAGACTCCAGGTGCCTTATGCTGGTGGAGCCCTTGGCAGGGGAGGATTTGGAGGACTGGGATGAGTATGGTAGGCTGGGGTCAGCTCCAAGCATGACTCTGGATATCTCAGCATCTCAGTGCCTCCCTGAGCAAAAGGGGAGAACCTGAGGGAGAACAGGAACCACTCAGTGGAAGATGTCCCTGCCCATGGCAGGAGGTGGAATGAAATGAGCTTTTCCAATTCAAACCATTCTGTGATCCCATGATTCGCTTTCCTCCTGGATGACTATATTAGTTTTTTGATGTCTTGGATAGAAAACACCACTCTATGTCTTAGTGTTTCCATCCTGACTTAACTGGGCAGGGAAAAAAGGCAGCCAGTGCAAAGCATCCTCCACTTCTGACTTACCAGAGTGGGTGAGATGCAACACTGGGAGCAAAGGAAGATCCTGTGGTCCTCCAGAATGACTGTGGCTGGAAACGGGGCTGAACAGAGGCCACGTATGGTGGGGTTTTTTGGTAGTGGGGACTTCTGACATCCCAAATGCCCCTTGCACATGGGGATGCTCTGTCCCTCCCTGTGTGTGCTGGGCACTGTGTGCTGCTCTCAAAAAGATGAGCCCATGGCATGAGATGTCTGGCTCACCTTTATTTAGAAGAAAAAGAAGGCAAGTGGCAGCATAAGGGAAAAAAATGCAAGTGGTGTATTAATGGAAGGGGAAAAGAGAGGCTGATTGTTGTTTGTTCTGAGAGAATCTCTAATTAAATAGATGATGCTGAACAATCATTTAGCAGATTTCCTCTGGCAGATATTGCAGGTGCCCAGTTTTGGAGAATCCCAGCATGGACAGGCACTGAGGCAGGAGAGGAAATCCCCCATGGCTGGTAGGGAAACTGAGGCAGGGAACAGGGATGCGACTTGTGTGGGAATCAGAGATGTGGTGAGAAAAGGGAACTCAACTCAGCAAAATCTCTTCCCCCTTCTGGTATGGGATGTTTGTCTCATCAACTCTCTAGGTTAATTTAAGCAGACCCCTCAGACAGCATTGAGTTGATGACCTGAACCAGGGCTTGCCATAATTCAGGATTTTCCAAGTCCACAACCAGTTTTATCACTGAGAAATAAGGTATATTCTTATCAAACTGGCTGAGCTCCACATGAACACCTCTCCATCCCAGCCCTTCGACCTGTGCCAGCTTTGCAGTATCCCTTCTCCAAATGGGAAATAAGCCCCAACAGGGCCAAATGCCTCCTGGAAGGATGTGGATTTTGTTTCACAGTACAAACCCCACAACTTTTCCAGGCCAATTTATTGCCATGTATCTGAGCCAACACACTAGCACTTGGAGCTCCGTATGAATGGATTTGTACAGCCAGATGTCCAAGCAGGAAAATATGTGGATAGTTAAAATTCATCCAGAGTTTACAAAGGGATAGTGTGATTCAGTCTATCTCAGTCTGAAATCTGTCCGGGATATCCTGCCAGTGAGGATTTGATCCTTGATTTGCACCTTGCAAACAACAGCTGCTGGGTGAAGGGCTGCCCACTCCTTCCTCATCTCCCCTAGGATCACATGGTGCTGGAGGAGAAAGATGAAGGTGGAAGGGCCTGATTCCTGGGTGACAGCTGGTGGGAAGCATCACTGATGTAAGGGATATTGCCTGGCCCCATTGACTTCAGCTTTGGGGCAAGCCAGGGAGGGAATTCCAGCTGGGCATCAGCCCCTGAGGAAAGAGTGTTTTGTTGCTGTTTCTGTGGCTTTATTTCATCGCTGAGCCACAAGGGGGTTTGGAGCACCGAGACTTCCCGGGGGTCAACCCTGCAGGGCACAAAAGCTGCGCAATGGGGAGGTTTTTTCCTAAGGGACATGCTCGGGATTGTTGCAGAATCAGGCCAAAACATTCTTTTCTGATGAGAAGTCTGTTTTGCTCAGCACTGGTGTGAGGCAAGCTCCCGGCCACCCCAGCACAGCAGAGGTTTAGGGAATCATAGAATATCCCGAGTTGAAAGGGACCCACAGGGATCATTGAACTCCAAGCCCGATCCTCCCATGGCATCACGCCTGCTCCAGCCCTTCCACCCACTTCTGCCTCTTCATCTCGGAAAAAAATTGGACATTTTCAGAGCCTGAAGGCTCAGGGCTAAGTGGAGCAGTTTAGGGGTACCGCTGCACCTTGGTGGGAATTGTGTCACCTCTCAGCTGTAATTTTTTCCAGGTATTTCAACAGGAAAGCTGTCTGAGACGCAAGGGGTGGTCGCTGGGCTCAGCTGAGTCACGGCACACTGAGGACCAGTGCTTTGGGCTCTCTGTTTTTATTTGGAGCAACAGAAGGTGAAGCAAGAAGCGGAGAGAGTGGACAGGCTTGCAGGGGAGCCAGACCCGAGGGACGATGCTCCTGCTGGTTCCCTGTGCCCCTCACAGGGCTGAGGGGCAGGTGTCCAACCCTCCCTTTTTTGCTGTGCTGAAACATCGCTGCAGTGCTGCTCCCCCTCCTCAGGTCCAGCGGACACTGACGCAGCTTCATCGGAGGGTCGTTGTCCTCGTGCCAAAGCCAAAACGTCCCGAGGAGACTCGCCAGGGCTGGGAAGTGCTGCCGGCACCGTCCCTTCATGGATCAGCCCAGAGGTGGTTTTGCAAAGGGAATTTTTTGCTTCAACACCTCCCGGCTCGTCCCCGGCACTTGATGCGGTGCCGGAGCGGCCTCTGGGCACGCATCCGGCACAGCCGGGCCGCCCGCTCGCACCTGCAGGCACTTCTCTGGCACCACGTCCCTGACCCTGCATAGGCCGCACAGCACACCCGAGAGCTTCATTTGGGCATAGCTCTCGGGGGCTGCCCAAAAAAGGGCACCACAAGGGAGGGAGAGGGTCTGGAAAGGGGCATCCCAAGGCAAGGGGGTGAGGACTCACTGCAGGTGGGGATTCCTGCCTGGGGTGCTGAGAGGGGCTGGACGGGTCCCACGCGGCACTGCCGAGCCGCCAGCTTGGCATAGCAGCAGGCGCGGAGCAGGCAGCACCTGCAGGGAGAAGGAGAGCCTGGACTCATTGGGAATGTGGCACCAGCTGCTTCTGACCTACCTGACACAGGCTCTGTGAGCTGGGTGGGAAGAGCCGCCAGCTTTGCATCCTCTGCTCTGAATTGCCAGCAACTGCTCTTTCCAGCCCGTTCCCATGCCTCTGCTTCCCTGTGCAAGCCCTGCCCAGCATCCTGGCTTCAGGACCATCCCTCTCCACTGCTGCCATCCCATGAACCAGGCAGCTGTCACTGGCACCACCTTAATGACTGCGGGGCTGGAATTAGGGGTGAGCACTGAGCTTTCCCTGCTTCCTGAAACCCATTCCCTTCCTGCTGCTGCTCAGCACCTGATCTGCACTTTGCAAAGCTTCAGGGTGGGCTGATGGGGTGCACAGCCCTGGTTACCCCAGGGCCAGTGTTAGCCCTCTGGGGCAGCATTGCCTGTACCGGTCCAACGAAGCCCTTGAGGTGCCCCATCCTGAGTAGCATCTGTGGGCAGTGAGATTTCCTACAGTGCTTCCCTCGAGTCCTGGTGTGAAGGTACGTGGGTGCTTCCCATGAGCTGTGAACACACCTGGAGTGACCAAAAAAAGTGATTTTTTTTGTAGGTTATATGCAGAAATGAGGCCTGGGGAACGGGGGGAGAGGAGAGAGTCTCCCTGAGGAGTGCACAGGGGTTTGGGAATGCACATTGGCACAGGCATGGAGCCTGGCTCCTGTCTGTGGGTCGGAGATGCACTTACTGCAGGCAAACAGCATTGTCAGCACCAGCAGGACCTTCATCTTCCTCTCACCTGGGCCTGGGAGGAGAAACAGAGGACAGGCTCAACCAGGCAGCTTGCCTGGTGCTGCTATGCAAACCTTCCTCTCTGAAATTGGGTCAAATCACCCCAAAATTTGGAATGAAGAAAGCAGCTGGGACTCCTTGCATCTGTGTTGCTGCCTCTTGGCTGACAGCAAGTGGTTTCTGAGACTGTTCCACCACCTGAGCATTCCCACCCCCTGTCCCACCATTCCAACACCCCCCCACCTCCTGTCCCACCACTTTTGGCACTTCTCCCCCTGTGGTCCAACATCCCAGCTGCGTTTTTATCTGGGAACAATGACACTTTCCCTACCCTTTTCTTCCCTCCCAGCAGAAGTCAGCGTTCCCGCTGCCTCCTGCCCACACCCCCGTGTATTTTTGTTTCCATGGCAGGGGGATGGGGAGGGGGGGAGTTGCTCACCGGGGGATCTTCCTCGCTGTCAGTCCGTCCTCCCGGGGAGAGCCCTCCGTGTCCAGCCCGCGGGCTCCGAACTGGAAACACCGAAATGACTCCTCTGTCCCAAAAACATTAGGTGCTACGCCCCGTTCCTCGCCGGCCACCCCCCCTCGCCCCGTGGGCTGCAACCCGGAGTGACGCAGGGACTGAGTTCTTGGAAAGTTTTGGGAAGATGTTGATTATTCACAGGGATTTCTGTCCCTACCCAACAGCAGCAGCTCTCAGAGGACGGAGTGGTTTAAGCACACTGTTTATTTTCACATTACTTAAATTTACAGCAGCACAGGCAGGAGTGCAGCGAGCTCCAGATTCCGGCTCCTATCACTTGCATAGGTAATTAGGGTAGAACTGGTAGCGTTTCCTGTAGCTCCCGACGTTTCTCTTCAGGCACAATGCCAGGCTGCGGTCGCACTCACAGGAGAGCTGAGCACACCAGGAGTCCTTTCCTGTGGGAAGAGGGGAGCCCAAGGTCAGCCCTGACTTTAGGATGGGCTGACCCACCCTTTTCCTGGGTCCTACTCACTGCAGGAGGGGCTGCCGTGGTGCCGCTTGTAGTGGTAGCTCTGCTTCTTGGCGTCACAGCGGTGGTTCAGGAGGCTGAGGTAGCAGGTATCGTGCAGCTGGCAGCACCTGCAGGGGAGATCAAAACTTTAGGGGTTGGGCTTTTCCTTCCCTCACCCCCCCAAATTTGAAAATATTCAAGGATGTGTTCAGGCAGGGGGGTTTCAGGCGGGTTCTCACCTGTCTGAGGCGTCCTTGGGCTGCCCCTTGCCCCCCACGCCGCAGTAGCAGCCGTAGAAGGCGTAGTGCAGCAAAGCGTTTTTCCCTGTCACCTCCGTGATCATGCTGTGCAGCTGCAAGAGGCTCCCATGGGCTGGGGACAAGCCTGGAGAGGGGAAATCAGGGGGATCATGCTGATTCCCAGCCCCTTTGCAGCACCTCCATTCCTCCAACCCCCAAACTGGCGCCAGGGTGGTGACATCTTAGAAATTATAAGACAATGGAGAGGAAACTTGCTCCTAGCTTGGTGCAGGAGAGTTGTTGCATATTTGGGAGAGGTGGTGATGGGAAAAGGTAAAGAAATCACCAGCCTGATCCTAATTTCCACAGATGTAACTGCACAGGGAGCCATGGGACTGGTGGGAGTGAGGACACTTACGCCAAGCAAACAGCACAGTGAGGGCCAGGAGAGAATTCATCCTTCTGACAGCCCTGGGAGAGGAAAGCAAACCATTCCCTGTTATACCAAAACCAAGCCATTCCCTCTTATACCAAAACCAAACCATTCCCTGTTATCCCTTCTTTCTTCCTCCTCATCTGGGAGCAGAGATACTCCCCCCTCTCTGAGGACTAGAGAAGATGAGGGGGTGAAGATGGCACCTGTCACTTCAGCACAAAGCATTGAGGGAAAGTGATGGGAATTGGATGGTGCAGTTGTGGAAAAAAAGCAAAATGAAGAGAAAGGAAGAAAAGTTGGAGGAATTATCAGCCCTCAGTGGCTGCACCCACTGCTCTTCCTCCAAGCTGGCATCGCAGGTAGCATCTCTTTTGCTCCTGCTATCATGGCATGGATTTTGCTCCCATACTGCTTCTGGTTAAAGGAGAAAAGGGAGAAAAAGCATTTCTCCATCCCCACTTACTTTGGTCCTGCAGTGGTCCACTTACAGTGTCCTGCAGCCAGCTGGGCTTTCTTTATAAAGGGTTTGCTCACATCTGTGTGGGGCTCCTTTGACTCAAATGTTGCTGACTGGGCTTTTCTGCGAAGGAGAAGGCTCCATCCTTCCCCTTTACAGGAGTGTCAGAAATCCCCCCAGCGCCCCAGCTCTGCACCTCACACGTGGGGGCTGCTGCTGGGTGGGATGAGGTGGCAAAGCAGCGTCACTTCCAGGCTGAGGAGGAAGCCAACACCCCCTGATCCTGGTCAGAAATGCCTGAACATCTTCTCTTTTGTCCTTCCCAGCACCACGAAGCCATATCAGGGGGAGAGAACAGCCCTGGTTCAGCCTGGGCAGGAATGAAGCAGGTTTGGGATTTTCAAGAGGATGTACAGTTTGGGAACTGACCCTCTGCAAAACTGGTTCAGGGTGAGTTATCAGTTGTTTGGGGGAAATCTGTGGGCAAACTGAAAGCATCTCTAAATATACAAGTTCCCAGAGACATGAGGTTGGGCAGACACTGGATGATTAAACCCTCCCTCACTGTGAGAAAAAAAATGAATCAAAACGAATGTTTTGTGGTGAGCAAATGCAACTTCCCTTATTTTATTCTGTATGATTTTTCCACACCCTCATTACAGCTCTTCTGCAGAAACCATTCAGTCACCAACTGCCCTCCTAAATTAGCATCCACCTAATTTAGCTGGTCATGGTTTTGAAATCTTCCCTCCTCTGTGGATGGCTATTCTTTACCCTTAATTTTCGTAGAATCTCATAATGGGTTGGGTTGGAAGGGACCGTAAAGCTCATCTCCTTCCACCCCCTGCCATGGGGACACCTTCCACTATCCCAGGCTGTTCCAAGCCCTATCCAGCCTGGTCTTGGACACTTCCAGGGATGGGGCAGCTGCAGCTTTTCTGGGCAACCTGTTCCCCAAAGTTGTTGCTCCACGTTGGGATAGACTTGTGAATTACAGCCCTCCTGGGACCATGGAAGTATTGGGATGTTGGGCAGAGGGTGTGGCTGAGGTGTGGGATGCAGAAGTGCTCCCCAAACTCGGCAGCCACCATTGCAGTGCCTTAATCTCAGTGGCCCTTACAGAAAAACATCCCAGAATCAGTTTATATTCCTTTTATTGTGGGTCTTTATTATCTTTTCTGAGAAATTAAATCAAGGGAGGAGGAAGGGACAAGAAAGAGGACATCGGTGTGTCTTTCTGGGAACTGCGAGGTTTCCATCCATGATGTGTGTGTGCCCTTCCTCATCCTGAGCACCTCGCAGGGAGCCTCGTGGGCTCTGGTTCTCCTCAGCCCCCACGCCAGGCTTTTCTTGCCACAGCAATGGGGGAAACCAGACACAGTCTGGAGCTCTGTGTGCAGATTCCCCTTCCTCAGCACTGGAGCTCGTTTCCTTGGCATTTCAGCTTGAAGTAGAAGCGGTAGGAATGACTGTACGAGGGCAGAGTGCTCGCGAAGCACGAGGCCACTGCCTTGTCACACAGGCAAGTCTCTCTCTCACACCAGCTCTGCTTGTTACCTGTGGGGTGGAAACACAGTGCCCTGTGGTGGCTTTTCTGGTGGGGTCCCGTCAGGACACCCCCAGTGCTTGGAGCTTCCTCGGGGAAGTGGATGAAACAGTGTCCCAGTGCTTGCTCTCTCCCACCTGTTGCATCCCTTGCAATGCCCATTTAATTATCACACCTGGACAGGAATCAGGCTGGTTTCACCCCAGGGGTTGCCCTCCTGAGTGCCCTGCTCCAGGGATGGGGTGTCATGGGGAGCAGTGCTGGTTCCCCACCTCCATGGAACCCCTTTTCTATACTCACTGCAGGTGATGTGTCCGTCATCAGTGGTGAACGTGTACGGGGTGATCAAGGGGCTGCACTTGCCCTCCCTCACTCTCCTGTAGCAGCAGTCGTGGGCTTGGCAGCACCTGTGGGGACACCACGTCAGCTGCGGCCCCCCAACCCTCCCTTACCACACCTGGAAAGTAAAGGAAGGTCCAGCCTCAAATTCAAGGCAACCTGGAGGAGGGCATGGTCAGGCAGCAGCAGGACGTGGCTGGGGAAGGGGGCAAACCCCCATCTCAGAGTACAGCATTTTAGGGACTGCCCTTCACTGGGGTGGGTGAGTGGTGATGCTGTTCCAGATACTCACCGGTCAGTGGAATCCACAGGGGTCCCGCTGCCCCCAATGCCACAGAAACACCCATACCAACTGTAGGAGAGCAGGGCACTTTTCCCTGTGGTCGCCCTGATCATCCGCTCCAGCTCCAGGACACTGGTGCCAGCTGGGAGCAGCCCTGTGGAGAGGCAGAGGGAGGGGGCTTGTGCCGGTGCAGAGTGGGGAGGCTGTTGGTGTTCCTAACACCTCACACCAGGCAGAGAATTAAATGTCTGGCACTGCTGGAAACACACTTTCAGGAGTCTGAACCATGAGGAGCCCTAACCCCACCCCAGGGATTATAGAATCATAGAATTCCAGAACGGTTTGGGAGTGAAGGGACCTTAAAGCCCGTCTCATTCCACCCCCTGCCATGGGCAGGGACACCTTCCACCAGCCCAGGTTGCTCCAAGCCTCATCCAGCCTGGCCATGAACACTTCCAGGGCTGGGGCAACCACAGCTTCTCTGGGCAACCTGTGCCAGGGCCTGCCCACCCTCACAGGGAAAATATCTGGCTTCTGCACCCCCTGGATTCAGTCTGGCAGAAGGTATTGCTCTTTGGACAGGCAACAAGCCTGCAAGCCATGCTGCAACCAGCAATCCCCCATCACCAGGATCAGCCATGGGCTTGGCACAGACAGGAAATGTTCCAACAATCTCCAGGGTCCTGTAAAATAAATATGGATCTGGGCATCCCAAAGCCTCCCCCTCACAAAGCCCTCCAGGACTTCAGCAGTGCTACACGAAGTGTTGGAGTGAAATTGCAAAATTTAAGCAAAAAATTGAATTGTTCCCAAATCTTGAGGTTGGCAGGTGGATCCTGGTGTGTCCTGGGGGCAGCGGGGCACTTACCACAAGCCAGAAGCACAGCAAGGAGGAGATTCCTCATCCTGGGGCTGCCCTGGAGAGGGGACAGCAAAGGTGGGCGATGAATCAGGGGCAGGACAGGCTGCTCCCCCAGTGCCCACACCAAGGGCAGGCCTCGTGGTGACATTCGTGTCACTGTGGATTCAAAGCCTTCTGAAGGCATCACTGTGTCCCAGTGACTCCTCAGGGGGCCCTTTAGCCTGGATTTGGGATGCAGCGCTTGTCACGGACACGGTGGCTGATCCTGCCTGGGGCTGGTGAAGCAGCTCCTGATTCACAACCTCCCCCCATCACCCCTTGAGCTGCCAGATGAGTAACAGGGCAATAAAATCCCACTCTCCTTACCCCTTCCTGGACCTGCAGTTCTGATGTCACTGGCTCAAAGGGTTTGGTTTTTATAGCTGGCCAGGCCCACCCCCTCCTCCATCTGCGCTGTCATCCCAAGCCGGGCTCACCTGGAGCAGGGAGAGTGTTCCCATCTTTCTCTTTCCCAAAAATCATGAGTTTCCCCAAACAGTGAGCACCAGCACTCCCTCCATCTGCTCATTGATGGGCATGAGGTCATCTCTGTCCCTACATGAAGCCAGTCAAGGCCTTGGCCATGGTTTTAAAATCTGTGGGATCTAGTGGCTGGAGCGATGGGATAAAAGTGATTTACATCCAGGCTGGCACCTCAGAGGTTGTTGAATCCTTGTTCCAGCTGCAGAGGTGGCACTTTGGGCTCAGTGTTTTCTCATGTGAGCCCTTGGTTTTGCCAGTTCACACGCTGAAGCTTCAGAGGTGGTATCTTTTGGCTCCTTCGTTGCAATTGTCCCCTCAGATCCATGGCTGCATCCAAATCCAGCCTCACTGAATCACAAGGGGAGGTGAAGGAAAGACAGCCAACATCACGAGTGCAATTCCTGGGTCTGCAGTTTTCCTGTCCTACCCTCTGTGGTTTTCCTGTCTGCCCAGAGTGTGTGGGCAAGGGGTCTGAGAAATTAAATCATGAGCAGCAAAGGCTGGAAAAGCCATGGAAACCTGAGTTGGAATGCTTGGGGCATACAGTTTATTTAATCACCATAATTCAAACATGATACAGAGATGTGGGGGAGGCAGAAAAGCAGAGGAGATAAGGAACAAAAGCTGCTGGTTTTCCCCTAAACCATGGGACCAAGAGCAAACACAGACACAAATGCAGGTATCTGGTGATATGCAGGGCTCCACCCTCAAGGATTAACCTGGGGAAGGGAATTTGGGGTTGAGAATTGTAAGGAAATGACTTAGGGGTCTGGAGTCAAGAAGAAAAAACTCTGTGGAATTTCTTAAGAAGCCACCAAAGCTGTCGCTGGAAGGGACGTCACCTCCTGACCGTCCTCCAAGGGGGCAGAGCTGTCTGTCCCAGGGCTTTGCTTCCCTCTAACCCTCAATTTTCTGCTGCAAGTGGAATAAAAGCCATCCAAGCCTATTAAGAATGGGGTGCAACACCTCACCTGCCTCCTTAGTCAGCATCTGCACAAGAAACCATCCCAAAATGCCACAGTGACAATCCAACAGCCAAACCCCTGCTTTCCTCACCTCCCTTTGAAAACCAAGGCAATCTCTAGTAATTAACTGATCCCTTTCCCACCCCCTCCACAAACACTTCCATTACAGAAGGATTCCAAAGGTGGTGTTCACTGGCTGTGCTATTTGTGTTTTAACACTGCAGGTTCTTGGTTTTGGGGGAAAGACCTGCAGAGTTTGCTGTAGAGTTTGGATAAACCTGCATGAAAAGCATAATCTGAGGGCGTAATTGAGAGCAGGGATCCTGTGGATTTGGGGTCCACACATGGTTTTAACCAAAACTCCTCATTTTAAGCCCTCCCTCTCTGCAGGGGGTCTCAGGAGAGTGACCACATCAAGTCAAACCTGCTCTTTAATTACCCCACAGACTCAAGGGCTTAAAAAAACCACCCGTAGAAGTTATCATCCCCTTAGATATATGGAACTTTTCAGCCTTCTTCGGGAACAAAGAGAGCTGGGTATCACCCACACATCTGTTTGTTCAGGGCCTTATTGAAGTGTAAATGTGCCAGGTGCTTTGATCTGCAATGCTCCAGTTTTCCCAGCAATATTGCCAAATATCCTGGGCCGAGATGAGCTGATCGGAAACTCTTTCCTTATTTATTTTATTTCTTTTTAGTGCTCGGGTTTGCCTTGATCTTCCCCCCTCACAGGGTGGAGAACCCAAGTTATTTCTTTTTAGTGCTCGGGTTTACCTTGATCTTCCCCCCTCACAGGGTGGAGAACCCAAGTTTATGATAGATATTTATTGCTTTCTTGGTGCCACTGATGGCCATCTGTTGGTGGGAGAACAAGCTGGTTAACTGAGTGGGTTTAAAAAGGGATTAATGGGGAGAGAAGGAAATATCAGTATGTGGGGTGTTCCCAGAAGGGAAACTGACTCATGGATCATTTGTAGCCAGGGGGATCAGGATGACTCCCCTTCCCTCTTAGGATAAAGAAAGCTTAAAACTCCCCCAAAAGCATAGTTTTAGGTCCCAGGAAGATTTTGTGTGTAAAGTCTAATTTTTTAATGGTGTTTTCATAATAAATTTTGGGGTTTATTTGTCTGGGTTTATTCTGCAGTCACTGAATAATGTCACAGGGGGTTAAACTCTGTATTGCGCTCCACCCCTCCTCTCTCCCCACTGCCTTTGCTCAGGACAGGCTGTAACACTTCATTTTTAAACTTTTAGGATTAAAACCTGAAGATATGGTTATTTAAGTGGGGTGACAACATTGTGGTTTTGCTTAGGGTGGGATGGAGGAATGAGAACTCCTGTGAGAGGGACAGGGACAACCTTGGTGCCACACTCACTGACAGGTGCGGAGCAGCTGTTTGGGAGGGGACTCATCTGTCACCCCCCCTGCTCACCCTGCTTTGTGTCCCACAGGGTGAGGTCTCCAGAACTTTCCCAAAGTGGTGGGGCTGTTTCTGTGCCACTGACGAGGCCTGAAGCCTCAACACATCCCTGCACAGTTTGCACAGGTATGTCTCTGCCATCTGAACCAGCCTGTCCTGGCTGTCCCTGAGCCTGGTGATGTTCCCTGGATCTGCCCCAGGGCATTCTGGCTGTCCCATCCCTGGATCCACCCCAGGATCTACCTCAGGAAATCCTGGCTGTCCCAAGCCATGGTTTCATCTCTGTCCCATCCCTGTCCCCATCCCTGTCCCATCCCTGGATCCACCCCAAGATCCACCTCAGGAAATCCTGGCTGTCCCAAGCCACGGTTTTGTCTCTGTCCCATCCCTGTCCCCATCCCTGTCCCATCCCTATCTCACCCCTGTTTCTATCCCTGTCTCACCTCTGTTTCCATCCCTATTTCATCCCTGTTCTCATCCCTATTCCATCCCTGTTTCCATCCCTATCCCATCCCTGTCCCCATTCCTATCCCATCCCTATTCCACCCCTCTCCCCATCCCTATCCCATCCCTGTTCTCATCTCTATCCCATCTGTATCCCATCCCTATCCTCTCTGTAAGGTGAAACATACACAGGTATTCTTCCAAAGAACACCGAGGCAGTGGAAGGATTAAAAGAAAAGGATCGCTTTTTTACAGTAAGGCACATTGGGCCCCCAGGGGCTAAAGGCACCTCCTGTTTTCCCCTTCGAGTTTTTATTATCTCCACTCCCCCCTCTCTCCCCGTTGGAATGCCAAGGCCTATGACATCTGCTCTCTCCTCACATGTCAGAGTGAGCTTCTGGAATGTGGCGAGGAGGTGAGAGAACAGCACTGTTTTGAGAAGGCGGCAAGGGAAGCCTTCCCTAAAGCAAAATAACTGACTCCTGGGTAACAAAGTCTGTGGCAAAAAAAGTTACTTACCCTACACCATTCCCATCTCATCCCTGCCCAATCCCTTCTCCCATCCCTGCCCAATCCCTTCTCCCATCCCATCCCATCCCATCCCATCCCATCCCATCCCATCCCATCCCATCCCATCCCATCCCATCCCATCCCATCCCATCCCAGTCCCATTCCCGGGGGCGGGGCTGGATCAGCGCGTTGCGGTGGGCGGGGCCGTGGCGGGGTCTCCATGGCAACGGCGTCTGCCGGCGGGGCAGGACGGTGAGGGACAGGGACGGGGTCGGGATCGGGATCGGGGTGAGGGACAGGGACAGGGATCGGATGAAGGACAGGGACAGGGATCGGGATCGGGGTGAGGGACAGGGACAAGGATCGGGTGAGGGACAGGGACCGGGACTGGGATTGGTGTGAGGGACAGGGACCGGGATCGGGTGAAGGACAGGGACAGGGATCGGGATCGGGGTGAGGTACAGGGACCGGGATCGGATGAAGGACAGGGACAGGGATCGGGATCGGGATGAGGGACAGGGACCGGGATCGGGGTGAGGGGCCGAGATTGGGGTCAGCATGAGGGGTCGGGGCTGGCTGGGAGGCGGTGCAGCTGCGTTTCAGTGCCCGGGTCTGTCTGAGCTCGGCCATAGGGATGGGCAGTGGGGCCGGGCTGAGGGCTTAGGCCCAGTCCTGTTGTTGGGCTCAGCCCCAAGCCCGGCTGTGCGGCCCAGGCCTGGCTGTGGCACCAAGGGCTCTGCTGTGGGGCTGCTCTGGGCCAGCCCTCACCAGGACAAGACAGAACAGGCAGGAACTGATGCCCAGGAAGTTCCAGCTGAACATGAGGAAGAACTTTTTTACATGCCGTGGCACAGGATGCCCTGAGAGGGTTTGGAGTCTCTCTCACTGGAGACTTCCAGAACTGTCTGGACACAATCCAGTGCCATGTGCTCTGGGATGACCCCACTGGAGCAGGGAGGTGGGACCAGATGAGCCACTGTGGTCCCTTCCAGCCTCACCCATTCTGTGGTTCTGTGATGTAGGGCTTGGATTTGGAGGGCTCACCCTCACAGGCCCTGGTGTCACCAGCCTGGGGGCACCCGGCTGCAGTTCCCCATCGCAACCCCTCCCCAGGCACCGTATTTTAAGCATCTCCCCTTGGTAAATCTCTGGCATACACTGTGCTGGAGTGGTACATGCCCTCACAGGAGGGTCCCTCAATGGTTTCTCACAGGTTGCTTGTTTGGGGTTTTAACTCTTGGAACCGGCAGTGTCACTGGTGATATCTGTAAGTGCTCCCCTAGGCTTGAGAGTCCTTCCTCAGTGCCTTGTTGCCTTGAGTGTTTATTTGTTAGAGGCGCTAAGGGGAAGGCACATACTCCCCTCCCTCCCACAAGCTCCTGGGAAACTGGGATGAGTCACCCGGGCGGGTGTCCCTGTCTGGCTCTGCTGGAGGCTCAGGAGGGACAGGTCTGTCAGCTGGGCTGGGCAGGGGGTGTGAGGACTCTGCCTTGCTGAGTGTTTCCATTTCACACAGCTGGAGCAGAAATCGAGTGGTAAATAACACATTGCTGGCAAAGGACCACCAGGGCTGTTCCCTCTGTTTGGTTTAGAATAGAATTCCAGGATGGTTTGGGTTGGAAGGGACCTTAAAGCTCCTCCAGTGCCACCCCCTGCATTGGGCAGGGACACCTTCCACCAGCCCAGGTTGCTCCAAGCCCCATCCAACCTGGCCTTGGACACTTCCAGGGCTGGGGCAGCCACAGCTTCTCTGGGCACCCTGTGCCAGGGTCTCACCACCCTCACAGGGAAGAATTTCTTCCCAATAACCCATCTAACCCTGCCCTCTGGCAGTAGGAAGCCATTTCCCCTTGTCCTGTCACTCCAGGACCTTATAAATACTCTCTCCATCTTTCTTGTCAGTTCCTTCAGGTAATGAAAGGTCACAGTCAGGTCACTCTGAAGCCTTTTCTTCTCCATGTGAACAATCCCAGCTCTCCCAGCCTTTCCCCCTCTCAGAGCTGCTCCATCCTCTGATCTCTTGGTGCCTCCTCTGGACTCTCTCCAGCAGCTCCAGGTCCTCCCTGTGCTGTTCCCAGGGCTGGAGGCAGCTCTGCAGGGGGGTCCCACCCCAGGGGGCAGAGGGGCAGAACCCCCCTGGGATCAGCCCAGGGCACAGGGGGTTTCTGGCCTGTGAGCACACAGGGACAGGGCATGTTCAGCTTTTCATCCTCCAGCACCCCCAGGTCCTTCCCTGCAGGGCTGCTCTCCATCCCTTCTCCACCCAGGTGTGCCTGGGATTGCCCTGACCCAGCTGTAAGATTTTGCACTTGGCTCTGTTGAACATTGTGAGGTTTGCACAGACCCTGCCCCGTGCTGAGGTGACAAACAGCAGCCAAGTCCCACTGTCTTATTTCTGGAGAATGCCAAGCAATCCAAGTTGATTTTCCTTTTCCTTCGATAAATGCTGCCATGCAAACCACAGGAAGGGAAGGGGGGTGTGTGACCCTGTGGCACTTCTCAAAGGGTTGTTGTGAAGTTGTGACCCAGATGGCTGGGCTGTCTCAAGGCCTGTCCTGGTAACAGCCAAGTGCTCTGAGTGCGTCTTAACTTGGGGAACGTGCAGCAGAACGTGGCTTTATCTTTAGTAGAGGTTGTATCACAGTCACAGACTATCCTGAGCTGGAAGTGACCCACAAGGACCATCCAGTCCAACCCCTGGCCCTGCACCGGACACCCCAACAATCCCTCCATGTCCCTGAGAGCGTTGTCCAAACACTGCTGGAGCTCTGGCAGCCTTGGGGCTGTGACACTGCCCTGGGGAGCCTGTTCAGTGCCAACCACCCTCTGGGGGAAGAACCTTTCCCTGAGATCCAACCTGAGCCTGCCCTGACACAGCTCCAGCCATTCCCTTGGGAAATCATTCTGTTAAGCAGCTTTCGGTCACAAAAGGGTCAGAACGAGTTTCTCTGCATTGAATCAGGGTTTTTCATTCTTGGGGATCTTCAGAGATGTTTAAAAAGTGAAGTGTAGTGAATCTTACCCCAAAATCCACAATGGGAACTCAATCTGCCACTGCAGGAGCAGTGAAAAGGCCAGTGCTGTGCTTTGAAGTTCACTCATCTCCCATTTGCACTGAGTTTCCAGCTTCAGAATAATAAAAAAAAAATTGTTCTTTCCATCAAAAAACTTACTTTCAGTGGGGAAGGGCACAACTTTCTGATGCTCTGGGTCAAGTTTACACAATTCCTGACAAATCTAGCCCCTATAAATAACATGTCTCCCACCACCTCTGACTCAGCCCTCACTGCACCGCAGGATTGCCCACACAGTGACACACCACATTTATTCCCTATTTAGCTGACAAACCATAGGGAGATTAGACCCTCTAGAAGCTTCCTGGCCAGTTCCTATAACTTTTCCCTCTGCTTGCAGCCTGCAGGTGCAACGCCCACAGCAGCTTTCCTGGACGCAGCACTTGCTCAGCTCTGCTTCCCTCCGAGCACAGCCGCTCTCCCGTGGGCCAACATTGTCACCATGCATGTCACCAGGCCCAAATCAGCCAAGGGACGCAGAAGGCAAAGCTTCAGCCACCCTCAGGGCGTGGAAGCCTGTCCATGCCAAGTGCCTTCTTCCCCACTGGCAGCATCTCCTCGGGCATTAGCGAGCAGTCGGAGAGCACCACACACAAAACTGGTGTTCCCACCCACCCCGGTGTCTCCTGAGGAGGTCCCGGAGCTCCTGCAGCAAGTGCCTTTGAAGTCCTCCTCTTCCCTGAACAAGTACCGGGTGCTCCCCTCCATTGGCTGGAAGGGCATAGCGAGTGATGCTGTGGAAGTGCTGGCTCAACAGACCAGCCGGCTGGAAGTGAGTGAGGGGCAGGAGGACACTCTGAAATTCAGCAAAACTCTGTCTGGAGAGCAGGGATCTGGCAGCACACTGTCAGGAAGAGATGTTCTTGCTGAGGAGAGCTCCCATGTGCACTGTGCCCCTGAGAAGTGGGGAAGGAAAATGAGGCAGGAAAGCCCTTCCACGTCCCCTCTAAGCTTAGAAGAGCCCCACGTGCTGCTCGCGGTCCGGTCTCCCTCTGGCCAGAGGTTTGAGCACCACTTCAAGCCCTCTGACAGTCTCCTGACAGTCCTTGCCATGGCAGGACAGAAATTGTTGGCCAACTATCAACACTGCAGTGTTGAAACGATGGAAGTGCCCCGGAGGAGCTTCTCTGACCTTACAAAGTCCCTCCACGAATGTGGGATCCTCCACAAGACTGTGCTGTGCATTCGACAGGACAAGCAGCACGATGCAGATCTTTAGGCACACGGAGGTGGGTTTTTCTGCTGAGTGGGATGCATTGTTTCTTCCAAAAAACCTGAGTCTGATGTTTCCTGGGCCTACTTCTTGCCATCTTTCACAAATTCCCATGAAGCAGAGGTATGGATGTTGAGAAATAGTATTTCAGATGTATAAACCTGCGTCATAAAGAGCAGCTTGTTTCACCCGTGCCATCACAAATTGCTTCGTAAGTGCCACCAACCTTCAGCCTTTTTGGTTTGTTGAAAGTTTCCAAGTTTCCAAACCCCAAGTTTCCAAGACATCTACTCTTCTCCTTTTCTCTATTTTGGGAAGGTGCCACTTCCCAGAGTGGACCTGGATGCACCTATTTGGGAAGGTAGAAGCAGAACTGTTTTACCTGCAGGACCACCTTCAGTAGCTGATCATCATCCTAAACATCTTCTCAAGAGGCTGAAAAGGAGTTTAAACCCCCAAACCATCTGGAAGCAAGAGTATTAACACATTAAAGGGTTATTAGGAAGTATTAAATTGCAAGACTGTGAGAACTCAGCTCTTTCTGGGTAACCTCAGTCCAGCTCTTTACTGTGACTAAATCACCTTTTTAAGAACAAATAGTTATTATTTTGTCTTGGTGAGCAGCAGGATTTTCTCCTTAGTTTTCCTTCCCTCATTCAGCTTGTGTGATCTGCAGGTAAGAACAGATGGATAGTTAAGAAGGGATGTTACAAATAATTCCACTTAACACCTTTACACTGAAGTTAGTCCAAGAAGCAAAGTGTTAATTTTGGGAGTTTTAAAATAAAAATGTATTAATGGGATTTGACTGAGGAACTGGCTTACAGCATCATTAAAAGGCTGTTTGGGTGACTTGGCAGGTTTAGGTAACTACAATGGAAATTCAAAGGCAATAATTCAATCTACTTAAAAAATGGATCACTTGCCACAGAGATGAGCAAGTTTAAATGGTTTGAGGCAAACCCAGTTTAAGTGTAACTGCCAGAGCAGCCCAGCTCAGGAGCAGAAACACAGCAGCAGCAGAAAGCTGATGCTGGTGCTGATCACAAGTGTAGTATCTGATCTTAAGTAAGTGTTCAGCGTCCAGTGGCTTTATAAAATCAGTACCTGATGGAACAGTTACCTGCTGCTGGGTGGTGGGTGATGGAATGGCACAGCAGCAATCTCAGATACTGAAACATATGGATGCTTTCAACCAAACCATAGTGGGGAGCAAAGTAGTTCAGGACAAGGAACGATTTTCTATATTCCCTTCAGCATTAGGTGGTTAAATCCCTTGTTCTGACTGTTGTGCACTGTGTTACTTCACCATTTCAGAGTGTTTCCACCCTGTGTTAGTACAGCCAATAAAACCTTTCAGGTTGAAACTTGAACTTCAAAGAATTTATGTGAGCTGGAGGTTTATCCATCACATCTCCTCTGAAGAAATGCCATTAATTTGATGGCAGATAGCTCAGGGATTGCCCAAATCAGCTATTGGATAGTCAGCTGCCCTCCACACCACCTTGCTCTGGTCTTCCTGGAGTTTGGCTCTCCATCCTGTGTTGGATACAACACAGCAGTGAGGGAGGAAGCACTCTGGATCAGTGACAAGTTGTTATTAGATACAGGGACCACCACAGAGATGTGAAAGTGCAGGGGCTGACGCTCTAAATAAGAACAGAAGAGTAAGATAACATAATAAACCTGGATCACAGTGGACTTCTCATGGTGGAGGATGTTCCTCCTGCATATCTAAGCTAAAGCTGGATGAGTTTGGTTCTAACCACCTCACCAAGGCTACAGCATCTCCAAAGATGAGCATTTTAATGATTTCTTTGTCCAAAACCCACAGAAGTCTTTATCTAGGCAAGCACACTGAAGGGAAAAGAACTCTTTTCTCCCTCATTCCTTTTTCTCTTCCCTTCAAAACTCTTCTGGGGAGGTTTTAGAAGCAACAAGTCCAGCACAAGAAGCACTGGGGGGAAGAACAATATTTATTTGACCTAGTTTATTGTGTGACATCACTTAACAAACTTCCCTGTGGGAATCTTTTAAGGATTTCAGCATTAAAATTCAGTCTGTCACAGGATGAGGTGGTCATAAATAGAAAACTTGCCATGACTCCTGGCTGGTAACGTCCTTACCTGAGGGTTTTAAACACCAACAGAGCATTCAAGCAAGAAATCAGCAACGGGATCATTCGGTATGTGTTCTTTATTCCAATTAAAAGTACATTAGAAACAGCACACAGGACCAGCAGCAGCTTCCATGACAATTCAGCCCAATACTCTGCTGTCACCAGGTCATTCAGCTGTACTGGGAAAGTAGGTGATAAAATCAAGTCTTCCACTCAACACGCAAGCACTCACTCACCTGCCACTTTAAATAGGATTCCAACAGAATAAAAATAGATACACCCCAGAATACAAAAAGTTTAATTTTAAGCGGTTTTTTTTTCTTCACTAAAGCTTTTATACAAATTGATAAAAGGGTGCACAATTTCCTAAAATTTTAGGTACATTTTAAATGAGCCTTTTTTTACTTGGTAAAAGGATCCATGTTCCTGTCTTTGAACAGAATATGGTGGCCAGAATTGCAAAGAAAACAAGTAATAGTTTAAATTTACAATTTATACATTTGTTTTGACATGATTCCCACACTGAGTAGCAGGGCCATGGCTGCTCACGCTTGTCCCATTTCCCCCCAACAGAGAGCTGTGCACCCTAAGTTCTAGTTCAGGAGCCTCCTTCTCCTGGAAACTGGGCTGGGAACAGCCCACAGGCTTCCATCTGTGCGCACAAGAATGGTCCCAACACAGAGGAGGTGTAAATGCTTTCTTCTCCAGGAATTGTGAATCCTACCTTCTCCATAGAACGCCCCAGGGCAGGGACCAGTGATCTATTTTGCACTATGGAGCACTTCCCACCTGCAATTTGGCTGAGCAATTTAACTCAAAACTCTGGTACTGTAACAGGTAAACTTGGTGTTCTAAAGGTAAGTTTCTTGGTCAATACAGACTATCATGATCTTTTGTTTCTTTTATTCCTAAATAACTGGTGGGTGAAGCCCAGCAGCTCTGTACATTATCCATGCTGAGCTTCACAGCATAGGGAATTGAATCACATAGGGGAATTTAATTCACAGAGGGGAATTTAAGCAGACAATTAATTAGTACAGTTCCCTTCATATTGAACCCTCCCATCCCACCCACCCACCCACACCTTAGCCAAGTTAAACACTTCAGATGAACTTCTGTACTGTCACCACCACCCCCTGTCACAAGGAGAGCCCATTCCAACAAATCTAGGACAAGGGAAAAGTAAATACTGCCCAGCAAAAGCAACACGGCACCTGTGTTTGCAAGTAGGAGCTACTGGAAACATCCTCAGGACAATATACATAAGGAAAAGCAGGGCAAATCCATCAGGAAGTCAGAAATGAGACTTAAAGAGCTCAGGGGAGTGCCAAGAGAATGACATCCTAGTTTGTACAAGTTGAGTATTTAGCCAAAAACCAGCTGCCTTGTTTGGATTTTTGTTGGTTTTTTTTTTCACTTATATCCATTATATATTCAGCTGTTGAATTTAAACTGATCAAGTTAATGCTGCACATTATTCCAATTAAAGGCAATAATGTTTTTTTTTTCCTTTTAAAATTTTAGATAATTCTATATTGCCCCTCTTTTGGCAAGTGTATTTCTCAGAATTCCAAAGATCATCCCATTTTAAGGCTAAACTAAGAAATGTTAAAAGCTTCTGTAAACATTTCCTCTTCCTCCCCATAGTTGCACAATTTGAAGTCCCACTGCAATTTTGAAAATGAGGTAATTTTTGTGTACTCATATCTTGAAGAGTTCTTTTCGGGATGAGCTGAGAGGCTGTGCCAATCCAAACGCTGATCCAATTGTAGTGGGAGAGCTTCCACAGCAGGGCACACACCAGTTCCAGCAGCTACTTCAGTTATTTATCTTCTCAATTTCATCCAAGTCATCAGTATCCAATTTGTTTATCTTTTTGTCTGGGAAAGATGAGAAACTGGTTAGATTTCGTAACACATCACACCCATTAGATCTGCTCAGCATCCAACTACTGAGAATTCTGCAGGAATTCCACGATTTTAGAGACAGGAGAAAGCCTGGGGGTACGTACTGAAATGTTCCTGGATTCTGTTGAGAATGTTCATGCTGTGCTTGCTGTCCACCATGTTAATGGCCAGTCCTCGCTTGCCGAAGCGACCGGTGCGGCCGATCCGGTGCAGGTAGGTCTCGTTATCTGGATTCCCATCTTTATCCACAGGGAGGTCAAAATTGATAACGACAGAGACCTGTTCTACATCAATCCCTGACAAAAAGAAATCATGTTATACAACTACATTTAAAGCCTTTCAGAGCAGGAACAGCCTCCTCAATCTCTGTAATGGAGCTTTTCTGCAATATTCTCACAGTGTACTTGGAAATAAAAACAATTTAGTTAGAGCAGAAAATCCCACTGAAACAGTCAAAGGAAGAACAACTGGAGATGCTTTAACCAGCATTTAAATATTTTGGAAACTCTCTGCTCCTCTGTGAAGCTCCATGGACTACTTGTTTTTTTTTTCCAAAGACTATCCTGTCTCAGCTGTTCTAGGATGCCAAATTGTAACAAAAATTCCTACTGGAATAGTGAACTGGATTTCAATATTTTTCAGCTTTCTATACTTCAGCACGTTTATTGCAAACCCTGAGGGTCAGCAGCACAAGTCAGGCTTGGTGCCAGAAGCAGAAAATTCTCATGGGATGGACTTTTCCATCTCAAGCTGCAGGAAGCCAACAAGGAATCCTGTGTTTGCCCATGGTTATCTTTACTGTAAGGACACTAATTTGTCCTGACTGGAATATCTGAGGGTGGAAATTCTCCCTGAAAGCTGGCCAAGGGTTGTCATCTTAGGAAGTGCTGCTTCCAGCTCCCCTCCCACCATATCCTACCTCTGGCACAGACGTTTGTGGTCACCAGCACCTTCTCCTTGCCCTCTCGGAAGCGCTCAATGACAGCAGCTCTTTGCTCCACCATCATCTCCCCACTGAGCAAGGCCACCTGATGGCCTTCCCTGGACAGCTCTGCTGCCAGCCACCCTGCTGTCTTCCGAGTCTGGAACACACAGCCCAAAGTTAGGAGAGAGTTTTAATGCTGGAAAGCAGGAATAAACCTCTCTGGGGGACACTGGAAGCTCAGTGGTTGGTTTTGTGTCTCAAAAGGAAACGGCTCCTAAGTGCTGTGCCCACTATCACAATGAGAAAAACAGGCCTCTGCCCCTACAGGAGCCCTTGATTAAGAAAAGGACACCTTTTATTTGTCCTCTGCTTGGATTTCAATCTGCTGGAGACTGGTATGACACATGTACACTGAAAACTCATGTAAATGGTCACAAAAACACAACTATTCAGCTTGGCAAATGGCGGGATTAGAGCTCAATGTAGTTGTGAAATCCCATGGAGACTCTATACAGCCTTGAATTAAAGAAATCCCAGTTATGATGCAGTTTTTTGAGTTCCAATTATGTCCTGAGATAGCCTAAAAGCAAACTGCTATAGCAGACTCCAGTTTTATCCTGTCTGAGCTCATTTTACCTGGCTGTTCTGTGCTGTCAGTACTGGTTCTTCCCTAAAAGTTATTATGGTGGTTTCCAAAAAAAAGAAAACGAAGTCTCAGTATGATCCACAGCGAGACTCCAGAGATGTATCCCCAATTACACGAGGGGACAGCTCTGCATCAGCCACAGGAGCAAAAAATTTCCCCATCCCTCATTCTGCCTGATTTTGACCCATTTTCCAACCTCACTTTTTTTTTCCCTGCAGTAATTCCAAGTATACTTTGTTTTGGAAAACTGCGTGTTACTCTAATCTTTGCTTCAGAGGACTTCAGGAAATAAAATGACTATTCAGGAATAAAAATGACCAATGTGGTCTCCCAGATGGACAATCCCAGAGAAACAAACCAGCCAGTGCTAACCTGGCTCTCAAGATTTCACTCTAAGAGGAAGCCAGAGATGCCAAAAAGGGCAATTTATGTTCTCTGTTTCTTTCTGAAAACCATGTCTGGCTAGTTTTTTGACACAAGCAACCACTACAGAATCACAGAAGGGTTTGGGCAGAGGTCACTGGGACTAACATTCCCTGGAAGCACTCACATGGCAGAAGATCATGGCCTGGGCAATGGTGATCGCGCCGTAGATATTGCAGAGAGCTCTGAACTTCTCATCTCTGTTGTTGCACAGGACATAATACTGCTTGATGGTATCCAGGGTCTCCTCCTCACGTTTCAGTTTGATAATGTTTGGGTCAGGAACAACTTTTTGAGCAAACTTCCACACAGAATCTTCAAAGGTGGCTGAAAACAGGAGCATCTGGCAGTCCCTAGGGAGCATTCTGCAAGAGAGAGGACAATGGCACACCACCATCATCTCCTGATATCCTGATGGGATTAATGCTGCAGGCAAAGCAGAACCATAACTTTGGAACCACGTATTTCAGTGGCTGGAGAGACTAATGCTAATGTTACCCACCCTTGATGACTCCCTCATGGAACAGAGGCACACAGATTTGCCTCCTTAAAAGGAATAAGCCCTGCTCCAAGGACAATGTTTTTATTCTATAAGGAAATGGAACTGCTTGTCATCCCCTGATATTATGCCTCTAATAACCACATAAATTAGTGCTAAATCTATAATTTTGGTTTTTGCTGTAATTTTGGTGAAGACACCTGTCAAGACTCCAGCCCTGCTGTCCCTATGGTCCAAGTCCTTACCTCTGAATGCGGATGCTCTGGTCCTGGTGGCCCTGGGTTGCGATCATCACATCAGCCTCATCCAAGACAAACACTTTGATCTTCTTGGGATCTATGAACTTCAGTTTGGAACACCAGTCCAGCACGGTGCCGGGGGTGCCGATTACAATCTGCTCTGAGATCTTCTGCCCTCTCTCCACTGCCAAGACAGAAAGGAAGGCTATTGTAGGATGGCTGTGCACACAGGGAAACGCTCTGCCCCTCTCTGATCCAGCCTATTTCATCTGCTGGTGTACCTGAGAAACATAATTTTCTCATTCTTGTTGGTGGCACTTTCCCCTACTCACGTTTGTTGCCTCGGACGGCATACGCAAGTTTCAGCTCCGGATAAAAGTTCCCCATCTGTTCAATCACTTTTCCTGTTTGAAGTGCCAGCTCATATGTTGGGGAAAGGCACAAACACTGCAGGAACAGGATAATAAGTTTGAGATCATCAACAGCCAGGGCAGCACTATCACAGTTGCTTTTTAAAATCTTCGCTGAAGTTCTCCTCAAGAAAACATGCAAGTAGCTGAACAGTCTTTCAACTATCCCATAAGGAAATTGGGTTAAAAAAGTCTTTTTCCAGGCATTATTTGCTGTGTTGTCAGGTATTTTCTTTCCATCCTAAATCCACTTTCCCAACTCCCTTTAGCCTGCAATACTTCTCTGATTTAATTCCTCCCAGAATGATTTAACTCCTCAGAGACCAATGGCATCCTGTGTCATGCACGGAAAGGACTGAAAGGAGTAAGTTTTGAGCAAAATCCATCCCTTTCGCACTAAAGGCATTTTAACAGATCCCCAAATCTCCATCCCCATTAAGCAGTTTACAGAAGAAACAGCATAATGGCTCCATCAAGCCATGAATTTACATTCCAGGCTCTTCACTAGATGGCACTGCACCACCATGGAACATCCCATCCACGGAATATCCATCACAGAACAGCCATATCCTAAAAACTTCACCTGGGGATACTTGTTTCCGGGTTCAACACGGCTAAGCATGGCCAGGACAAAGGCAGCTGTCTTGCCAGTACCGGACTGCGACTGTGCGATCAGGTTCTGAGGGCTGCAGGGCACAGCAGACACAGGCTCAGAGGGTGAACCCCACAAACAACACACTCCCAGGGTTGGGTGACACAGAAACACAGTGCATGGCATTTTGGTACCTGTCAGGTTTCCCCCTGCTCTGGACTAGCAGCTAATTTGACCAGCTATACTCCATGGGGTAGAAATTACTTCCTGCCCAACTGCCTCTATCAACATCTCTTGATTATGGAGATTTGCAAGGAGAACTGCGATTATCTGTCAGTATTTTCCATTTCACATCTCCCCCAGTGTCTCAGTACCTTACACATTCCAGCTCAGGGCTGCAGAACGGAAAACCAGCCACACAGGCACTGCAGCACCTCAGCTATTCCCACCCACCCAGGATTTCTGAGCTATTTCACATTGTTTCTCCCCAGACTGATGAGGAAAATGGGACTGACCACAGTCAAACACCACAGCACTGAGTGTTTGGTACTGGTTGTAGGAAAAGGGACAAATCCAGGGCTGGTGTCACACAGTTCATCACCACAGAAACACTGTGGCATGGCCTTACTCCATACCCTGACAGCTTCCCCATCACCACCTCCCATCCAAAGTCCAGGAAAAGCACACTAAGCTTTTCAAATCCTTCCGTACTGGAAGGTAGTGGGAAGAATGTGCACGTACGGTTCAGCAAGCATCATGGGCAGGGCATTCTCTTGGATCTTAGATGGTCTGTTGAAGCCCATGGCATAGACTCCTTGCAGGAGCTGTGGTTTCCTGAAAATAGGAATTTTTATATCGTGACCTTTAAAGTACATTTGGTTTTCATTTGTGTACAAAAAACTTGACAAGATGACCTAGGGCTGTCCCTGCTACAGTTCTACTAGTGAAGCAACTATGATCAGCATCTGGAAGTTACAGGTGACCACAGGAAGTTTGGAAAGGAAGCTTTGCAAGAACCCCTGGATTTACCAGTCAGCCTGCCTGTCCCAGCTCCAGGGCAAACCCTGTGTCTAAGGCCATCCATAACTGCTTGTTCCAAAGCAGTTTCTCAGACTATCCAGGAATCCCAGAGCAGAAAGCATTTAATCCTGTCCCTCAGGCCAATCCCATTTCTTCAGCCATGCCTAATCTTGGTGCCAAAATTATCACTCCTTGACAACTCAAATGCAGGACAAAGCAACCTCAGTACGTGAGGAACTGGATGAAGGGAAACACCATGAGATCATTGCAAGGACTTAAGGTCATGCGGATTCTGTAATACAACTGACACTGGAACAGCAGAGTGATGCTGGCTCAGGGAAATGAATGATAATTAGTTTGCTGTGATTACACCTTGTGATCCATGGGTACAACTCAGCCCTCAAACCCAAAACTGTGGTGACACTGCTGGTCAGCAAATTCTCACCTACTGCTTTTTCTGAAGGGACCTTTCTACTCTCATCAGACACTTGTGCAGACAACCTGAACAACCTCAATCCACGTTAGGGTGCTGGAAAGTCTCAGCTGATGATCCCCAAGTGCTTCCTGGATGCTGCCAGTACTCTCCTTTCAAAGCAGGTTACAGGTTTTCTGCCCACATTTCCCACTGCAATAACTTTCTACTCAGCACGTGCTTTTGCAGAAACGCTGTATTACTTTCCACCGATGCCTGGAACAAAAGCGCTTTGAAAATGTAACCTTGTGCTGCTCCAAGCAAGGACAGACAAAGCTCAGTTTGGCACCAGTTGCCAAGGATACACCGAGTCATAACAAAATGAAGACTCAATTAGTCTGGCTGCCCCCGTCATTAACTCCCTGGGATTGTTTGCCTTTTGAAATACAGGAATTAGTCTAACAGGCACTGCAGGATGTCAGCCTTTTTTTTTGGTCGACATTCAACCACTAACATTAACAAAGCAAAACAGCATCCTGACATTTCACTGGGAGAAGGCTCCTCAGCTCCCATTTCCCTGCGGAACTTGTAGAGCAACAAATCTGAGGTCAGAGTAACCACAACAATTTAATGGGACAGCACATTATTTTACCCATCTAAAAGTCTGTCATGCCTTAAATACAGATATCACTTGGAAGCTGCCCTGGTAAAGGTTTTCAATGGGAAGCGTCAGAAAATACCAATGTTAGTGGTCTCTCCAGGACATAAACCCAGTATTGCTGTGAGAGAAAAGCTTTTCTCTTTGTTCTTGTTTCAGCTGGAAATCTTCACAAGGCACACAGATAAAACAACTCTCCTCTTATTTAAATACAAATAATACGCTCATTTATTGCTGACAAATTGGCAGTAACCTTAAACAGAGATCCATGCACATTCAAGTGGTATCTCCTGTGCAACCAGGGAATTTTTCAGGACACAAGGAGAGGCTCCAACTACTTGATGGGCTCCAAACACACATCTGCTGTCAGTCTCACAAAACTGAGTCATAGTTGCTCTCCCTAAGTTCGAGGCTTCCTACAACTGACTGAAAGATACAGCCAGAAAGGAGCCTGTTTAATATTTCTGGCCCCAAGATTCAACAGCTCCATGCAGAGAAGGGTCTGGCTCATCCCAGCAGGCACTTACAGGCGCAGTTCCTCAAAAGACTTGACGGAGTAGAGGGGTGATGTGGGGTCCCTCTGCAGCACCTCCACCTGATTTGTGGTGTCAACCAGGTTACTGCGGATCAGCTTGTTCAGCAAGGACTGGGCAGCTCTGTCCTCTGGGAAAGGAGGTGGAAAACACAGATCCATCAATCCCAGCCTGTTCCAGGTGTTGCTCCCACTAAAATGCCAAGCCAGTTAAAAGGGACAAAATTCTTCATTAAAGCCCTAACTTCCTGGATGAGACATCATGAGATCCCAGAGATTTACATTTAATGTTCTGAATGAGACGTCAAGAGATCCCAGGGATTCATATTTAATATCCAAGAAGATGAATCAAGCAAGCACTGTTTTAAGGAGGACTTTAACAGATACAGAACTCTGCTTATTAAGACATTTCAGCTTAGTATCTATCTGGGACAGGGTAAAGGGCCTCTTCAAGCCTCACTCTGACACATGGAGAGACATCTTTTAGGGTTTCATTTTTATTTCTAAGGGAAGTTTGAGGATAAATGGTACTTTAAAAGATTCCAGGATTGAAACACTGCAAGGGCTGAGGATAAGCGAGACCAAAATGAGGTTAAACTGCTGCATTTTGGGGTTTTGCTACTAAATCTGTTTCCTAAAACCACCTTCTGAAAGATTCCAACCCATTACCCACCTCTGAACAGCCACTGCATAGATGCAACATGTTGGTTGCTACAGCAATCCCAGCTCCAGGTCATCCAAACGCTCCTGTATCCAGTCCTGCCTTGAGGATACTGCTATACCCTTATTTCTCTCCACTCTAATCCAGGAGTCTCCCAAGTTATTACAGGACACAATGGCTTTAAAAGTATTATGGAGGAAGGACATGTCTTACAATTAAGTCCTTGGGGGCAGGATACAAGATCAGCCATCCTGGGACATAAGGCAGACTTACTTTACGTATATATGAAATTAATATAACTATAATTAATAATTATATTAATTTCCTTGCCAAAGCATTTTTCAAGGAGGCACTTACCCTTCTCCTCATCCTCTGTCTTTTCCACATTGTCGTCAGGCTTGACAACGGCACCTAAATTAAAAGTTTTGGGGGGCACGTATGAGGTCAGGCCTCAGAGACAGCCCACACCCATGGAGCTTGGGAATACTGTGGGAAAAGTTACAAAATAGCTCATTATCCTGATGAGAACCGCCCTGCTCCACTGCTGTGCAGAGAAAACCCAAGTTCCGGCTCAAAGTGGAGTTTATCAACCACACCAACAGATTCTGCTCACAGAGCTCCCTGAAGACAGCAAAATATTTAGTCTTTGCTGCTGTTTCATCTCAGTTCCATCATTCCCTCTTCTGGAATTTCATGATTTATCAGGAATTTACTTTGGCAGCAGTGCTCTGAACCCCACGGGAAAATGTTCCACCCATTCCAAGCCTACCCGAGCAGCTAGAACTCACCATTGGCATCTGGTTTGGTTTTTTCATCCTTCAGGTGTAAAGTGCTCAGCTAAAAACGAGGAAAAACACAAAATCAGGGAAATTCAAAGGCTTCCTACATTCTAATGCCAGCAGGGAAAACCTGAGCTTTGGATTTATTAAGTATTGCACAAGCCCTGGCCAAAACCCTGCTCGATGGGAAAGGATGAAAGTATAACTTGATTTCAAGAGTTTTAAGACAAATAAAACTATTTCTAAGTAAGAGTTTTAACAGAAATACAAGTTTTTCTAATCTGTAATGACAATACAGAGAAGGAGCTGTTTTCTGTCCAGGAATCTTCACCCTCCAATAGTTCTGCTGATGGAAAATGGGAGAGAAAAAAATCAACATCCCAAGATGAAGACAGGATCCAAGCACCAGGATCCTGGGTGGCACAAGGCGTACCAGGATGGATTTGTTTCACCACCTGTGATGTGCCAGGTAGAGCAGCCCCGAGGGTGCTCCCCACATCCAAGGGCTCAGTGAACGCTCTCCTTGCCCAGTGCAGCAGTTGTGAGGCTCAGAAAAACACCATTTTTCTAGGAACAAAATTAGATCCTGTCATAAAAATAAAAAAATAAAAAAAAAAAAGGCAAAAGGAGATTTTTTTTTTGGAAACTGGAAGACAAGAGCTGAGGCTGGGTGGGCGCCTGAAACGGTGCTGTGTCTGGATGGAAGGTGAGGGGGAAAACAGAAAACACAATATTTTTGGAACAAATGTAGAGCCTAAAAAAATGAGAGAAAAAGAGATTTTTTGGGATGCTGGAAGACACAACTGAGGCTCGGTGGGTGCCTGGATAGGTGCTGTGTCTGGATCGAGAGTGAGGGGGAGGGCAGGGACGTCCCTGCCCTTTGGATACGCGATAAACCGCTGAAAGAAAAGAAATTTTGAAAAATAATAACCAAAAATAAAAAGGGGGGTTTCTTTTCGGTTCTTAAGGAAGAGCCCAAGCCCAGAGACATCCCCCTGACGGCACGGGACCCCCTCTGCCCCCGCGGCACAAAATGGGGCGAGGAAAGGTGTTTCTGCGATCGCTGTTTTCTTACGAGAAGGTGGCCCCGGGGGCCCCGCGCCGCTGACCCGGGCCTGGTATCCCGAGCCCCGCAGCTCCCGGCGGGCACTCACCGACTCCGCCGCCGCCTCCTGCTCGTCCACGGCCAGGGCCCACGAGTCGGTGGCCATGGCCGGCCGGGGGCCGCTCAGCCGCGATGGCGCCGGGCGGGGGCGGTGCCTGCGCGCCCGCGGCACGGCCCGCGCCGGGGCAACCGCGGCCGCGCACCCGCGTTCCGGGGGCGGCGCGTTCCGGGCAGGGGCTGGAGGGGTCTGGGGGCGCCTCAGGGGTCACCGCGCGGTGCGGGCACGGAACGGGATCCCGCTGGGAGCTGGGGCTGGGACCTGGACCCCTGTATGGCCCAGGGCTGCGAGGTCAGGCTGTGCCACAGAGTCAAAGAATCATAGAATCAACCGGGTTGGAAAGGATCTCTGAAATCATCAAGTCCAACCCTTGTTCCACTACTACTGTGGTTACCAGACTGTGGCACTCAGTGCCACATCCAGTCTCATCTTAAAAACCTCCAGGGACGGAGAATCCATCACTTCCCTGGGCAGCCCATTCCAATGCCTGATTACCCTCTCTGCAAAGAACTTCTTTCTGATATCCAACCTAACCCTCCCCTGGCAGAGCTTAAGACCATGCCCTCTTGTCTTACTGATAGCTGCCTGGGAGAGGAGACCGACCCCCACCTGGCTACAACCTCCTATCAGGTAGTTGCAGAGAGTGATGAAGTCTCCCCTGAGCCTCCTCTTCTCCACACTAAACAACCCCAGCTCCCTCAACCTCTCCTCACAGGGCTTGTGCTCAAGTCCCTTGCCCAGCCTTGTTGCTCTTCTCTGGACCTGCTCCAGCATCTCAATATCCTTCCTAAACTGAGGAGCCCAGAACTGAACACAATACTCAAGGTGTGGCCTCACCCCTGGCTGAGTGCAGGGGAAGGATCACTGCCCTCGTCCTGTTGGCCACACTGTTCTTGATGCAGGCCCAGATCCCTTGGCCCTCTTGGCCCCCTGGGCACACTCTGGCTCCTGTTCAGCTCCTGTCCCTCCACACTCCCAGCTCCCTTCCTGCCTGGCTGCTCTCCAGCCACTCTGTCCCCAGCCCTTGGGCTGCCAGGGCTTGTTGTGGCCAAAGGGCAGGGCCCGGCACTTGGCCTGGTTGAACCTCATCCCCTTGGAATCAGCCCATGGATCCAGCTTGTCCAGGTCCCTCTGCAGAGCCCTCCTGCCTTCCAGCACATCAACACACTTCCCAGCTTGGTGTCAGCTGCAAATTCACTAATGGTGGACTCAATCCCCTCATCTAAATCGTCCATAAAGAGATTAAACAGAACTGGGCCCAGCACTGGTCCATCCCTGGGGGACACCACTGGTGACCGGATCCCAACTGGATGTAGCCCTGTTCCCACCACTCTCTGGGCCCTCCAGCCAGTTCCTAACCCAGCACAGAGTGCCCTGTCCAAGCCCTGGGCTGCAGCTTTTCCAGGAGTGTGCTGGGGGAGACGGTGTCCAAGGCCTTGCTGGAGTCCACGGAGGCACATCCACACCTTGCCCTCATCCACCAGGGGAGTCCCCTGGTCATAAAAGGAGATTAGGTTGGTCAAACAGGACCTGCCCTCCTAACCCCTTGCTGGCTGACTCTGATCCCTTGTCCATCCTGTAGGTGCTGTGTGATTGCACTCAGGATGATCTGCTCTGTAACCTTGCCAGGCACAAAGGTCAGGCTGACAGGCCTGGAGTTCCTTTTGGCCCTTTTTGTGGATTGGTGTGACATTCCCCAACTTCCAATTGTGTGGGGCCTCTCCAGTGAGCCAGGATTGTTGGTAAATGATGGAGAGTGGCTTGGCAAGCTCTTCCGCCACCTCCCTCATCACCCCAGGGTGGATCCCATCGGGTCCCATGGACTTGTGAGGATCCAAGTGGCTCAGCAGGTCACAAACTGTTTTCTCCTGGATTACAGGGGGGCTGTTCAGCATCTTATCTCTGTCTACAAGTTCCAGAAGCCAGCTGTCCTCAGGACAACCTGTCTGACTGCTGAAAACTGTAAAGAAGGTGTTAAGTACCTCAGCCTTGTCCTCATCTTTGGTAACTATGTTCCTGCCCATGTCCAATAAAGAATGGAGGTTTTCCTTGTCCCTCTGTTTGCTATTGATGTATCTGTAGAAAGACTTTTTGTTATCCTTAACAGAAGTGGCAAGACTGAGCTCAAATTTTGCCTTTGTCTCTCTAATTTTCCTTAGACAAGACCTAATTACATTCCTAAACTCTTCTGAGTAGCCAGCCCTTTTTCCCATAATCGGTAGGCTCTCTTTTTTACCCTAATTTCTTTCAAAATCTCCCTGCTACCTTTGGGGGGCTGTGACCCCTGTATGGTTTGAGGCTGGGGTCAGACCCCCAGTGTGGTGTGGGGCTGGGACCTGGACCCCTGTGATGAGGGGGTTGGAGTCAGGCTGTGGTTCATATGATGTGGGGCTCAGGCCACTGTATGGTGTGGGGCCAGGGTTAGGGGCTGGACCCTGTGTGGCAGAGATTGGGGTTCAGGTGTGGCACACATGGGGTGGGGCTTAGCACCCTGTCTGGTGTGGGGCTGCAGGGTGAAGCTGTGCCATACTGCCCTGTGAGGGACTTGGACCCCCATAGAGTGTGGCGGGTTGGGATCAGGGCCCTGCACTGCTGTATAGTAGGGGGCTGGGGCTGTGACCCCTTGTAAGGTAAAACATATGCATGTTATAGGTAAAAGACCAGAATAGTATTTTTGTAAAAATATAAAAGAAATTTATTGAAGGCAAGTAAGCAAAACAACGCGCTGCGCGACTCTCGTTCCATCAACAGTCTGCAACGTGACGAACCAACGGTCCATCTTTTATACCCCACCCCTTTTCTCCACCTCTCAAGTCTCTTTCGATTTCTTTATTGGATTCCATTTCGCGGGCTTTCCCGATATTGGTTCTTATTTCATGGGCTTCCTGTATATTGGTCCTTATTTTCGCGGGCTGCATCTCGCCACCTGTGTTCAGCCAATGATCTGGTTAAACCGTAGTCCTCAGAGGCTGTCTTGTAGAAGTTTCCGGATGGGGGGGTAAGTCCTTTCCTTTTGGTTCTTGCTGCTTTTATTTTCTTGCCCTGTGAGTATGCTTAGAGCAAACATTTGTATGGTAATAAAACATACAAATTCATAACAATTGTGCAGTTAATCACTTAACTACTATAACATTGTAATTTCATTGTTTATAGTTGTCTAGTTCATATCATAAACAAAGCCCTTATCAGACTTATTGTAACAGGTGCAACTAAACTTAAATACTTAATTTGATGAGCAAATTGTAACTTTTATTCTGGGTCACCTATTACAGTTCCCTCTTTTTCTATTTCATCATAAATTTGTTCATCAAATTTCATTACTACTTCCCTTGCTGCATTTAAATCAGGAGTTTGTTTTTCTTCAGGTGTTATTTTATTCATATCTTCATATTGTTGTGACATTGTCATTAATTGTACTGTGTCAACCCCATTTTTGACAAAAGTTACGATTTTATTTAGAATGCATGGACCAAAGGTCAATGTGATTATTATCATTGTTAGAGGACCTATTAAGGTAGAGAGTAAGGTAGTTAACCAAGGAGATTGACTGTACCATGATTCAAACCAATTTTGTTGTGTTTCTTTTTTTTTCTTTCTTTGGGCAATTCCATCTCGTAATTTTGTCCTGGATTCTCATATGACTCCTGAATGGTTAGCATAAAAACAGCACTCTTCTCCTAGTGCTACACACAGTCCTCCTTGTTTTAAAAATACCAGATCTAGTCCCCTTCTTTTTCGTAACACTACCTCAGAGAGTGAGGTGAGAGACTGCTCCAGATATGAGATTGATTTTTCAATTCTCTCTAAGTCTTCATTTATTGTTGTTCTTAAGGCTATTAATCCTTGTCTGTGTTGGCCTAGGGAGGTGATTCCTGCCGCGGTTCCTGTGGCCCCCAATCCTAACAGCATAGCTATGGTTAGGGTAATTGGCTCTTGCTTCTGTATTCTATGATGACCCAATTCCCACTGTTCAAAAATTGATTCCCCAGAATGGTAAATCATTCGGGGTATTATTACAATTTGCATGCCAAATTCATCACATTCATTAAATTTTGGTAAAAACACACAGGGCGTTAAGCCCATTTTTGAACATATCCACCATCCTCCTTTATCTGGTATAGCCCATTGATATTTTCTTTTGTTTGGTTTTAATACTTTAAAACCACACAATTTATCTTTGTTTAGGGGAACATTTCCCATACATGCTCCATATCCTCTAACTTGCTGCATGGTAAGTCCAACTCTCTTTTGATCCCATTTACATTGTTTAGGATTATTTTCTTTATTCAGGCTAAAAGTAACATTCAGTCCTACTCCTTCATAGAATGGTGTCTCATCATTTTAATACAACCAGCAGGAATTAGTTATGTTAGGTGTGGACTGGTTGAGTGCACTATAGGATGCCTCTACCAGTCTTAAGAGCTCTCTTCCTCCAGGTGAGAGTCCTACTTTCTCGTAAGCCTTAGTAGTGGGCAGAAGAGGTTGTGAAAACTTTCTTTCCTTTTTGCTCTCCCAGTTTGCCTTTTCGTTATTTATTATCTTGTTAGGTTCTATTGCCTGAGATGGTGGGGATATTGGTTGCTTTATTATTTTTATTTCACCTCCTACATCTGTCCCAGGCAAATATAACCGCACTCCCCATATTCTTCCTATTATCCATCCTGGATCTTCAGGATTTTTGATTAACAATTGCAAGTGTAAACAGTTCAATGCCGGTGATTTGGATGGTGTGATGCCAATGCCAGAGAAAGGATGTGTACATCCTAGAGGAACCCATTGGACTTTATTATATATATAATGGCCAGTCTTCGCGAGCGAAGATGTGGGGAAGGTCTTTACACCTTCCAGCCTGCGCATTGGATTTTTTAGGTGAGACACAGTGTGCGCGGAACTGAGCCCACACTTTAATCCTAAGGTTCATCTGCCGGGGCCAAGCGAGCTTGGACGGTGGCAGCGAGGTCCTTAGGACGTAGGTGGGTTGCCTTTAAGGGCTAACGAGCCCCACCTGCCCGGGAGTGGCCCTGACCGGGAATCGAACCCGGGCCTCCGCGGTGATAGCGCAGCGCCTTTACCACTAGACCACCAGGGGCTCCACACT